CTTTGACCCACCAGCCCCTACCCACCCAGGGCCTGTGTGGTCCCTTGTGGACTTCCTCTCCTCACACATACAGACCCCAGGAATGTACAGGGACCTCTCAGACGTCCTGCTTCCTGACTCACACACCACTTTGCTCCTGTCTTACGAGCCCTGATGACCTGAGGCATCTGGGGCAGGTTCACTTTTCTTGCCTATTTGGTGTGACCAGCCAGAGTGAAGGGGCTTCCCTTCCTGCCAAGGCACAGAGTGGGGACATGGGCCCACTCTCTCTGCAAGGAATGTCACCTTCCCTCACATTTAGGGGAGCATAGCCCAGTAAGCAGAAGGGATGTGCCCAAGTTCCTGGAGAGTCTGAAGTGCAGGTGGAAGACACTCAAGGCCTGGAGGCCCCCAGATGCAAAGCCAGGCAGAGGGCCTGGAGCTCCAAGGATACCTGGGGAAGGCCCAGCTGTCCTCCCTCCCTTATGTCCTGGATAGCCTAGTACTGACCTTTCTATCGCTTCTTGGCCTTTTGGCTAAGATCAAGTATAGTACTGGCCTTTCTCTACCTGGTCTCCCTGCCTGGTCCACTGTGTAGGAACTTCTAGACCATTCAAAGACCTAGAATTCCTTCTCTTCTCCTCAAAAGTGGTCCTGGGAATTGCTTCCTTTTGGGGCTGGAGCCTGACCTGACATGGGAACCTCATCTGGGAGGTCCTTAAGTCAATCAAGCAAGTTTGGGAGAGCAAGTTTTAGATATCAAGGTGACCGAGATAAAAGCTCAGTCTTTGTCTAGGGTCAGAGTTCAATGTATGGATTAGTGTCAAAGTTCAGGTTGGGACCAGATTCAGGGCTCTTGGACCAGGGTCAGGCTGTCTGTTATCAGAAACGGGGCTCAGTGTTTGGAATCAGGGTCAGGGCTCAGCCTCTGACCAGAATTAGGGCTTAGTGTATGTCCATGATCAAGACTCAGTCTATTTCATGTCAGAGTTCAATCTTTGACAAAAGTCAGGATTCAGTGCTGCTTTCCTCAGTCTTAGTTCAGGATCAGGGTTCAGTGTATGGACCAGGCAGGGTCAAAGCTCAGAATGTGACCAGGATCAAGATCAGTCTATGATCAAGGTCAAGACTCAGCATTGACTAGGGTCAGGCTCAGTGCACTTAACACTGTTAAGCCCAAGACTTAACAGTGAGGGTTTAATCTATGATTGGATACAGGACTTAACCGTGAACTTGATAAAGACTAAATCTACGTTTAGGGTCAGGACTCTGTTATAAGGTCAAGTTCCAGGGTTGAAGGTGTCCCTTAGTAAATTTAGGTGACTAAACATCAGCATCCTTGTACACCCACTGCTCACTCTCCCCGTTCCTCACCACCATGGCTCTCCAAGAGGAAAAGTCAAAGTTGTGCAGTCTGGCTAGGCTGGCACCTCTATCCCCTGTCATGTGCCCACACTGCCCTCTAGTGGCGATCCCTAGCAATGCAGCTGTCCTCCGGCCTAGCCTATCTACCCGGCTGGCTCCTAAACCTACCGATGCCATCCAGCCAGTTCTATGTATCGGCTTCATCCCACCTCCTCACTAAGTAGGAAACAGGAATTGGCGAGGGGGACTCCCCCCCACACAAGGAACTTTCCCCTTCCTGCCCGATTATCTTGATAATTCCCTGTGACTGGGGACCTGGCATCTCAGGTGAGATAGATTTACACCTTTTCCTCACTCAGTCACACACCAAACATTTATTCAGTGCCTTGAGCCAGGTAAGCACTGAGTGCATACCTGTGAGCGGAAGCTTCTTGAAGCTCACCTCCCATTCACTTCTCCCTAACTTCCAAGCCCTAGTCCATAGACCTCATCAGAAAGGCGCTGGCAGCAGCAGAAGGCTGGGTGAGATTCAGAAGTGGAAAACTGGTTCTCTTCTCTCCTTTAGATTGAGAGGTTAGACTATTCTAGATTCTGGGTTTTCTGTTTTCATGTCTCTTCATACACCTCACCTGGCGTCACAGCTCAGCCACCACCCACATGCCAACAGCTTCTCAGCCGGCCTCCACAAGATGCTCCTCCTTCCAGAACTCCAGCTCCTGCAGGACAGTTTCACTGGGTTACAGAGCCCTGGCTTTTCCTCCACGATATGCACAATTTCTCAAACCAAAACTCTGGAACTTCCTCCTGTGTACCTGCATTCTCTCCTCTTAAGCTCCCCCAGCAGGAGACCTTAAAATTAAGTATAGAATCTGTCCACTTGGCAGCCACCACTCCAGTCCCAGCCCCTAGCGCATCTCACCGCTGTGGTGATCACCTCCTAACCTGCCCCCGCGTCTCTCTTGCCCCTCAACACTCTATTTTCCACACAGCAGGCAGAAGGATCTCTACAATCATAAATCAGACCATGTCACTTCCCTGCTTAAAACCCTCCAGTGGCTCCCACCTCAATGAGAATAAAACCTCAGCGTCTCCCTTGGTTTACTAAGTCACATAGGAGCTGAACAATATGCATCCACACCTTCTCCAACTTCATCCCTCCCTCTCTCAGCCCTTCTTTCTCCGCCTGACACACAGAGGCCAAGTTCATTCTCATTTTTGGGCTTTTCCTGAGCTTGAAATCTTCTTGCTCCAGACCTCTGCATGGCTGACTCTTACCAGTCAGAGCTCAGCTTCGACTCAGAAGACCTCCGTGGCCACCCCAAAAGTCCCTCCAGCATGCCTCCCTGTGACAATTTTCTGCAGAGTGTTGCCCACTAATATTTACTGTCTGGCTGCTTACCTATTTCTTCATTGTCTTTCTCCTCCGGAAGGATATAAGCTCCACCAGAATTAATTCACCACTCTATTCCCAGTGCTGGACACACAGTAGGGTTCAGGGATTATTTATTGAATTATTTCATAAAAAATGGTGCTAAATGTCTGACTGACCTCATTTCTTCTAGTGGGAAGAGAGGGGGGAATCTGAGCACCTGCCCCATAATAGGTTCCCGTGGCCAGGTCATCAGCAGTTCCCTCTGGGAGGCAGGTCTCACTGTGCCACCCCTGAGTTACCCAGGGCTCTAAGGAGTACCCCTCCTTCTGGAAGGCCCAGCTGTGTGTCTTCCACTGCAGTCCCTGGGCCTCTGGGAACAGGGCCAGTGGGAATGGGAGGGCTTAGCCCTCAGGGGCCTTCTGCAGTATCCCTGCAGAGCCCCTGCTTCTTGCTCAGACTCCTCAAGGGCAGGGAGCCTGACACCCCTGTGCTGTCATATTCAGAATTGTGTCTTCACCTTCAAGAAAAACTTGCCCTCCACCTCCATGGGCTCCCTGGAACCCAGATCTGCTCAGGGGCTGCAGCCCGTCTGAGAGGGGCCTGTCCCTCTGTTCTCACCCAAGAGGGAGTGTGAGGTGAGGAATCCCCCATGTGGTGGGCCCCCAGAGATATGGGGGAGGGGGCTGGCTGATTGGATAGTGACCCTGAGGTATAGAGACCCTCTCCTGGTGTACCTGAGGTGATCTTCAGCTGGGGGGCCAGTAAAAGGGAGGGTCCAGGGAGGTCATGTCCCCTCATGCCTATTCTACTCACGCACACCATGGATCTACAGCCTACAACCTCCAGCCCTTACAACATGCTCAGTCCCTCCCCAGCTGGCAGCATCCCAGAACTGGAACTGGATCTTTTGAGAGGGGGGTGTGGGGAGCGGAAGGAGCCCTGGTGGTGTAATTCCAGATCTCTGCCAACAGTGCAAGGGGCTGGGGCTAGCACGCTAGGGCTAGAAGCTAGAGTATCTCCTAAGAAAGTGAAGGGGCGAAGGGTAGTCCATACCACACCAGGGGCAGCATCAGCAGTACCCCCCCCCCACACACCCCTCAGCTCACCTTCTTCTACTCTACCAAGGCAGCAGGTGGTGTCTGAGGCTACAGGCCAATGGACCAGAAGAGATAGAACTGGAGCTTGGGGAGGTGGCTTTCCTTACACACACACACACACACACACACACACCCCGTCAGTGTGACCTAAATATTCCCACACCCCCCACCTCATACCACAGGAGACAACCTCACCCGCAGGCAGGCTCTTATCTTCACCTGGGGCCCCAATTCGGCATACCTGTTCCCACAGACATTCACAGACACGTTCAGTATGACGGTCTTTTGCTCAGTCACACACCTCTCTCCCCTGCGCGCCCTTCTAGGTCTCCTAGAGGGGTTGGTGCTGGGACAATGATGCACTCAGCCACAGGCCAGGAGGACCCCAGGTCTGAGGTTGTCCCCCCAGAGACCCCCAGTCAGCCTCTCCTTCCTCTGCTGACCATCACAGAGGACTGACTTCAAAGGTGCTTTATTGAGGAGTGAGGCACAGCAGGAACACAAAGCAAGGAGCACACTGAGACCTTCAGGGCTAGAGGAGCCCCCTCACCACTCACTTCTGTGGGTTCAGTCTCAGCACCCCTGCTCTGGTCAGGCAGAGAGGGTGCTCTGTGCTCAGCCCAGCTCTACTTTAGGGACTCTACGGGCTCAAATGGAGATACCCACCTCCCCATAAATGCCTAAGGGTCTTAGTGGGGGCGAGACAGGGAGGACTGGAAGGGACAGAAAGGGGAGCCGGTGTGCTGGTGGCCTCTCCAGGCTCCAGGGACAGGAGCCAGCCCAGCCTGACATTCCTCTCCGTCTCCCTCTTCCTTCCCTCCCTTGGGAACGCAACCCTGTGCGGAGTCAGCCCCTCTCAAGAGTGGACACTCCTTAGTTCCCGGTGGCCGAAGGCCATGGGGTCGCGGTGGTGGTGCTGGGGCCTGAAAGCCTGCGGGCCCAGTTCCATCCAGCCTGGGGCGTGAGGTCAAGCGGGGTCCGGCAGGCCCCGAGGCTCCCTTGGGGGAGGCGGCCAGGTGCGCTGTGACACCACCTTCCCCTCTGAGGACGCCCCAGAGACGGGCCGCCTCGTGTCTGTCCAGCAGCGGCCTCTCGCGAAGCGCTCTCTTCCCTTCTCCCCTCTCTTCCCCGGAGGGCACCAAGCGCGGGATGGCGCGCGGGGGCGTCGGGGCGGGGGCCACGGCCCGCTAGGGGGCGCCGCGCTCCCGGGGCAGGACGAGCTGGACGCCTTCGGTGCGGGGCGCGCAGGCGGCCGCGGGCTCGGGCGCGTCCAGGGCGAAGGGGCCGGCGCCGGGGCCGGGGCTGGAGCGGCCGGAGGACGCGGCCGAGGCGGCGGGGCTGAGCTGCACGGCCGTGGTGTCCTGCGCCGTGCGCTCGCTGCTCTCCATCTCGAGCGCCACCGGCCCCGCGCCGCCGCCGCCCGGCCCCGGGCCCGAGGAGGCCGCCGAGCGGGCGCGGCGCGCGGGGCCCCGGCGGCTACACACGCAGCAGGCGGCGAAGAGGCCGAGCGCCAGCGCCAGCAGCGCGGGCCCCACGACCAGGGGCGCGTTGTGCCCGGGCAGGAAGGCGGCGAAGGCGCCCACCAGCGTCACGTTCACGCCCGCCAGCAGCACGCACAGGCCGCAGGCGCAGAGCAGCGCCGGCGAGGGCAGGCGGGCCAGTCGGCTTCGAGAGCGAGAGCGGCCCTGGCCCTGTTTCTTTTCCTGGGGCGCCATGGGCCTGGGGACCCCGGGCAGTCATCCAGCTCCCTCCTGCAGCCGGCCCGGACCAGCGCACAGGTCAGGGCCGAGCTCACAGCCCTCCTGTGGACACAGAAGGACACAGGGTCAGCAGGGCATCTGTGCTCCCCACCGGCTCTGTTCTGTAGCTACATTCTGGGCCTGGCAGGTTTGCAGAGTTGTCTGGAGCAGCCCCCTGCTGCTGCCTCTGGGAAGCAACAGCCCACCGCCTATGGCAAGTCTGCCCATTGCTTCCCCAACCACCTGGGCCCCTTATAGCCAACCTTGCCATCCTCCCTCTTGTCCTTGGTCCTTCCCCACTTATTCTTGTCCCCTGGACAAAGAGCCCCTCCGCCTCACCGCCTCCAGGAAGCCTTCTTGGGCTAACTGAGCAAATAGCTGTAAAGTGCCCAGCTAGGTGCTCATTAAATGATATTTACCATTATCAGTCGTCCTACTTAGGGGCAGGGGCTGCTCTTGGGATTGAGACAACTGCTTCCCCGACATGGAAGAGGCATCTGGCCTAGTTCCTCCTTGTCCAAATGAAGAAACAAACCTGGAGTGGTCTAGCAGTTGGTCCATGGCCTCAATGGACCAGGGCCTTAAATGTCTTGCCATGTGGCCTGGGCTTCCCCACTCTAGGCTCTAGCAGGCATAGCAGTGACATTAACTTTCCTGGACATCAGGTGAGCGACAATTGAGTGATGATGTGAGATTGAGGAGCTCCTCATGTTTCAGATGGCCAGTGAGAAGGAGTGGTCTCCACAAGGCTGGGTTCGGCTGGCACAGACCAAGGCCCTTGGGTCCTTTCTAGCCTGAGCATTCTACTAGATTCTAATCCTACCCCCATTCCATTTCCCAGGATTCTTTTCTTGAACCTGGATTCAAAAATCCAATCACTGGATACTAGAATTCCTTTCTAGGATCCTCTAGTTGTGTCTGGTTCAGGGATCTTTCCCTGGATTCTAGAATTCTGGGGATGCCTGCAGAGCCAGGAAAATATAATCAGAAGCCAGGGATTTAAGACTTCGATTTGAGAATTCTGTAAACATGATATCACAGGTATCAAGGCCTTCAAAGGATAAGATCACAGCCTTGTAGCTGTGTTAGAATTGTGATAACATGTCAGAAAAGGGCCCTGAATGGGGATGAGAGGGAAGGAAGCAGGTGGTCCCCTGGGTCAGAGCAAAGCACGCAGGAGCATGACCTGGACAAGTGCACTCTCTGCTTCAGTGTTAACGCCTGTAATGGAGGATTAGGAAGAGAACTTACCTCATGGGGTATAGTGATAGTGAAATGCTTTAAGCTAAATAAAGTGTTTAGTGCCTGGAACATAACGAGAACTCAATAAATGCAAGCTGTGTTGTTGTGGTGCTTGATGGTGAAGGGGGCTATAAGGCCTCAGATGTGGGAGATGGTTCAGTAGGGTCTGTCCCTCAGGTGGAGGTGCCAGGCTCTCAGTTGTCCTTCCTAAGCGTCCCAAAGCCTGCACGCCGTGGGGTTGCAGAGAATTTGATGACTAGGTGAATGAAAATGAGGCCAGTGTCAGGGAGGGGCAGGTTGGGATCAGCCTGGCAGGAGCAGTTCAGAGGACCTGGTGGGCCCTCCATTCCTGCCCAGATCTGATGTCACCATGTGAGAGGTGGCTGTTCTACTTGGACTCCAGCCAGAAGCCATTTTGTGGCACACCACCCTGGCAGGAAGTCAGGAACCACCAATCCTGGCAGAGCAAGCACATGCTGACCCCTGAAGACATCTACAGACTACAAGAAACTCCATATTTGCACAGACCACCTGCTCTCTAGACTTCAGGCAGAAACAGCAACGACTCAAGGAGTATATCAATTTATCTTAGCAACTAGAATTTGCAAGGCATGGTGACACCAGGACATCACGGAATCCTAACAACTGCTTGATACAGTCAGATTTCACACCAGGGGAAGTGGGCTCTTGTGCTTGAAAGGGAAAACACTTCCCTAGACCTGAGTCAGAACACAGGATTTGGTGCACCCGATTGGCAATCTTGTTTCATGAGTAACAGAAGGGTTAGATGTGTGGAAGTCAATGGGGAGGTAAGTTTCCAAACCTCTTTCCTGTTGCTCTCAGAAGGGTCTATGAGTTTCCGCTCCTCCTCTCCTTCTTAAGCTCCTCTCCACTCCACCAATATCTGAAATTAACCCACAGACAAAGGCGGGTTCTTCCCTCCTGTAGGGAAGGCTAGCCTGGGCCTGACAGGGACTGCGTCCAGTCCCCCACAACAGAATCTTGACAAGGATGTACGGTTCACTAATTATCCCTTTATCGGTGTCTTCTCTGTTGTAAAATCCATCTATTCAGTTCTTAATTTTAGTTGCTATAGCTTTCATTTTTTCAGTTATAGTTTTTCAGTTCTAGAATGTCCACTTGATTATTTTTGTAGATTCTAATTTTCTATGGAATGACTCCCTCTTCTTATTTTCTTGAACATATTAAATCGAACATCTTGGCCTTTAGTTTCTGTCATCTATGTCACTGCTTTTGGTTTTTGGTCAGGTAGTCTTTTTTTTTAAAGATTTATTTATTTATATAAGCACTGGGTACAGTCAGAAGCGTGGGAGGGTGAGAGAATTCACCAGAGCCAGAGCGGGGAGCAGAACAGGCAGATTGATGAAGTACACTGCTAAGGGGAGCAGCGGGCGGCAGGAGAGGACTGCGCGCCATGCGGGACCCTCCTCCGGTGGCCGGGGAGCAGCCGGGGATCCAACTGGCGCTGCAGAGGCTGCGGGCAGCTTCGCAACCCAGCGCTCAACTGCTGCGCCACCGGGGAGGCCCGGTCATCTAGTCTTATATCCTGGGAGACCAGGTAATTTTTTGTTGACTGTCCAACATTGTGTATGAAAAACTGTAGAGACAGCATGTGGCGCTGGGTAATGTTCTCTTCCTCCAGAGAAGATTTACTTTTGCTTCTGACAGGCAGCTAGAGAAGAGAGCTTCGCCTCTCTGGGTGCCCGCCTGGAAGCTGTCTTTCAGTCTCCTCTAGTCTTTTCTAGAGCTGCTATTCCTAGAAAATAGCCCTTTGTCTCCCAGGCCCCGACAAATAGGCATTAAAGAAAATGTCTTAAGAGGAAAAAATAATGAAACCATGTATTCCTTCTCTTCTCTCCAAGATCTTGGTCCCCTCAAGTCCTCCCTGCCTTGGCAGCTTTCCTGTGCCTTTAAACAGATTTATTAAACATTAAATGCAGCCTTTTTAGGTCCTCAGTGAGTGTGTTGTCTGATACAAGCTAGTCTATTTTAGCCAGAAACAAGTCTAGATGAGACGATGAAATTAGCACTTTCAGACTACTAACTAAGTGAAGCTAAAGAGATCACTACCTTGTAACAATATCTAATGTAACTTTCACAGCATGAGATCATGACTAGTATCGCCCCATTTTATAGAGGAAGCTACTGAGGCAGAGAAAGATGACCTAAACTCACCCAAGACCACTGGGTGGCAGTGGTGGAGTCAGGATTTGAAACCCAGTGTCCTGACCCTGAAACCTGAGCTCTCAACCTAGCCTGGTGCTAGATTTATTAATGCCTGTTGAATGACTAAAGTAGGGAGCCTCAGCTTTCCTCAAGACCCTAAAGACAACCTCCTGTAATTAGCGCTTATTCAGCTCAAATGTCAACAGAAGACAGGGTGTGTTTTGTATGTTTTCAAAGAAGGCAAACTCTACTTTGCTCCTTCCTCACTTAGCACAAGTAGTTCAAACAAAAGCCCATAGGCAGAGCTTCTAAGTGCTGTCCATGAATGATTCTTTTCTGCTTCTGGGAAGTAGAGCTGACCTGGAAGACGAAACTACTCTGAGTCTCTGCCCCAAGCAGAGGAAGAGCTAAGGGCAGATGGCTACTGGGTTTATTCCAGAAGTTGTCTCTGCCCTGGTTAATTGGGATCTGGGCTGTGCAAGGGTGAGATGTTGAAACCTTTCTGCTGTTGCACTTCAATTTCCCTTTGATGGACTGGGGCCGCCATTTGGAGCTGTTGCAATTAGATACTGTTTTGTTTTGGGTGCTCTGGCTTGCTCTGTTGTGGGGTGTCACGGGGGGCTATTCACTGTATCTTTTTCATTCTCTGGCCTTTCTGAACAGGTAAAGATTGCATTTCCTGGCTAATTTGTGATTAGGTGGAACCTTGTGTCTAGTTCTGGCCAATGAGTTGTCACATGCATCATTTCAGGCTGCAGCATTTGATTCTGAAAGAAAGCAGGACTGTCCAAGTTGAGGTTATTATTAACCCAAGGTTACAGAAATGGAGATAATATGTGGCAGAGCTGGGATTCAGACCTAGGCTCTGTGTCTTCCAAGTCTGTGTTCTTCCCCAGGACTCCACAATGAGGACCTAGCGCAACCCTGGAATCCTCTACTTTTCTCCACGAGCCTCTTGCCTATGCTTCTGCCTTACTCCCTGCCCACCCCCCCATACTTCCTCACTCCAGTTATTCTCTTGGCAATTTACCTTGTCTTCCAAGTTGTTCCTTGTCTTTCTGCCGAAGCTGCCCAGTAAAGTCTCCACCCTACCTTAATCTGGCTTTTTAGCTCCTCCAAGTCTGTGCCCAGGCTGCTAAGCCCGGTAGAGGAAAAGAAAATCACCAGCCAGCATGTCTCTGCCATCACTGGGGCCCTCACGACTGGGGGGATGGGCAGCTTATCCTTCCTAGTCAGTGCTCACCGGCCCCTCACCGAGCCTGCATCTCCTCCTAGAGGTACTCAAATCCTTCTCGTCTGAAAACAAAACCCTCCTCCAACCCCACGTCTACCTTCATCTAACACGTTTTCCCTTCTTTAAAGCCCGGTCTACCTCCCCTTTACTGTTCTTTCAAGAGTCAATCCACTCCAGTCTGGTTTCTGCCCCCATCATGTCAGACTCTGCTCTCTCCAAGGCCACCGGCAGCGCCTGGTTGGCAGGATTCAGTGGGTGCTGTTCGGCCCTCAGCTCACTTCACCTTTCCACAGCCTGGACCCTGAACCTTTCTCTTCTACTTGGAAACAGGTTCCTTAAACTTCATCTTCTCCCACAATGCCCAGTCTCCCAGCCAGCACCCGGAGCTCCCTCTCCCCCCTCCCTTGGGCTTCCCCCCCCCCCCCCCCCCCCCCGCACATTTCCTACATTTCCTATCCACTGTCTCCAAGCCCTGCAGAGTTTTCCCTCTGAGCATCTAGAATCCATCCCTTCCTTGCTGCTCTCACCGCTTTCCCACCCGGCTCCCCTCCCCCACCCCTCCCTGCTGGTTAAATCCCCCCTGCGCACTTACTGTGGAAGCCCAGGCCTGGCTCCCTCCAGATGGTCCTCTTTGATTTTGCTCAAGTGGAGCTGAACTTACCAGATGCTGCCCCCATGTCCCAAGGGTGCGTGCACTTGACCTTAACCTGGCTAACTCCAGTGCCAGGTTCTGGGTGCAGCTGGGGCTCACTTTCTTCAGGAAGCCTTCCTAACTCCCCAAATCAGCTCAGTGACCCCTGTGTCCAGGTCTCACCCCCCAGTGATCATCCTGCAGGACCAGGATTCTATTGCCTTTTGCTGCTGCCTCCCCGGAGCAGTGCCAGCCTCCCTGCGTGCCCAGGACCCCTGGTTGAACAGCCTGGTTAAGTGAAAGGGAGGAAACTGGCCAGAGGGGTGACCACCTCTCCTACCTGCCTGGCTCCATCCGTCCTAAGCTGGGAAGTGGCTCTGTGCTTCTCTGGGCCCTGGGAGGGTGTAGCGGGCAGGCAGCTGGGGACTGGAGGTGGTTCTAGGGGAGCTTCTCAGTGAGTTAAAGAGGAGGGAGGGATCAGGATAGCGCAGAGGGGCCCTGGACACCCTCTCTCCCCTGGGGCTTTGGGCCCTACGGAGTGTCTCCTCCATTCCCTAAGGCGTTCGCTGGACACCCCCTCTCCTCATCCCATCCCCTTGTCTTCTGTGCATCCTCCCGCAGCTCCCACGGCCTTCGCTTGCCGGAGCAGGTCGGGTGGACACTTGTCCGCCCGTCCCGCCCTGGCGGACCCCTGAGCTCCCGGGTGGGGTGGGGTGGGGGTGGCGCAGAGGGCTGGGGCGGGGGCGCGGCAGCAGCTGGCCCCCTCACTCACCCGCGCGCGGCTTGGAGATCCCAGGCTGGGGCTCGGCGGCGGGTGGAGGGCGCGCTCGGGCGGGCAGGCGCTAAGAGACGGCGACCCGGGCTGGGCACCCCAGGAGCAGCCCCTCGCGGCCGCACGCGGGGAGGGCCCCGGCGCGGGGGTGGGGGCCCCTCTCTCGCCGCAGCGTTAGCCCCCCGCGCCCCTTTGACCCCGGAGGAGCGGCGTTGTCGGAACGATCCTTCCTTCTCCCGCGCCGCACCTCCCCTCGCCCCTTCTCCTCCAGGCTCCGCGGGTGTCGGGCGCCTGGCAGTGAACCCCGCGCCGCGCATGTGGCCTCAGCCTGGGCTTCGCGAGTTCAGGACGGCGCTTTGCCGCTCCCTGCGGAGCGCGGGTCTGGGCTCCGCGGGCTCTGCCTGCTGCCTCGGAGGCTCCCCCACCTCCCGGGAGGGGCGGGGGCGAGGGGCCTGGGGGGGGGTAGGGAGGTTTCCCGGGCCCGGGGCTGGTTCTCAGCACCCCTTCCCCAGCCAGCCTCCGCCAATCCTGCCCCCTTGAAAGGGGTGCGGCCACGAGCCCCTTCCCGGGACGGCTGGAAATCCTGGGGGATTCCTGGGGACCTGTTGCGGGCGAGGAGAGGAGAAAACGCGGGCACCAAGCCCACCTGTAGGCTGGGCTGGTAGAGGCCTGGGTGGGAGTCTGAGGTCCCGACTTCCCAGAACCTCGGACAAGTGTCTCCTTCGACCTCCGCCGTGGTCGTTGGCTCGTCAGCTCCCCCATTCGCAAGCTCCTGCCGGGCCCCGGCCAGGAAGCCTTCGCCCTGACGGCCAAGGAGGTGCTCGCTCATCCTCGCTCTGCAGATGCAAGGAGGCGGCTCAGGGCTGCTGCCTCTATCTAGGCCAGCACTTGGGGAGGTGGGGTGGGGGGCGCAGGACCGGGGTGAGTCTATGCCTGGTCTCCTCCAGCTTGGCCCGTGAGGAATGTGACTTCCAGGGCGCAGCCTGATCAGCGCCCCCCATCTTTGGGTCTCAGGTGTGTTGTTTCCAGCACTCAGCTCCCCCCCTACACCCCCGACGCCCCCCACCTCCCCGCAAAGCGTGGGTGAAGTCAGAACAGCTCCGTTATTGGACAGAACTGGTTTCATTTATTGAGCAGACAGCTGAAAGAGAGGACCTGGTGACCAGGGCCTGCCCATGTCCCTTGCCGGCTGAAATACTGGAGGGTTCTGGAGCTGCTTAGAGGTGAGAGGTCACTTTCAACCCCACAAGGAAATGGGGAGAATGGGGAGGTTGATTTCCCTCAGGCTGGGGGAAACCACAGTCCTCACAGCTGGCTCATACTTGTGAAACTGAGCCCCTTCATGGAGGTGTGTCCACTGCGGTCAGGGATTTAGTTCCTGAGGTCTATGCAGAGGACATGGAGGGTAGAGCCTTGGATGGGGCTCCCCAGCTTTCTCTGTGGGACTCAGTGAGCCCCATCTGTACAGTGAATGACCTCTCCCGCTTTTGCTTTGGGAGAAACCTGCTGTGAGCCTGGCCCTCTGCCCCCACCCTTGACAGGGGGAAAATAGTCAAGGGTCACTTAGAGTGGTGTGGGCTATGACAGGGTTGGGGGGAAGCACTGGGGCTGTGGGAGCACAGGGAAGTCAGGGGAGGCTTCTGAGAAGAGGTGTATCGGCACTGATGCTTGGAGAACGAAACTCTTACTAGCTTGTCTTTGGTTCATCAAACCAAGACAGGTCACGAGGGGCAGATGTCCCCGGAGAGTGCGTGAGAAGCAGTGCTTTCTGCATAGCCATATGCACCTGGGCCCGGCCCTCCCTGCCCCAACCCTGTGAGTATGTGGGGCCTTGAGGTGGCTCTCCAGGGAAAGTCTGGGGAATTGCTTCTCCATTAAATTTAAGCCTTTAACATTTATTGTACACCTACTGTGTGCTCTGATGGTGCTCAGTACTGGAAAAAAACAACCACACAGTAAGCTTAAATAGGATTGATTATTTATTTTGTGACAAAGACAACTTCAACCTCCCTAGGGGGGTCAAGAGAAGGGGACACAGGTGGCAGAAGAGGATGAGAGGGCGTGTGATTAAGGGTGTTCTTGGAATGGGCCTCTAAAGGCGAAGAGTCTTGATAGGCAGAGAGGAGTGGGGGGCAGGGAGAGAGCCTCCAGAGGAACACAAGGCAAAACTTGGAGACTGGGAGTCTCGATTGTTCAGGAACAATGAGTAGGTTGGGAAGAAAAGGGAAAGCTGGAGGTCTCCCTTGGAGCCAGATCACAAAAAGCCTTGAATGGTGGAGTCAAACACCAAGTGTCTCAGGGCAGCGTTCTGCTCAGGAGCCACCTCCTCCCGGAAGCCTCCAGGTTCCAGCCTCACCTGGGCTGCTGTCCTGGCAATGACCATTTGGTCTGCTGGGGGACCAGGAGCCCCTCAAGGCTCTGTCCCTGTCTGGTTCACTGTTGCCTGGGGTGTATCACCGAGGAGTTGCTGTTGGTTTTGAAATTCTGAAATGAATATGCTGATATTCTGAAAAGTTTTTGATATTGTGAAAAGAATCTGCTAAGTTCTAGAGACCCAGATCCCGGTCTTAGGGACTGAGGGGCTTAGCTAGAGTTCTACGCATGGTTCCTGCAGGCCTGTGCTTCACTTCTCTAGCCAGGCTGAAGTAAGGGACGGGTGTCCCTGGGCCCCAAATTCCAGAGAAAGTAGTCAGTAGATAAAAAAGGGAAGGAAGTGGAGCTGCAATCCAGAAAGAAAACCCAGGTCAAGAACCTGAAACAAGAGGTTCCCCCTGGGGAACCAGCGACACCTTGCTTCAGGCCAGGACTGAAGCAGAGCCACGTGGAATCCGTCTCCTGAGCCTTGGTCCCCGCGAATGTAGGTCTGGTGTCTCCAGGGCCTGGCTCACCTCTGGTTTAGACCCCAGGAGGGTGGTGGGCTGGAAGGGGCAGACCCTTACACCTCAGCCCTCCCCAGCCCCCCGGCCTCCTGGCTTCAGCTTCTCCAGGGTCCTGCTCACGGTGGACAGGCTGCTGCGGGCTCCTGTGGGGAAGACCAGGATGGGGCTGTCTGAGGTGATTATTTGGTGACTCAGAGTGAACCAGAGGGGTCCGAGCAGGATGGAAGATGCCCAGTTTCAGCAACCAGCTTTGAGAGCTGGCTTCCACCATGGGAGAGGATTGTGAGAAGCTGAACTGGGATGTGAGACCGAGGGAAAGGAAGGGGCACCGAGGTGGCCTCTGTTCTGGTGTCCGTGCTGGGCACCAGAGTGAAGCCCCGAGGACAAACAGGAGCTCAGCTTGGCTTGGAGCAAGAGAGTTTTGACTAAATACGTGGAAGGAAACCAGCTATGATGGGAAGCCTCTTCCGCGTGTCCCTCAAGACTTCTCCCTGGGCCCCACAAAGCTGCTGAGTCAGACAGGGAAGATGGAAGACGTGCTCTGGAATTTCTGGAACTTACCCTCTTTATTGCCATTAGTGCTGGATCTTCCCTCCCCATGATCTGGCCCTGGATGGGGGTGGATCCTCAGGCTCCCTGAGGGATGAGACCCCCCCCCCACCAAGCCCTTTGGTTACTAAATCGTTCCCAAGTCAAGTCCAGCTCTGGGAAGGAAAGTCCTTCCTGCTGTCTAATCTAGTCTCCATCTCCTGCTATCTTTTCTCTTCAGGCCCCCCGTGAAGAAATGGGCCCTTGAAGGTGAAAATGGTAGCTTTTTAAAAGGGGGTGGGGTTTCTGGGGTATAATAAAGTAGGGGTATAATAAAGCCACACTGGACTGCTAGAGATGGGAGTATGTATGAAGGAAGCTGAGGTAAGGTGGGGAGCTGTTCAGAAAGGAAACAGAGGGTCTTCATGGGGGCTCAGAGATGAAGTGGGGTTATTTGAATATCTTGGAGGGTTTGGGGGAGATGGAGTATCTCTTAGGGGAGATGGGAGCTCAGAGCAGGCACCTTTGTGGTGACAAGCAGCAGGTTGGAGTGGCTGCTCTGTTGTCATGGCAACACCTGCACGCCCATGTGTGAGCGCGTGCACATGTATACAGAACCAGGAGCAGTTGTGTACATGGGTTCAGCTCCACTGCACATGGGTCACAGACTTACCCACAGGGTCTCCCACAGGCCTTGGCAGGGGCTCAGCAGGGCGGGAGAGGACTCACCTAGTGTAGGCAGGATGTGGTCCAGGTTGAGCTGATCCTTCAGGAAGGGGTAGGCCAACATGAGGAGCCCTGAGAAGTGAGACAGAGGGGTTCTGTGATGGGAGGGACCTGGATAGTGCCAGCTGAGTGAAGCTGCGGGTGTGCTGCGAGGGGGGTAGGTTTTTGAGGGTGCATGGGAGGAGCAGGAGTGGGCAGGGCTGTTGGTGCAAATGTGAGCTTGAGAGTGTGTGCAGGAGTGGCTCCCCAAAACCCAGTGCCAAGAGCGGGTGGGGATCAGTGTCTATCTGGAATAGCAGCTACAGGCTATGAAGGCCCAGACTCCGGCTCCACCCTGCCCAGGTGACTAGCAGGTTAGCTTCCTGCCTTCTCAGCTGCCTGGAGATGGGCCCAGCCGACACCACCACCGACACCACCACCGACACCACCACCGACACCACCACCGACACCACCGACACCTCTCTCTTGCTCCACCCTCCTCTAGAGTCCCCAGGGTCAGACTGGGGGCTCCTTGGGGTGCTCCTTTCCACCCAGGCCTGGAGAGAGGGAGACAGGAGGGCAGATCCTGCCCTGCCCACTCCCGCTTCAACCCCAGACCAATCAGCTGTGGTCTTGGCGGAGTTCCCAGGGTCAGAGGCCCAGAGCCCCGGGCTGCTTTTGGCGTAGGGTGGTGGACTGGGGTGAGGGATGGTCCTTGACTTCACAGGGGGAATGAAAGTGGGACTGGCACTCAGCAGAAGCTGCTGAGACACACAGGAAAGAAGGGAAACGTCTCTGAGCTGGCAGCTGTCTTGGCTCAAGGAGAGTGCCGCTGGGTGCCTGTCTTTTTCCTAACCCCACCCACCTACCCTCATCACACTTATGAATCCCACCAGAAACTCAAGAGCCCGAGGCTCTGGCCTGGGCAGTGTGTGGGGGGACATTCAGAGAGGAGTGGGGTAACCAGCCGCCTCCTCCACATCTCCTCACCCCCACTAGCCCATGGAGGGAGCCACACCCCGACCTTCAGCTCCCTCCCCGTACCCTCTGACTCACTCTTCTGTGTTCCATCCTCCCCAACCAATTCCTGTGGACCCAGCCCTTCCCTCCATTTCCTGTTCACCCGAGGGTGCCCTGCTCCCTCTCAAGCCCAGCACCTGCTCACCCAGACCAGCTGCACCAATAAAGATACCACCCACGGCAGCTGCAGCTTTGGACACCGAGACGCCGATGATGATGCTGCCGGCCGCCAGGCCGAGGCCCACACAGGCCAGCTGCAGGCAGCGGAAGTCTCTGCTGCTGATAGGGTTGTCCATGCAGGCCTACGGGGCGCCGCCTCCAGCCACTGGGACCAGTCCCCCGAAAAGCCCTCAAGGTCTGTCTTCTCAGATGACCCCTTTGTTGAAGTTCAACCTTCAGGCTGGGAGTTTCTGAACAGTGAACTTCTGCGCCGGTACCTCTGGATTTGTCTGTAACCCTGTCCCACAGCTCTCTAGCCAGCCCCCAGAACCCCTTAACTAAGGGCTCGACCAGAGAGCCCAGCTCACTGGTTCTCCACGAAAGGCTTCTGCAGCTGGAGACTACACTCGGGACTCCTTCCTGTCCACGTCCTGCCGAGGCTGCCCGCGTTCTCAAGAGCTGGGCCTGCCCCTCAGGGTCCTCCCCTGCCAGCCTCCTCTTAGGAGAGCTCAGCCTACGCTCCCCTGCCCAGGACATCCTGCCCCAGCTCCCTGGAGCCGGCTCAGCTGCCACGGAGCCTCGCCTATTAAAGTTTAAAACAAGGAGGGGCGGGCAGGGGGCCGTTGGCCCAGGGGACAGGGCTCCTTGGTGCTGCAGGCAGCGGGGAGATGCTGGGTTATTCATGAGGCTGCAACATGAGCTCTGCCTGGGCCCCAGAGGCCCCCAGGGGCGCTCAGACCAGGTTCCACTGTTGGCTTCTGAGGGCATAGGAGGAGCTGGTGGCTTTGTGGGAGGAGACTCCCCAGCCACGCGCTGAGGGCCCACTCTGCTGTCCTCTGCCCTGTGGCTTGGAGGCGCACCTGGGCCTCTACTAGGGGACTTGGGGACAGAAGCATGGAGGACACCCCGGGGGAGGCTCAGGAAACAGGAACAGCGCCTGGGCCAGGAGGAGGAGAGGGGGAGGTGTCCCTCCAAGTCCAGTCTCTCCCTGCCCGCCTTCCCATCCTGCTCCCCATCCCAACCACCTCTGGACTCTTGAGCAGGGCTGAAGGGCCCTAGCTTGAGGTTGAGCTCAAGGGAAGCCCTTCTCAGCTTGATTTGGTGCTCAGCTAAGCCCCTTCCGGCTGCTAATGGCTAAGACGCTGAAGCCCTTCCAGCTGTCCGGCATCCTTGGTGGGGGGCAAGGGGAGCTGACGGGGAAGAACAGCGGTCGTGGGGGTATGGGGAGGAGGAAGGTTGGTTCAGATTAGAGGCTCAGGAAGAGGAATCAGCAAGGCCTGGGTGCTGGGCAGCGGCAAGCAGGAAACCAGATCAGTTGGGTGCATCCGGACCCAGGACTGAGGTCCTTTGCCGGCCCCTCTGACCTGCTCACAGGATCCACCCCTCAAGCTGGGGGGCGGTGACCCAGCCCAGCTCAGCCCAGCCCTGTGCCACCCCCCAGGTCATCCTTGACCCCAGAATATGGCCCTGGCCCCAGCCCTTTGGCACCAGGGTACAGTTCCCAGGGTTCCATCACCAGCTCCCCGGCCTCCCTTCAGAGCCCCAATCTTTCTCCGCTGCATCTGCAGGCCACACAGCCGGACCAAGGCCTTCTACTTCCCCTGCCTCCACAGCCACCCCCTCAGCCCACCCCCACCTCCGTGACCCTCCGCTGTGTCTTCCTGGCCTCTGAGTTTAGAGAACACCTTTTCTCCGGCAGGATTCTGCTCGGCCAGCTGCCACCCTGCCAAAATTCCTGGTGGCCCCTGAGCGGGTGGGCTGTCGACCACGGCTGCCGTGTCCCCACGCTAAGTGCCCACCGTCTGTCCTTGTTTCCGTCTCCCCTGTACCATGTCATGGGCAGGTTCAGGGAGTGAGCTCGACGGGCCGCCATGGCTAGAAGGGAGCTGGGCGAGGCTGCTGGTCACAAGCACAGAACTCGGAGGCTTGGGCACTACCACCACCTTGGGTCAGCAGGAGAGGGCTGTGGGCCCCAGGGGGGCTCTGTCTCTAATAGGCACTTCCCTTGGCTGTGGATTGGGGGCCCAAGGCGACCAGGGTTCCTCAGCCTCACCTGAGGGAAGGCAGGATGTGTGGGGACAGGTGTGGAGAGAGGAGGTGTCGACTCGGGTTGAGTTCCTGGTCCCAATAAGACTCCTGGAGCTGGACATCCCCCAGCACAGCTGCTGCCACCGACATCCCTGTGCCTCCCACCAGGATGAGGTCTGATTATCCCTTCAATTAGGCATCAAATGACAGCCCATGTCTCTGTCACACGTAATTGATCCCCCACTGACTAGTTTTAGAAGGAACCCTTGATATAATTGTCTATGAAAATGTGTTCCTAGAAGAGATGCTCTGGGAGGCCGAGCACCCTCCACACAGCCTCTCGTCCCCACTGGGTGCTGGTGTTGGACAGCCAGGGCCTGTGATGGCACCGCCAGGGGTGTGACTCCCACGTCAGCAGCATCGCAGGCTTTGGGCCTCGCCTCCCACCTTGCACTGTGGGACCTGGACCAGCCCTGCCTAAGCTTCTCTTCCCTCGTCTGGTGACTGCGGATGGCAGAGACTGGAGTTAGGGAGGCTTGTGCACTTGAGTTCCAGATTCCAGAAGAACACTCCGACCTCCAAACTCTGGAGACCAAATTCTAAATTAGTTTTCTTTGACATTGTAAATCCCTCAGGGCAGAGTCAGAGGAGAAAATATGGAGGAGAGACACATTAAATCATTATCAGTTACAAGCTCACAGGCCCCCGGAACCAGCTCAGCTCATCATAGAGTAGACGGGGAAACCAAGGCACAGGGAGGCACTTCCCCAGTGCTCCAGGCAGGGCCTCTAGCTCAGCTGGGAAGTCCTCTAGCATATCTCTGGTCCTGAATTTCTAACTTGTCTTTTTTGAGGTGGGAGGAATTGGCAGCCCCACCATCAAAAGGAGGCATTGTGTTCAAAAGAATCATTCCAGCCTTCATCTTTTCGCTCATGACAGGAGGGTGTCATTAAAAACTGCTCAAAACTTTTGTGATGCCTGCTTCTCCTTTGATTACAAATATAGAGAGCGAGGCTTGCCAATTCTTTCCTCAATATAGGCTGTATCATTTCTGAAAAATAAAATACATGCTTGTCCTTGGGTGCTGCGTTTATTCTAATAGGTAAATGAGTTAAAAGAACCCATCTATGTGGGTGATGGAGCTGGAAGCCAAGGCACTGGAGCCTGACCACCCATACACTCCCCCTCACAAGCCTCAGAGCCCTCCTCCCTGAGGCCTGGCCCCCCACCCCCCACTCCCTCCCCCAACCCCAGCTCAGGGTGTGGCTAGAACCTGGGTCAGGTCGAGCTGTCACAAAATCTCTCTTTGTCTCTGGGAGAGGCCAGGGCTGGAAGGTGCCTGCCAGGTTCTTTCCCTCCCATAAGCACCAAGTCCCAGTGCGGGTGGGGGTAGAGTGGGTGAAAAGGACTCGGCTTGGTTTAGTTCTGTTTATTTTCCTTGAGGGTTGAGGACCCTGGAAGAGCGTGATTAATTCACTGATCCCCCGGGGCCAGGGCTTTCCTGACTGCTCTGAAGCTGAAGTCAGGAAGCAGCTTCCAAGGCAACTGCTACCATGGCAACAAGAGTGCCAGCTATGGTGGGGGGGTTGCTCCTCACTCCCCTCCAAACGGAAACAATCGGAGCAGTGGGCACAGGACCAAGGCACTCCTGGTCTCGCAGCTGGGCCTGGGGCGGGAGAGTCGGCCAGCAGGTGGACACCAGAGTCTTGCTCCCTGTGCCTGGGGCCCCAGAGGTGGCTCAGACAGGAGTCCTCAGGGTCCATTTGAACCAGGAGGGGCTGCGGCCAAGGTCCGCTGACTAGATTTGAGGCAAGAGGCCTAAGGTCTGGAACATTCCAGCCAGGTGGAACCAGCTCTCCCTTAAGTCCCAGTCCAAGAGATGGAAGCCCTAGAGACAGGAACTGGTTGCCATGGTTCTAGGTGCCACAGCCTCCTGCAGTGTGTCTGCCACACCTGCCTCTGCCCAGCAGTCAGACATACAGCCTGGTTCTCAGAAAGGTCACCTAGTAGACAGTGGCAGGACTAGAGAACCCAATCGGGCTTTTGCCTGGCTCTACCACTGCCCCTGGAGGACAGGGGCTCCGGCCCACAGGAGCCGAGCAGCCAGTCAGCAGCAGCAGCCCGCAAAGGACAGAGGCCAGCCCATCTGCAAAGTCCCTATCCATTTCCACCCACACAGCCCTTCTGTAGACAGAGGGCTCTGGGAGCCAGAGGAGGCAGAGCTCGTCTCCATGACAGCAGGAGCTGAGTAATTCTGCCCCAGGATACAATAAAAACCACCATAGCTAACATTTACCAAGCACTCACTGTGTGTGCCTGGAATTGCTCTAAACACTTACTAATTTGCAATTTTCACAACAGCGCCATGAGGTAAGCATGGTGAGTCACTCCGAGATTAAGTGACTTGGTCAAGGCTTAAAGTTAGTAGTGAGAGAGCCGGGATTTGAATGTAGGCCACTGGGTGCTGCGATTCTCTGGGAACTCTATTTCTCCCATCTTTAGGTGTAGAGCCCTGGCAAGCTGTTTCTCCTTTCTCTACTTGGTTTCTATGTCAAGCGGGATAATAGTGCCTTACCTTAGGACTGCTGTGAGAATTAAAGCCAATGAACTTCTCAGAATGGACCTTTTATCTAGTAAGTGCTAGCAAAGCCAGAGGGCACAGTGGCGTTCAAACAGTGCCTTGGAGCAAGTGAGTGGACAAGATGGGGGAGGCCAAGTGGTAGAGGGCACAGCCTGAGAGAAAGCAGAAGCAGGAGAGCCTGCTGCAGCCCCACACAGGGCAGGGAGTGGGGAGGGCTTGGTCCAGGCAGCTCTTAGAAGGCACATTCCTGCTGGGCCAACCTGGACGAGGACTGAGCCGTGGCTGGAGTCTGGAGACAAAACTCATAGCCTGGTTCTGATTCGCCAGGGACTAGATTTTGTGCCAAAGGCTTGGATCTCACAGGCGTATCTTTCCAGCCCATCCCGCTCCAGGTAGATAAAGAAGGGAGGTGAGGGTTACTGCAGAGGGAGGTCGGTCACCAGAAACTATGCCATCGCCAACAGGGAGGCACCACGGTGGAGAAGAGCAGTGGCCCAGTCCCCCGCCTGCCCTCAGAGCCAAGAGCGCCTAGTCCCGTCTCCCCTGCGCTCTCCAGGGAGAAGGGCTGCCAGCAGGGCCCAGTCTACTGCCCTCTCAGACCTTTCTTGCCGCCTCCTTGAGAACAAATGAAGGTCCTCCCCACTCCAGCCCTCTTCCCTGGCTATTTGGCGCCACACAGGAGTTGTCTGCCGTGCACACGGGCTGTGGATGTGAGGCGCTCTTTCCCGGGCACACAACACCGCCTCAGGAAAGGCTGTGTGCCTGCCAGGCAGGGCCCATCTGCTGACGCGCTTTTTAAAGCTGGTCTGTGAGATGGTGGCTGCACTGCCTGGTCCAACACTTGGTGGGGAGATCCTGAAGGGCGGAAGGAAGCCCATTCTCATTCATCTCTGAGCCCTGACCCAGAATAGGAGATTGATAAATGTTTGATGAATTTCATGTCCTCATCTAAAAAAAGAAAAGCAGTGATGTCTCCTTCACCTTGTTTTATGGATCCAGTGAAGTCCTATATTTAGAGGGTCCTGACAGGGGCACCTTCTCCCCGCCCAGCTGGTCTTGGCCCCTCTCTGGAAGGTCTGTCTCCTCAGCTCTGCTGGTAAAGAAAGGACTGCCAGGAAGACCAAAGCTGGAATTTAAAACAGTTTTATTAAAACAAACGCAGTGTACACTAGCATCACGGTGTTACACGAACTTCTGTCTGACTTATGTGGATCAGTTTTCTCCAGGCCACTGGGCAGGGCAGCTAATCTGCATGGATGTGCCCTCGGGCTCCCTGGTAGCGGGCGCCACATTGCTCAGACCAGGCAGCCAGGCTGCCTCTGACCTGGCTCCACATCTGGCACAGAGGCCTTGCACTGCCCCTGGCAGGTCCCACCCTGTACACCAGACCTGAGGGACATGGCAGACATGGCCTCTCAGTTGCCTCTCTTCTTAATAACTTAAAATCCGGGTAAGAGGGAAGACCTGATTAAAACCCCAATGCAAGAAAGTCCAGGAAAGAGTGACCTACATGCTCTGGAAAGTCTGTGGGCTTGCAGTGGGAGTTTAAAGTCTCATCTTGACTGGAAAAGCATGGTTTAAAAAAAAAAAACAAACAAAACGAAGTAATACTGACTTTAGCAGCAATCCCAAACAAGGAAGATGATGATAAATGAGGGATTCATTCTGGTCACGGCAAAGAAAGATTATGTGCTTCTCCGTGCTACAGACTGGAAGACTGATCTGGCTTCCGGAACGCAGACGCTCCCTGCCCTTCCCTGAATTGAGGGTAGCTTTGCTCGGCAGAGGGGGAGGACATCCAGAGGACAGAGGAAGGTGGAAAGACTGGAGGGGGGCAGGCTGTGTGACAGCAACGAGAGAGGGAAGAGGCCTCTGTCGGACTTCTCCAGCCCAGCTCCCTGAAGGCTGCGGGCGCAGCCCACCACTGCCATGAGCACAGGCTCCATTCTGGATCTACGGGCAGGCGAGCTGGTGGGCAGAAGCCTAGCACTGACAACACTGCTGCAGGCGATTATGCAAAGTGACAAGTGATTGCTTTCCTTTTCAGAGACAATCCCTTTGGAAAAAGCCTTTTCCTGAAGGTCTCTGGGCCTTTGTGGACAAAAAGGCCTGAAAGGTGTTATGGACCAGGTCTTTCTGCTTGCTCTGCAGACTCTGACCACACAGTTTTCCAGAAGGGCAATGCCTGGACGGGCCTAGGGCCTGGAAGGTGCGAAGGAGTGTGTCAGAGGGCTGGGGGTGTCGGGCACGGTGCCTGCCGTGTCTCCGCTGCGGCCTGCCTGGGCCAGGGCTCTCCGGCGGGCCAGGCGTGACTTCGAAGGAGGGGAAAGTTTCACAGAGCAGAAGCCCTCAGTCAGTGCCTCTGACTCTTCTGCCAGTTCGTTCTCCTCGTGCTGAGATAGCTGGCGGTTAAGGGCTATGGCCTCAGCTGCAAAGAGAGTCAGGTCCATTGTGCTGCTGTTTCTGCAGGGGCAGGGCAAAGGCACAGAAAAGAGGCGACGGGGCTCAGTGGGGTCAGCCGGGTCAAATCCTGACACCACCACCAGCTGCTGCTTTTCATACTCCCACCAGATTTGTCTGAGCTGGCACAGACTGCCCTGCAAAGTAGTTCTTTCATGGGGTTGACTCTCACTTCACTGAGGCTGAAGTGGCTTTGGGCCTTAAGTACAGTCCCTGGCCTGGGGAGTCAGGCCAAATGCCCCCTTCTGTTTCAAGCACCCGCCTCTGAGCTCCCGTGGTTGTGCACACAGCTCTGCCCAAGGAAGGGCCCTGGCAATTGAAACTCACCAGGTATGCCCTGCTCCTCACCAGGGAGGGAGTGCCAAGAGCTGGGGCTGTGCCTTTGTGTCTGTGTCCCCAGAACCCAGCTCAGGGCCAGCATATAACAGGCACGTTGGACTCAGCGAGTAAATTTTCTAAGGTGGATCTGAGGTTTGGGGTCTTAGGATATCCGGAGGTGTAGCTCTAGAGAATTAGGTGGGAACCCAAGCAGGGCAGTGGCATTTTGGCTCAAATGAAATTGGAAATGTAAAGGTGTAAGACTTCTCTGTGTAGAAACTGGCTATGAGGTTGGTTCCCACAAAGCTTTAGCCTTGGCCCTTTGGGATTAGGGCACTGCAAGCTGGAAACACAGTCTAGTGTTAGAAGGCACCAGAGTCAAACAGATCTGGGTTCAAAGTTTAGCTCTCCAGACTAGTGTGTGGCTTTGAGTAAGTTAGCTGGAGCTCTCTCTGGTTCGCTTTTCTCATCTATAGGAGGGATAAATGTGCTGTAAACACCACAGAGGTAATGTATGCAAAGCCCTGAGCCCCACATCTGGCATGTGCTCTATGCTGTACAGTGGCCAGCGTTATTGTCTAGCAGTGTCTCTAACAATTGGTCCCAGTGGCTTCTACGTTCCTGTTTCCTGCTGCTTTCACCAACCCAACGCAGAAGACAGCTTCAGTGTCAGTAGCCAGAGAGGCCTCTTTTTGGGTGTAAATGCTGATTAATAGTTAGGATTCAAGTGGATATACACCACAGCACAAAGAGAGGCCTGAGAAGTACTGGAAGGCAGGGGAACCAACCAAGTAGAAGAGAGGGCGACAGATCTGTTATAGAGAGAGGAAGAGAAACGGGCAGAGAGGCAGGGAGCCCCTTCAGGAGAAGGGTATCTGAGCGTAGTGATGTGTTCTCTGCCCCCACCTCCACCCCAGTGTGTCTGAGAGCAGGAGGGTAAGTCACAGCCAAAGAAAGAAGAGTGCTGAGTGTCGTGGGAACATTTACCTCTGGAGGACTTGCGGCGTGGGGAGTCCCCTTTCTGGAGCTTGCTAGAATGGGAAGGATAGATGTGTGGGTCAGCAAGGCTTCCTCTTCAAGAGCTGCCCCCACCCAAGTCAGCACAGAGTGGGTAGAGGCCCTGGCCCAGCACCAGCCTTAGGCCACATGTGCTCCAGGTCAGACCTTCCAAGGAGGGAGGGAGCAAGGTACATCTCCAAGCCACCTGCCCCTGCCTGCAGGGCCTCTCTTTGCCAGGCAAGGTCCTGCTCCAAGACCCAGCTCAAGGGTCACTTCCCCTGTGACATATTCCCTCTTCCCTGCTACCTCCCTAGATCCTGGTCCTTTGGGGCCCCTAGGGCTTTTGATGAGCATCTGTCATGCCCGCCCTGTCATTTATCCCTCGTCTCCTTCTCCCCATAAGAACATGAAGGCAGGGGCAGGGTCTTACTCATCCCAATGTCTGGCATGTGGTTGCTGCTCAGTAAAGAGAATAACTCCGGGGTGGCTGGGAATGAGCTGCTAAGAGACTCTTGGATTGGGTCCGCATCGGGTTGTAACACAGGGCAGGTGATGCTTGCTTTCTTCCACTGGCGGGGCCACAAGACAGGCTAGGGCCAGGAGACACAATAAACCACAGCAGGTCTGGCACACCCCCTGGAAGGGCTGAGGCCAGGAATAATGATTAACCAAGGAGGGATGGTTAACATGGTTTCTAGTGAAGAACTGGAGGCTTAATTTGGGGATAATATAACGTGTCCTTCAGGAATGATGTACCCAGACCCACAGGATGAGAAGAGCCAACATGCCCACAGTGTAGCCACACAGCAGGGCAGCAAGGCCGTGCTTCTGGATGTCCCCAGCTAATGATATTTTTGCATGAAGGGATGGTACTACAGGCCTCAAATATTGAAGCCACGCAGTTTTCTGGGCTGTGTGCCTCTACCAAAGTGTGATGGACATGCCAATTCCCCAGAGACCTCTGTCCATTCCAGAGAAGCAAGGTTAGAGCCAAGTCTGTCACAGCAAGGGGATCTGCCTGGGCTAGGTTAGTCCCCAGTCCACCCAGGTGCCCAGGAATGGAAGCTGCTACAAGATTTCCCTCAGTTCAGCTGATATCAGCCACCTGGGCTACTGGTCAGCGCTCCCTGGTATGCGACTTCCTCATGGCTGTGCCACAGGCCTGAAGAGGTGGACCATCACCCTTCCCTGAGTCACTCACCCCCTGCACCCATGGGTGCTGCAGAACTTGGGCAGCACTCAGTCTCTGCTTTGCATCGCGAACCAGTAGCTTGGAGATGAGATCTTTGGCCTCCTTGGAGATATGTGCCCAGTCCTTGTCAGGAAACTCATACTTGCCTTCTTGGATGCTCTCAAACAGCTTGTCCTAGGTAAAGAAGATTCCTCCTGAGGCCAGACTGCCAGGGACTGGGCAGCTGACCTCGGCTGAAGCTGCAGCTCATGTCTTGGGTGCCTTCCCTGACACCCACCCCCCAAGTCATCAACCATACAGCACACCCTCGGAGGGCCAGGGTGGTCATGCCACTTGGTGAGTGAGGTATCGGGACTAGAGAAGAAAGCCTACACTCCTTGGCCCTTCGTGCTGGCCCACCATGAGAGGGCCGTGGCCTCCTCCCAGGTCTCGTCTCCCACCATTAGCTTTATCCCACTCTTCTTCCTGCACGCATGCAGCTGTTGACATCTCTGTGCCTCTGCTGTTCCTTCTTGTATTTCTCACCCCTCCTTCCTGGGGCCAAGACTCATTCTTTACGACTCAGCTCAGGTGTGATCCTCTTGAACAATCCTCCCCTGAACAACCAGATGGGTGGAGGGCACGATTATCTTAACTTTGCAGCTGTCCTCGGATAGCAAAGGGAAGTGGCACTATAAACCCCCTTCCAGATCAGGAACAATTCCCAGTCCTGTCTGACATTGGACAACCACACTGAACGCCCCTCCAGGCCCCCCACTTTCCCCCACGCAGGCCTATGCAGTAGGGTCCCGGGGCTGCACTCACCTGGCACACCCTGCAGACCTCTCCCCGGTCCCAGCCACAGTCAGCCCCACAGTGGCCCACGAAGGGGGGGTAGCCGCTCAGCATGATGTAGAGGACCACTCCCAGGCTCCACAGGTCACAGCGCTTGTCATAAAAAGTGGCCTCGTCCCTGAAAACCTCCACCACCTCGGGGGCCATGTATTCCGCAGAACCGCACTGTGGAGGTCAGGGTTGGGAAGGGGAAACGGCAGAGACGAGAGAGGCTTAGTCACAGGGGGAGGACATGGCAAAAAGCAGAATGTCACAGGACTTGAACAAGGGGATGGCGCTGCAGAGGAAGCTGTCAGGAAAGTCAGAGTCTGCCTGTTACCCCAAAGCACTTAGAAAAGTTGGATCGGCTCGACATTTGTAAACTGAGTCCTATGATGCCCCACAACTGGCGATCTTGTCTTGTCCAGTCCTTCCCCTAAGTAGGCGAGACTTAGTCAAGAAGCTCTAGGAATCTGTCCCTGCCCCAGTTCTCGGTAAGCAGATACTTCCTGTCCAGGTACCTCAACAAACCAGGGGCACGGCTCTGGGAGGGAGATCTGCAGACACTCAATTCCGTAAGGCAAGGGTTTCTTAAAGTGACGTTCTGCTAAGTTTCCCTGCTAGCTCAGAGCAAGGAAGTATATGAATTTAAATTTGAGGCTATCAAAGCTAGGTGAGCTCTTGGAACAAATCCAATCTCCCACTCTTCTCACTTACAGATGGGGAAAACCCAGGCCTATGAGGAAACAAGGCAATTGGCTCAAGCATGTCAGTGGCAGACCCAGGACTGGAATCCAGGATTCTTTCCTTCCACCCTTGCAGAGAAAAATACTAAGATGAAAAATCCAATTCTTTTTGCTCACCTCTTCATTATTTCACCAAGAGATATCTTCCTCTCCCACCTACCCAACTAATGTGATGGGAGGATGGTAAGTGGAGAAAGGACGTTTTCTTTGTTATTGGCAATTAGAGTTAATAACTTTGAGAACAGGGCCTCCCTGGTGGCGCAGCGGGTGGAGCACAGTGTTGTGGAGCTGTACACAGCCTCTTCAGCACCAGTTTGATTCCCAGCCAGCCAGGGAACAACCCACATGGTGCAGCCGACCTCTCCTGACTCTCCCGCTCAGCAGTGTACTTCGGTCAATCTGCCTGTTCTGTTCCCCACTCTGTCTCTGGTGAATCCTCTCACCCCCCACATCTTGGGCCTGTACCCTAGCTCTTCTATGCATAAATAAATAAATCTTTAAAAAAATAACTTTGAGAACAACGTAGCTCAGTATAAAAGCTAATACAGAAACATTTCTAATAATGTTGTTCAGAATAAAAATACGGGCACATTTAAATGCATGCCTTAAATAAAAATTATTAGGAAAATTTACTTATGAAGCATACGAATCTCAAAGAATCATGATAATTATAGTGTATCGAGCATGTACAAGAGATGTCTTAGGATGAAGGAGCCCCCAGCAGCACTGTGTGAGTGTGAAATGTGAACTGAAAGCAGCATTGGATTGGAGCAAAGATAACAGCCAAGCAATCCTGCATGCATGGAGCCTGGGAACTCAGTTCCCACCACAGAGAGACCATGCGCTCCGTGCCCCACACAGGTGGATGAGCCATTTGTCTGAACGTGAAGAGGACCTGGAGCTGTCTGCATGCTTGTATGTGAAAGGGCTGGCCTGGGAGCAGGGCCTGTCTTTACCTGGTCAGGAGTCAGATCTCAGCCTCTTCTGAGAGGCACAGTTTGTCCGGTCATTGCCAGAGGACCCACCCCCACCTAAAAGCTCTAATGTCAGTTTCACTAGCAATGAACCACTTAGGAGGAAGGGTTTTACCAACATAAAGCAGTGAGTCAAATAACCCAGGTACCAGGAAGCGATGAAGATACACCTGATTTTCCTTCTTTAGCCCACTGTCTGGGCTCCGAAGCTTGGGTCAGGGGTGCTCTAAATGCACAGGAGCCCAGAAGAAAGTGGCCCAGAGGGCACGGCCATACATACTGGTGTAGTCAGCTCTGGTGTGGTGATGGGGGTGCAGGAATTGTTCAGTTTCACCTCACTACCCAAGTCAAAGTCACAGATTTTCACTGGAGACACCTAAAAAAGAAAGCCGAAAACAAAGATTACAAATAAAAGAAACTAAAGGGCTTAAGGAGCCCAGCATGACCCTGGGGGCTCAGGACTGCGTGCAGCCACTGCAGCTTCCTGTCACATCACCGCTCCCCTCTCTGGGTTGACTAGAATCACCTGCGGGTTTATCCTAAGTCCTCTTCCCCACACTCTTTACTTCCTATGCTGTGTGAGCTCATGGTGTCAGACTGCTGCAAATTTAGTATGAAACGTAGCAAACCTATGGAACTCTTGCTGACCAACAACTTGTAAGCAGAGAAATTAATACATATTCCTGAAAGGTGCACTCCTACAGCCCATTCAGTGGAGGGCAGAAGAATCTGAGTAAAACCCCTGACCATCTCAAGTGGCTTAGTGTGACTGACTCATTCTGGTTTGCTTGCTTGGTATTTTGTGGGTTTAAGCATGGAATGTCCTGAGGTCCAGGAAACCCCTTGGCTGCAGGCAAACTGGGATGGTTGATATCCAGGTGATATCAACACAGCGGCCAACCCCCCAGAATTGGATGTGTGCTGCCCACAGACAGCAAGATTCATCTCTGGGGCCAAGTGGGAGGGCAGTTTGTGTGCACAGAAAAGTTGGAAGCTATATAGTGAGTCAAAAATGCTGGTTCTGTGAGTCCCAGCTCAGCTATTTACCTGCTGGGGAAGCCTGGACAAGTCTCTCAATTACTCTTTCTTTCCTTCCTTTCTCCCTCCCTCCCTTCTCTCCCTGACATTCTTTCTCTTTCACCAAGCTTCTCTTTTAAAAAAGAAATTGGTAAAATATCCATATACAGAACATAAAATACAGCACATTTCACCATTTTTGGTGTACAACTCACTGTTGTATAACTTGTACCACTGTCTGGTTCCAAAACTTTCTATCACTCTAAACAGAAACCCTGGATCCATGAAGCAACAACTCCCCATGCCTCTTTCCCCAGTCTCAGTAACATCGAATCAACTTTCCACCTCTATAAATGTGCCTATTCCAGATATTTCATACAACATTTGTCCTTTTGTGTGTAGCTTTTTTCACGTAGCACACTGTTTTCAAGGTCCCTCCATGTTGTAGCTTGTATCAGAACTTCATTTTGTTTTATGGCTGAATAATGTTCCATTGTGTGGTTATACCACATTTTGTTTATCCATTCATCTGTTGATGGACATAGGTTATTTCTAGCCTTTGGCTATTGTGATTCATGCTGCAGCGAACACTGGTGTTTAAGTCTGTTTTCAAGTCTTCTGGGCATATACACAGGTGTGGATTGCTCAGTGCTGTGCAATACTATGTTTAGTATTTTTTTTTATAAAGTTGGGGCTCCAACCCCATAAGACTGGTATCCTTTTTTTTTTTTTTTAAAGATTTATTTATTTATGCATACGACAGCTGGGGTATATAGGCCAGAGATGCGGGGTGGTGAGAGGATGCACCAGAGACAGAGTGGGGTACAGAACAGGCAGATTGACTGAAATACACTGCTGAGGGGAGCAGCAGCGAGACAAGAGAGGTATGCTGTGCCATGTGGGTTGCTCCCAGCACGCTCCTCATGCTGCAGAGGCTGCGGATTGCTTCATAGTGTGGTGCTTAACCCCTTGCACCACCAGGGTGGCCCTATGTTTAGTTTTTTGAGGAACTTACAACCTCCACACAGATTATACCATTTCATGTTCCCACAAGCAATGTACCAGGGTTCTAATTTCTCCACATCCTTATCAACACTTGTTATTTTCTATTTTTCTAATTATAATCTAAATAGTAGGTGTGAAGTGGTATCTCATTGTGGTTTTGATTTGTATTTCCCAAATGACTAAGGATGTCAAACATCTTTTCATATGATTATCAGTCATTTGGATACTTTCTGGAGAAATGTCTATTCAAGTACTTTGTTTTTAAATTGGATTTGTTCTTTCGATGTTGAGATTTAGAAGTTCTTTCTTTCTTTATTTTGGATATTAAATTCTTACAGATAGATGATTTCCATATATTTTCTCCCTTTCTATGGATGGCCTTTTCACTTACTTGATAACGCCCTTTGACACTCAGTCTCTCTTAATTTGTTTTTCAACCACAAGAAAAGGGCACCAAACCTGTGCTATGAGGATCAAATGAAACAAAGGACAAGAAAGTCCACTGGCAACCAGGTAACAGAGTAGTTTAAAGCACCTCTGGAGTTCTGGGGCCAGACTGTCTTAGTTTTAATCTTTATTCTACAACTGGCCAGTTGAGGTGACTTTGGGTGCATTTCTTTTTTTTTTTTTTTTAAAGATTTATTTATTTATGCATACAAGAGCTGGGGCACAGGCCAGAGATGCGGGGGGATAAGAAGATTCACCAGAGACAGAGTGGGGAACAGAACAGGCAGACTGACTTAAATACACTGCTGAGGGGAGCAGAGGGCGAGACAGGAGAGGTCTGCTTGGCCATGTGGGTTTCTCCCTGGCTGGATAGGGATCAAACTTGTGCTGCAGAAGCTGTGGATTGCTTCATAGTGTGGTGCTTAACCCCTGGCACCACCAGGGAGGCCCTGGGTGCATTTCTTAATCCACCTGAACTTCAGTTTCCTCATTCATAAGAGGAAGATGATAATCATAACTACACCATGAGATTTTACAAGTACTGAGTAAAATGAGTGCTGGGCACAATGAAAACATTCAAGAAAATGTTAACTATAATAATCATTAATGATCATCATGATAAGGATAAATCATACAGTTATATATGCTGGAGTCACTGACAGGAAGTCATAAGATCTTATTTGAACCAGCACATTACTGTTCCCTAAAAAAGGGTCTTGAGCACCAGATGGCTCACACATCTATGCAGTCATTCCTGATTTAAGAGGTATCTCTAAGTCTAGACCAAGACTTGTGTGTTCATGCACTGGCACATGTATACACACACAGAGCTATGAATATGGGCTATGGGAATCGCCACGGCCTACCAAACAGAATTGTTGAATTCACACATGCTAATGGAAATACAAACACTCCCATTTACTACCAGACTGAGTTAAAGTTTAAAATAGGTTGCATTTGTTCAATACCAAGTATAAGTGTTTGTTTGTTTATTTATTTATTTACTTAGATTTATTTATTTATGCATACGAGAAAGGGGGTACAGGCCAGAGGTGCGGGGGCTGAGAGGATTCACCAGAGACAGAGGGAAACAGAACAGGTAGACTGACTGAAATTCACTGGTGAGGGAAGCAGTGGGTGAGTCAGGAGAGGCCTGCTGTGCCTGGCCCGGGATCGAACTCATGCTGCAGTGGCTGCGGATAGCTTAACAAGCTGCATCTTAACCCCTTGCACCAACAGGGAGGCCCAAGTGTTTTTTTTTAATGAAGGAAAAGATAAACAGCTGGGACTACATTAAAGTAAAAAGCTTCTGCACAGCAAAAGAGACAATAACCAAGATGAAGAGACACCCCATAGATTAGGAGAAAATATTTGCACGCCACAAAACTGATAAGGGACTGATATCAAAGATCTACAAAGAGCTTTTACAACTCAACAAAAACAAAACAAAGAATCCAATAAAAAAGTGGGGAGAAGAGGTAAAAAGACACTTCTCCAGAGAGGAAATGCAGGTGGCCAAAAGGCCCATGAAAATATGCTCAACATCACTTATAATTAGGGAAATGCAAATCAAAAAAGCACAATGAGAAACCACCTCACATCAGTAAGAATAGCCCACACTAAAAAAAACTAACAACAACAAATGCTGGCAAGGAAGTAGAGAAAAAGGAACCCTCTTACACTGCTGGCGGGAATGCAAACTGTGGAAAGCTGTGTGGATGGCCCTCAAATTACTAGAAAGTGATCTACTATATGACCCAGCAATTCCACTCCTAGGGATCTACCCAAAGGACACAAAAACATTAATTCAAAAAGAAACGTGCACTCCTATGTTCATTGCAGCATTATTTATAATAGCTAAAATGTGGAAACAACCTAAATGCCCCAAAACAGATGACTGGATCAAGAAAATGTGATATATATATATATTTACACAATCAAAAAAGATAAATTTATGCCATTTAAAGCAACATGGATGGAGCTGGAGGGGATTATCCTCAGTAAAATAAATCAGAAGGAAAAAAAATCAGATGGTTTCACTTATAGGAGGAAAATAGGGAAACCATACAAGGGATTGGAAAAAAAATGACAAAACTAGCAGGGAAACTATAAATCGAGACATTCATCAGGGGAGGGGGAAGGAGAGGGATAAAAACAGGAGGGAAGAGCACAAGAATCTGTGGTGATGGTTCACGGGTGCCTTGGTGTGGTAATTTTATGGGGACAACACCTGAGAGGAGAAATCAAACATTGCATAAAAATGAACAATGATGTAAAACTATAGAAATGAAAATGGGGAAAAAAGTTTTCTTATTAATAGGTCACTTTGAAAACAAACCCTTCTCAAGAACCTGCTTCCTAATTATTACTTCTGGTGGTACACACCACCTGGCATATATACTACAACAAAAACATCATTTATAGGCAGAGATTTGTTTAATATAAGGTTGGGTTATTTCTTTGTGACGCACATCAACCGCTCTAGGTAGATGCCTTGGACTAGAAAACATTCATTTTGTGAAGGTCTCGTATATTTTAGAAACTCTCAGACTTAAGCCAATCACACTGCTGCTAAAGAGCAAAGAAAGGACAAAGATTAGCCCTGCTTGGAATGTAGAAACACTATACATCAGGCATAATGTTCCCACGTATTATTGCCATGATACTCAGTCAAGTTGGTCACTGAGGCTGAGAACTGCTAATGGCCTAACACTGAAAGCAACGGTGGCTTCCCTGCATCGGTGTAAACTGTAACATCCCAAATCGGGCCCCAGGTACCTTTTCTGGAGATTCACATAATATATTTTCTGGCTTCAGATCACGGTGAGCAATGCCTGAGAGGACAAAGAGCAAAGAAATGGTTAACATATGCACATAATTATCAAACATTCCACACACAATTAATTTTTTCCAAATGCTGCTGTTCTCAGATTAATTCCCAATTATGGTACATTAAAAAATCAACGAGCTGCAGGAGGCAGAAGGAGCCAGAGACACAAACCAAAAGCACAGTTGATTCTGCAAGTTCTTGAAGCAGAAGCTTTAGAAACCTGGCAGGGATAAGAAGGCTAAATGAATCCCAGCCAGTCTACCTTTCAGCAATGTCAACCAAGAACAAGAAAGCCTAATACAATGACACAGAGCAAAGAGCTCTGCAAATGGCAATGCTTGGAACAGCAATGCAGAAATAATTAGTGCCTTGTTTGAGAGCATCTCAGGGGGCTGAGGCTGCTCTACCTCATTTCTTCTTGTGTGGCCGATTAAAAAAAAAAGATTCCTTCAGTGGGACTCCCTGAATGTTCAGAGGATCAAGTGTTAGTTAACAAATGCCCCAAAGCTTGTCTGACTCCCTTTCTCACCTGCTCTGCAAGTCCAGGACAGTTCTGCCAGAAGCTCAGCAAGGACAGCTTTGGCCTGAGAGTTCTGTTCTTAAGAGAGGCCACCCCTGCATTTTGGCCAGAGACCTCTGAAGGAGCGGGCAAATAGCAGCTTACCCTGTGAGGGGTTTAAAAGCTACTGATCTGACTAAGGTGGCACCTGGGGTAAATCACCTTCTAGACAAAGACAGGGAAAAAGAATCGACTCATAGGGTCATGGTGATCAACTGGCAGACACAGGAACCTCCAATTCCTCTTTCTTCCTGCAGAATGTACAGCTCAGAGACAGAAGGGTGGGAAGGTTGAGCAAAAGCCAAAGAGCTACTGCCTGGGAGTGCTGGAAAGCAGTAAGGGTTTCCTGGGCTAACAGGAAAAGCAGAATCTGTTTTATGAAAACTCCCTCGTTCAACTTCTCAGGCAGCCCTCCCATTCCCTACAGGAGGGCAGCGGCCCAGCCCACCTGAGGCACTTCACTAGAGAGGAAAAACCTGAGCTCCAGCAGCTAAGTAACTTCATCAGTCACCTAATTGAATGAGAACCCAGAGCAACTCTGCCCAGGCTGCACAAATTGAGTCAGGCTACAGCTCGCCGCACTAAAAGTGAAAGATATTTTCCATTACAGCAAGTGCTCCCACAGAAGGATCACGAGCCACACATGGCGCCTTACTCTCCAAATAGGTGCCGATGGCCCAGTCGGCCTCCAGCCGGAGAACTGAGAGCCACGCTGTAATAATGGGCCTGCCTCGGTGAGCATACCAGCCATCGAGCGGCTCTGGTTCATTTCCCAGAGGTTAAGCTGCAGTGTGTCCAGTATTTAAAAGTATGGAACTTGTTTCAGGGCTGACCCATTCTTGCCCAATTCATCTTCCCAGCGTGAAGTTATTTAGAAAACAGCCAAGTTCGGCTAGAAATCGTTTTTCATCCCCTCCAACTTCTAGTCACGTGGGCGGCTGGCCAGCTAAATGTTAACAAGCACTTCAGAACTCCTAAGACACCACCAGCCTCATTCCCTTTAGTGCATTATTGTAAAAAAAATAAATAAATAAAAAATAAAACCGCCTTTACCTCCCTCCGAGGTATGGATCTTGTAAAAAGCGTGACCCAGTTTTGCAATCTACAGAGGCAGCTCGGGGAGCAGTTGTAAATCTTTGTCAGGCAGGTGTTACCTACATGCATCCCAGCTTTCAGAAACAGAACTACTGCTATTCATCATGCTGTGGAAAGTACAGGCACCCCCTTCTAGGAATTTTCATCCCATGTGCAAGTCAGGCCCCCAATGTGGGTGCTGTCAATATGGAGATCTCTTTCAGCCACTGGAGGAAACAAGATGGACCAATGAACGTGAGCCCCCTGCCCACATGCCGCATCAGCCTGCACCATGGGGCTGGCACAGGCGGGACACACCAACAGCCTGTCTGCCAGCTGCACTGAGCATGCACATCTAGGGCGGCTGCCAACATCTACAGTCGTGAAGGGGACAGAGCTAAGTTACAGGTTATTTGCTCCATCCCACCCCTTACCAGGTAGAGTGCTTTATTCTAAGGGAATCTGTGTAAAGAATAAAAATGCTGGGCCTCCCCTGGTGGCGCAGTGGTTGAACACTGGGCTGCGAGGCTGCCTGCAGCCTCTGCAGCACTGGTTCGTTCCCCGGCCTCCGGCGAGGGTCCCACAAAAAAAAAAAAAAAAAAAAAAGAATAAAAATGCCTGTAGGGATGAGGGTGGAGGAGATGACGTTATTGAAGAACTACTATGTGCCGGGCACATAGTGCTAAACAAAGCAATACATGTGTATGATGCACACAAGGATAAAAGGGTTAGAACAGAGCCTTGCACATCACAAGGGTGACTAAGTGTTAACTACTGCCCATGATGTTATCATCTCTCCTAATTCCCATCATAACTCTGTGGAGCAGGCATTATTATTGAGTAAGCACACAGCTGGTAAAAAGGTGAAGCCAGAATTCACTTTTTTTTCCCTGAGAGTGCTGTTGGGTGAGTTTTAAAAAAAATGCATGGAACAGTCCAACATATTTATGAAAAAGTAAATATGTCTATCTTGCAAAAAAGATTTAATTTACCACACAAATACATATATAATCAGTTCTGGATAAGAGATTGTAAACCTAAGTGTATCTCAAACTATAGTAGTTTGCTAGTTACTATCATGATAGTCAACGGACATCTCTAACTTTACCTTGTTAGTAGAAAAATGCATTTTCTATTTATTGTGAACAGCTATGGAACTACATATATACCATCATGTCAATTTTGAAAAAGGAGATAAAGGTGATGTATTTTAACAGACTAGGAGGAATAACACCCAAGTAGTTATATTAGAAAAGTCACATTATGCACAGGCTTGCAGTCCTCGTTTGGCAAGGAAAAGGAGATCATCTATATATGCGCACATGCACATATACGTTGTTCAACACAAAATTTATTCATTCTCTTACCTGCCCTTTCTCCTGTGTTTCTACCCTGCTCATTAGCTCCACATCTAGCCACCATCAACACCAGAAACCTAGGTCTTCCCTTGCTCTCAGGGGTGGTCTGCCAGCTGCACCAGTTCCCAGTCTAGCTGAGCCTGTCCCTCTCCCGGGGGCCCTGGAAGCTGGCTAGCCCGACCCACCAAGCAAGGCAGAGGCTTGGCTCACCTTTGGTGTGCAGGAAGTCAAGGGCAGCAGCAACATCCCGTACCACTCGGCTAGCTTCTCGTTCATTGAAGTGCTTCCGCTTCTGGATGTGGGTTAGGATGGAGCCTGGAGAGCAGAGGGCACAGGAATGCCTCTTCTGGTTCTAGGCAGTATGACTTCTCAGAGGCCAGGCATTCACAAGTTTGGGATGGGGACATAGGTTTATTCATCTCTAAATGTCCAGCACCAAGTGCGGTATCTGGCACAGAGGAGGTGCCAGCACAAAACTGTACTGAACAGATCTGGACTGCTATCTCCTGCTATCTATCTGGTATCAGCTATGAAGGACACAGAAGGGAGAGAGAACAACTATTTAAATGACCAAAAAATATAAATGTCATTGGGGTACATTTGAATTCTGAAATTAAAAAGAACTAAAAGCGAATCCACACGGGGTTGGGGGACCTTAGGAACTTTTCCTCCTCTGCATCTGATCTTAGATGCACACAACAGTACAAATTTCTAAACCGAAATATGAGAACCTCACTGGATATGTAAGACTCTAGAAAAGAGAAAAAAGCTGTTTCCCTCAACTTTCTCATATTGTTATCACTATCATCATTATGTTAACAATGACTAACATTTATTAGATAGTTACTATGTGCCAAGTACTACATAATACTCTTTAAATAGATTATCTTATCCTTACAACTGTACAAAATATAGTTATCCTCATTTTATATGGAGAACCTGAAGCCATGAATGGCTAGGCAACTTGCTCAAGATCACACACCAGTCAGTGGTGGCATCAGGACTCAAGCCCATTAAGACCAGCCTCTGTGAAGATGGCCCTCAGCGGATTTGTGCCCTGATTGCTGGGGGGAAAGGTTGCCTTGAGCCAACCACATTCCCTTTGCCCACTGGGTATGGCCTCAGTGGAACTGTACTCTAAGCGATAAGCTCCCAGATAACCCCGTTGCATCTCGTATTCAGACACATCATTCACAATCCTGGTGCTGCTGGGCTGGGTGGAGGCGGACCCAAGAGTGAACATATGGTTCGTTCTGTGGCCTTTGCTCACGACCAAAAGTCAGGGTTCTTATCTCTGTATCCTAGAAATGGCACACGTTTACTTATTATCTCTGGTTCTTGACATAGGAAGGAGATGAAAGATCTTTCATGTGTCATATTAATTAATCAAAGGACCCAACATGCTAGGGAACATTTGGGGGAAACAAGCTCTTGGCTAGTTCTCAGGCCTAGAGTCTCTTGTTTCCAGCATACCCAATTGGTTTAAAAATGTTAAAGGCTAATGTGTCACTATACAAAGGATTTCACATAAACTATCTTCTTTCATCTCCACAGCAACCCAGGGAGGTAGGTGCTGTCATCATCCCTATGTTACAGATGAGAATACTGTTTAGAAAGATTACATACTTGCCCAAGGTCACACAGTTGGAGTTAGACTTAAACTTAGCTTTGATGGTTTCCAAAGCATGCTCTGCACCGAGCCCCTCTGCAGCCCTCCACTCAGCCCCAGACATCCTCCTTAACATTCACCTTGCAAACATGTCCTAGGGGTTGGGTGAGTGATGAGGAAGAAAAGGGCATCTCTATCCCTTTCTCTGTGTCAGGAAAGCAACTTTAATATCCATCCCAGTGATTACATATGTGGGGGTGACAGCAGTGGTGGTGGTGAGGAATGGCAGCTCCCATCTGAAGGATGGCACATTCTCAGGCCTCCTCCCTACTCTGGGTCTGTGTCCTAAACAATGGGACCTTCCTCCCCTCTGGTGAGCCTTCCTGGACTTCACAATGTATGCAAGAGCTTCCGGCCCATAATTAATTTAGTTAAATAGTGAACACACCAAAATAATGGATTGATAAATTGATGACTGAATGTATCTATATATGAGCTCTATTGTAATGAGAAGGTTTTTGTAGAATGTCCACACAGGTGACATTCTAAGCTCTGCAAAATGCTAATTATCATCCTTGCCTCCGGCCTCCCTTCTCCCAAATCAAGGGCAGTTTTAAGTCCTTCATCCTTTTTATTAGCTTGACTCGTTTTAGAAGTCTCTGGGATTCATGATGGATGATCTCCATCCTGGATCTTAATCAGAAGTCCAAACACATACTCAGCAGTAAGTACCTCCTTGCAGTTTCTCAAAGACCAAGTAAAACCTTGTATCATCTTCAAAGAACTCAATCAGCTCCAAAATGTTCCTTAAATAGGGGAAAATAGGAGGAAGGGGAGAAATGGTATTACATATTAAAGCTTAGAAATATGCAATGAAAATATACAACACCCTATAGCAGGGCAGAAAACAACTTAGAATCAAAATGCTTATTAAAGACCCGTGTTTGAGAAGTAGCCAGTGGTGTTAGCAAGATTCAGGTCACCTTATCTTTCCATAATGTTTAGTCTCTGGTGTTTTCACCAAGTCTGTGCTGTCAAACCCCAACCCTAAAACCCACTAGGTAGAGTTATAAAAAAGTCTCGGTCACATTAAACTGAATAAAATCTGCAGCCGACTGGAAGCAATTGCGGCTAATAACACTGAATAGTAGGTGTGTGTCCTGGAGGCAAGCAGCAAATAATTACTTGCCCTCCCTCTTGCCCATAAATCACGGGGCAGTATTTACATTGCCTGGAGAAAATGGAAACATCTGTCAAATAGACTTGGGGCCTAACGTGGGCACCGCTAGACCCTAACTGCTAAGCGCTGCTTAATGAAACAGCCGCATTCCGGCCACCACAGCACTTGTGGCCTTCCCCCGTGAGCACTCTCTGTCTGCCTGAGCATTACCGTGCTCTGCCAACAAGGTCGTCTTGTAACTCAGTAGGGAAGTCACCAGCCTGGATATCGGAGGTGTTGGGGGCTTTTTTCTTTTAAAGAATGAAATAAACCAAGTAGAGTCTCTAATGCTGAACTCAGAAGCTGCAGGGTTGAAAATAAAAATCTGTCCCTCATAAAAAAATGCTGACCACTTTGGGAGACACCAGGCTTTTACTAGTGTGAAGGCGTCCAAATAAGATGGCCAAAATGGCCTAATTTAAAAGAAGATTGTAGAGGCACTGCCTGGAGTTAAATCAACAGCAGCCCCCATCCTCCAAGCTTAATGACAAAGCCATCAATACCGGGCAGGGCCACTGGCTCCCTGCTGACCCTGCTGTGGAGGGAGAGGGAGTGGGAAGCAGAGTCTTAGAGGTGACCCTGATTTAAAGCCACAGTGGGAGAGCCACTCATTTGGAGCTGGAGGTGAGCAGACTAAGAGTGGGCTAAAACTACCTTGGCCCAGTTATTGAGTACAGGGTGTTACACAAGGGTTCCTAACTCGGCAGTAGATGCACGTATATATATATTCTAGGGACAGAAAACATCAAATACTTTTAATGGTTCTTTACATTCTCACTTATTAATTAAAACAGGTCCCAAAAGATTTCTACCAGGTAATACTTAGTCTCATTTCCAGAGACACTTGAAAGAAATAAAACCCAATTCTGCCCCCAAACAGACACCAATTCAGATTCCTCACTCCTCTAACTTGCCTGAATTGTTAATACTTACAGTATCTCGGCCTAAAGAGTTCCTTTGCTGCTGCTGCTTTTCTCCATCTCTCATTGAAAGATGAAAGGAGCTATATGCATTTGGGGCGGTGTGGGGGGAGGATCTAAATGCTAGAGTAAGCAGGTGGTAATAAATAACCTTTTCTGTGTCCAAGCATCCCCTCAGAGATGCACAAGTTACCCAAAATTGTACTCACTCGTTTCCTTGACACTGATAGAGCGTCTCCACCTCTCGAAATACCCTGCTCCGGCTGTGCCCTGCTTGTTTTTCGATGATCTGTGGGAAGAATAAAATCTGTCATATACACTCACCTGACCTCAAAACACCCCCCAGCAGGGGCCCTCTGGGAGAAAACATGGCCAAATTCAGGCCAAACCCTGAGTAGGCCTGGGTGACATGGCACTGTGGCTCCCTCAGCAGAGCAAGAGACGGTCCCGAGGACTTTCCAATCTGTTCTACTCTGAAAAGTTACAGAGAAAATTCAGGATCAGATTACCTTGAAATTCCCTCCCAACCCTGAGACTCTAGGATTCTTCAGTTGGATGCTGGTAGGGAAGACCCTAACAAGACCAAGAACTGGGGAGTCATGCTGGGAGAAGAAGCCTGTCTCCAGGGAGCTTTCAAAGACCAGGAAAGGCATAGACAGAACTTCTAAAACCAAAGAATGGTCAAGTCAGGGGTCAGTGTTTGCACAAAGAAGCTAGAGGGCAAGGAGGAAGATTTTACTCTTGTGATTCAACTTTGAAGAAAAGGTCTATCATCCATAAATGTATTCAGATCTTTGAAAAACAATTCATATTTTTAAAATGTGTTTTTTACCACGCTGACACATATTTTAAAAATAAATTAGTAATTTATACTAATCTGTTTCCAAAAAGGAATTGAGATGACATATATTTTTTAAACCTATGAAGCAACGGCTTCAGCAAAAAGGAACACAGCTCATCAGAAGTGTTCTCATTTATAAATCCATAGCTAGAACGATGGCTACTTGGTTAAAAGGAGAAAAAAAATGCCTCTTTTAGGAGCTGAAATTTGGCTGTGCTTCGACCTGGTGGATTTGAAATAGCATGAACCCTTCGATTCTAGTTCAGTGGTTCCCATACTTTGGTGGGCATCAGAGTCTCCTGGAGAGCTTGGTGAAAATAGACTTCAAGCTCTATTAAGCCTCAGTTCCCACATCTCTAAAATGAAGATAATAATACCCGCCTTCCTACTGTTTCATGCAGTGGTTTCAGAGATGAAGATAAAGTGAACTGGTTGAAGTAGAAATATTTTACAAATTACAAAGTGCTATATTCTATATCAAGAAACCAGGGCCTCTGTGGGCTGTGTTAGCATTCCAGGTAATTCTGATATACATGCAAAGTTTAAAACTGCTCTACACCTGGGACTCTCAAACTTTAGTGATTATCAGAATCATCCAGGGAGCTTGTTAAAATTCATATTTCTGGGCCCACCCCTAGTTTCTGATTCAGTAGGGTTGGGACAGGGCCAGACTCCCAGTACTTCTAGTCAGTTCCCAGGCAATGCTGATACTGCTGGTGCTGGGGCCACCCTTTAAGAACCACTGCTCTAGCTCCATCCCTTCTTCCATGGGGAGTTGGCAAATGGGAGCACAGAGGGGCCAAGTGAGCCACTCCAAAAAAGCCATGCAGCTAGAAGCCACCTTCCTGACCCAAAGCGGAGTGCTGGGTGCTCATTATCATGATTCTGCACTTCATTTGTACAGCAATTTGTAATTTGTAAAATGTTTCTACTTCTACCAGTTCACTTTATCTTCATCTTCAAAACCACTGCATGAAACAGGGAAGGAGGGTATTATTATCTTCATTGTAGAGATGTGGGAACTGAGGCTCAAGTCAGTGACTTGCTCAAACTCAAAGAATAGTAGTTTGTCCAAACACATATTCAGGTAGGCATTCTAATTCCACATCTGGTTTTCTGTTCCCTGAAGCTGACTTCATCTGTCAGAATAATAAACAGCAGCTTACCATGAGTCAGGCACTTTATACATACTAACTTACTAAATACCCACAAAAATACTATGTAGATTCTATTATCATGACTGTTTTACAGATGAGGAAACTGAAGGACAGAGAGGTTAAACACATTAACTTGTCCAATGTTACACAGTAAATGATTACAGAAACCAAGATTTGAAGCCAGTGAATGTAGCTTTGGAGCTCTCGTTCTTTCTGGCCACTGTATTGTGAAATACTAAATTTATCTGGCTTAGAATGAGCTAGGACTGATCATTTTCAAAGTGAAGCCTGGCATCCAGGGAGACACTCACTTTGACAGCATACTCTTTGCCATTCTGCAGGCTCACTGCACCTTGAACTTTGGCATAGGCTCCCTCTCCAAGCAATTCAGAGGTCAGCTTGTACACATCTAGAGTTGAAATGGATGAGAGGAATAACAAGGTGAGTCACCCTTTTGTAAGCTAAGATGGAAATAAGAGTTTCTGTCACTCAGCTTCCCTGGCCTGACAACACAGGCACAGGGTAACTCCACTACACTCTTAGACCGAAGATGACTAGGTCTTCCAGCCTCTCAGAACCCCGCTTCTCAACAACCAGACCACATGGTAGGCATCTTGTTCCTCATGTCAGAAATGAGGTCAGTGGAAGGGTTTCAACTTGACACACACATCCTGAGCACCTACCATGTGCCAGAAAACATTAACCTCGTACTAGGGACAGAGTGAAAAATAAAACATAGTCCTACCTTTGAGGGTCATAGTCCACTGGGGAAGATAGATACACAGGTGACCCCAGAATAAACCAGGCTGGGGTAGGTACTACCACAGAGGGATAAGACACAGTAAAAAGAGCAGGGGGTGGGAGAAGTTATATTTCTTCAGGGAATCTGGAAGATCCTCACTGATGGGGTATGATTAGTTGAGCTCTGTACTAGCATTGGTGACACAAAGGGGGGATAAATCACCATTTTATTATATATCACACTCAAATGAAGTCATTGGAGATTTTTAAGAAGTTTCTAGAAATTAACCACAGGAAACAAGAGACAGAAGATGCAAACAGATGCTTTGAGGTTTTTAGGGTATTGAGTCAGAGGTTTTAACAGAGTAATAGGTCTGGGTTGAAAGAACATTTAGGTGACCTGTCCAAGCTCACAAACAACACAAGATCTTTGAGTTCCCTCCAAAGGCAGTCACATTTCCATCATGGCCTCGGGGGAGCTGACCTCTTCTCCTCCTTTGGCCTCCATTCTTCAATGTTTTCCTCTGGAGGTGGCCTAGCTTTTAAACCCACAGACTGAGCAGAGTACTTTTTGACCAAGAAATTAGATTTTATCACTCTTAGTCATGGGAAGTACTATAATTGCAAAAGCTTTCCTTGAATAACAGGAAATACTCTTGTGTTCATCAAAAAAGAAAGACCTGTTGATTTGGAAACCATTCTAGAAACCTTTGGGTGTTTGTACAATCCCCTGCATTTTTCCCTGCTCCAGCTACTATTTAAGTGAAACACAGGCAGCCAGACAGACAAACACTGCACTAACTATCTTCTTGGTTCCATCACAGTTTGGTCTTGCAGCTGTTTATAAGAACATACTACTATTTGTGAAGTATTTTAAATCACATGCTTCTCTCACCAATGAGATACGAGCCTTTGATATGTCAGGATAGGCTGGTGGTTGAAGGGCCAATATTTCTGACTCATAAGAGGTTTGTTATTAGAATAACTCTACAAAATAATCCATTCATGGCTGGAGAGTGAAGAGATTCAGGAAATTTACAAGCTGTACCTTTACAGTGGGGAAGACTTTTGGGTCGCCAGCTAGTCATCCCCCTGATAGTCCTTATCTCTGAAGGGAGTAAAACTGTGGACTAGAGGATGACATGCGACATGACTTGGGGATACAGGTGCTACTGTATTGAAGGACTGACTGGCAGCTTGCTTTTACACTTAAAAGATTTGTCTACTAAGGCCTGCTCTCACCTGAGAAGGCATCCACCCACTAAATCGTAGGGCCATCCACCAGGTGCTTCTCAGTTCTGAACTGTAACATGCCCCCTTAGTGTCTGTGCTTTCCTATCATCTACATTTTTGGGGCATCTGCTCCTACCTGTTCTTCTTTAACCACACTTGGGGACCTGACTGAATGCCACTGTTCAGGAAGAAACACAGCCCCTCCTCCAAAGGAAGGGTCTTTTCTGACAGCAACTGAGCATGAGGCTCCTTTCCCCACAATTTCCAAACTGTGACCCAATACCTCCTATATCTCATTTTTTGTCCTGACTTCTTTCCTCAGTTTCACCTACCTGCCAGGCAGCCCCTTCTTTATGTTCCACTTCCTGTTCCCTGCATCAGCAGGCAGCACCTGCCCTCCAGTGATCCGTGCACAATCCTCCCCATGTACCAGCCTCACCAGGATGAGGGGAGGGTGGAAGATAAGAGAAGGTCTTGACTGTGAACTGTAAGGGCCCCTGTCTGGCCACTCTTGTATCCCCTACTTCTGGCATGGAGCCAGAGAACACAAAACTAAACATTTACTAAGTGAGTGCAGAAACCAATCAACCAACCCAATCAATTCACTAGTGTACCTGCAGAAGAGGGACCACAGAGGGAAGCTATTTCAGGTCTCACAATGAAAAAAAACCAAAAGAGATGAAGGGGATGTCACGTCTAGGAGATGAAGGGGCTTGTCACAGCAGCGCTTTGCAGGAGTGGCTGGCGATTCACTTTACCTATCACATGTCCAGTGATAAGAGGACCACCACTGGGTCTGGTGCCTCCCACAAAGAGAGAGTTCAAAATATCTGAAGACCCAACATCATGTCCCCCCAACACGACATATATTCTTAAAATAGAGTCAAATTCACAGCACAAGTTGCTACAATCTCTAGAAGCCAAATCCTCTGATTAAAGAAGATTGAAATTTTATTTGCATCATGGCGCATGCTATCCTCCTCTTATAAGGTTTCAGCAGCCCCTCCAGGAACAGCTGAGGAAAAGATCACTTTATATATGAATCTGATAGATTGGTCTTACTGTCACTGATGAAGGGCTCGAACCATTTAAAGGAGGCCTGAGAGCTTTTCCCATCCCTGCTCTCTCTGCCACTCCCTCGTATAAACACTCTGACCCTTGTCACACAGATAACCATGAACTGGCTTTAAGATGGTGCACTCCATGATCTAGGCCCACTGGCTACCAGGATGCTCCTCTCACGCCTGGGGAGTCAGATGTAAGAAAGTTGTGTGACCAACCTTCAAACTTTCCTGGCAAGGAGTCAGTCGCTCGGGCCTTCCGCTTCTTCTTCCTCCTCTTGTCGCTTTGTGTAATGGGGAGAGGTTCACTGCTGCCCATCTCTGTGAGAAAAGAGGAGATGTAAGGGAAATATCACGGCACTGCTCATGCTATAAATTCACCCAAAAGGGGGAAAAAAAAGTGTGTGTATATGTGTGTGTTGGGGGGGGGCGCAGGGAGGACCTTTATGCTGATGGTTTTTAAATATCTGTGAAAGGTATTGATTTGTTTTGACCCAGAAGGCAAAACTAAAGGCAAAACCATTATAGAAGATCATTAACTTGTGGAAAGGAACTCAGAAAGACAGGTTGGATTAAAAGAAGATAGCAGAAGTCTGCTTTAATTGAGCTCATCAGCACATGGATTTATCTCTGCTGTTGATCAAACAGCGGCACCCAAACAGAACCACTGGTACTTAAAATGAATCCATAGGCAAAATCCCACCTGTGACATCCTCCAGTCTCAGCACCAGTAAAGCAGCACCCAGGGAGCTAAGCAAAAGCTTGCGTGTACATATCTGTCTTTCTCACTGGCTTGGGAGAGGAGCCACACAACGAAACCATACGTTCAGCACCATCCCTATGGATGTGCACAGGGAAACAAAAGATCTTCGATGTAGACCACCTCTGAGGAGGTACAGGAAGGCAGGGGATGGGTTTGAGAATGGCTCTAAATTACCTTCTGTGGAGACTTGAGTGCCTATGGAGCCTAGAACATACTCTCCCCACCTCAGATCCTTACATAAGAGGAGGCAGGTAGAGTCCCTTCAGAAGTCTGTAGTTAACATGTCTACACTGAATTGCTGGATGAAGTCATATACATATAGCAAAAACATTATTATCTCTCATGGGCAACCCCCTGGGTCCCCATGTTAAAGGAAGGATTCGTGAGGCAAGTATTCAGATGTCAGGCAGACTGGGCAGGAAAGGTGAAGGACAGAAAAAAAAAAGCAGGAGACTGAGAGGGGGAAAGAGAAAAAGGAATAATGAACCAGTGCCCAATCATAGTACTGTTTCTAAGACACTCTAGTAAGGGCTTTCCCCTGTTAAAGATAAATTACTTATAGAACATGTCATGCCCCTGATCCAGAGTGGTGCCTTAATACTCTTTGCCTGCAGTTAGAAATAATAAGATTTCTCTGAAGTCTCTGGGTCTAAATCCCCACCAGGGTGATTAAACCTTTACATCCTTCTAAAATAGAGGCACTCGAGTGCTGATGGGGCATATGATGTGAGAGACTTTTAGACCAACCTTCAATAAACACAGGCTCTGGATTGTTGAATTTTTTTTTTCTGAGATTTTGAAATGGAAGCTGGCTCTTTGCCCATGGAGGGGAAAGGCCCACGCTCTTCTCAGAGGACCCCAGCTGAACACGATCAGAGAAATGGCAAGTCTGCTCGGAAGATTGATTAGAGCCGGTGCACGTCTATACACTGTTCTCAGAAACAAGTACACAACAGCCATTAGGAGAAAGCACACAGGACAGGACTTTCAACACCACAACCCAAAACGCATGGTAGGCAGCCAAGTGTCTGACAGCTCAATTTAGGTGTTCTTTCCTTCCAATTCCTTTTTCCACTTTGGGTACCCGGTGACAGCCGGTTTTCATTTATACTTTAGAGAACAGACAAGCACCCAGATAAAAGGAATCCACAGAGGATCTCAAAATGTTACTCTTACCAACAGCTTTAAGCATAAGGTATATCTGGAGACTGCAACACACTATAAATTAAAAGAATTAAACTTAAATATCAGCACTGAACTATCCATGCTCACCAAAGTAAAAGGCAAAAGCTGCCCAACATAGTGAGGAGTCTACAGAAACAAGACACACGGTCACTCATCTCCAGGAGTGACCACTGGGGGTGGGGGCAGAGGCCACTGGGACAGCAGGCTGAGAAGGAGGAGCCACGTCCCTTTGCCTTGCCCTTGCGTGCAGTCTGCGTCAACCCTCGTCCCCATCTATTTTCTCACCAGCCCTGGGAGCCAAGTGCAGAGTGGACAGATTTTGGGTTCACTTCCCATTCTCCTTTCTCTGCCCACACTCTGATGGAGAACCTAAGGACAAGCAAAACAGCCAAAGGCTGGCAGTGTAGACAAGCAGCAAGAGAGCTGGCGGCATTATATTTCACAGGGGATGCTCAGACATACTTATGATTCGAGCTAGAAAACCTGTTAGCGGCAATTTATGCTTGGTTTTTACCACAGCAGGACTGAGGGAGCCTCTTGTGGAAGAAGCATACCTCTGAGCACTGCCATACATTCAACATTAGATTTTATGACTTCACACACAAAAAGATAGAATACCTGGTCTATTCTGCATGGATTTCAATGGAAGAGGGTACGCCAGGAGGGACAAATGGTTAAGACTTTCCTTGGAAACAGAATTTGTTGAAGGAAGAGTTGTGTTGGAAACTAGGAAAAAAAATGTAGGAAGACGGTGAAATGAAATAAACATGTTTAACTTCCTTTTCTAAACATTGATGGGGAGCAGTTGATAGCTCCCCATCTGGATGTTGTCCACACGCTTTATCTTAACACAGTCCACTAGCAGGGTCTGTGGGACCTTAATTCATTATGCTGCAATCATTTGATAAATGTGTTTTCAGGATGCAAGTCTCCACAACCAAACTGGCTCTTAGCTTACCTCCTTCACTTGGCCTAAAACTTCTCAGTCATCAAAACCCAGCTCAAAGTCTCCTCCCCTATGAAGCTCCCTGATAATCCCAGATGAATTAAGGTTTGTGTAAACACTTCAGAAATCATCTAGGTGCTATGCAAATGGATGGTGTTAGTGTACAGAACTAATCCTCTGCTCTCAAACACCCTGTTAGAAGCTATATTAGATCACTAACTTTTTAAAACTTGGCCTTGAACTCGTCCCAATGTTCCTAAAGCACAGGACTGCCACCTGGTCATCTTCATCTCCCGTAAGTCATGGCATTGTCAGATACATAGCAGCAGCCATCACTAAATGAAAATGATATGAAAGGATGTACTTACTCAGTGCTGGGTGCACTGGATTCACCCAGGTCTTTTAAGTACCAAGTGCACACACTGAAGGAAATATGGGTACATCTTTGCCCTGCAGACAATGCAGAGTGAGGTTATTTGGTTCTATGAATTTCCTGATAAACTTCCTCTCAAAAAAAAGTCCTATAATCCAGAAGGTTCTTAACTTTCTGGTCAGAAACCTGGTCCTTGCTGGAGGATTGGGCAATGTGTCTGTTATTTCAAAAGAGGAAGTGAGCACTTCTTTTGACACACCCCAGCTGGTGTGGAGGATCCCAGCACTTCCACTGGTCCAGCTCTTGCTTCTTCCTGGGCAGGGCACAGAGGCCTGCATTTGCATATACAAGTGGAATTAGAACTAGAGAAGAAGCACAATGCCGACAGGAAAGGGCTTGGCACCAGGAAAGGCCAAAGTGGAAGTCCTGGTTCGGATACTTCCAGACACAGGACTAAAGTCCACTTACTTTTCTTCTAGAATTTGTTTCCTTACCTATAGAGTAGGTTTAAAAATAACACCTGCCCTTTTCCAGAAACCTTGTGAGGACCTAGTGATACATTTATTATAAATATGCTGCAAAAAAACGTGTATGTGCACACATACGAACACACAACACAGCAGCAAGGCTACAGAAATAAGCAAAAATGTTGATACTAACACAATTTGAAAGCATGTCAATTGTGTGCCAGGCACTGTGCTGGATATTTTATATGCCTTATCTCTAATTATAACAGAAATCCCAAAAGATAAATATTTTATCATATTTCAGGTGCGGACAACCGAGGCTCAGAAGTTAAATAACCTATTAAATACTGGACATCTCTTAGTGTTTTAACTGGGATGCAAACTGAATGCTGCTCTTTCAAGTCCAGGTCATTCTAAGCAATTGTTTTCTCTGTATGATGAGTGGTCCTTATTTTCAATATTTGTAATATTCTCCAAATTGTATGCAACTGAATTGATTACTTTCATTATGCTATTATAATTTTAGCTGTTTAATTTTTCAATAAAATATACAATACTTTTTCTACAATGCACACTAACTATATAGTTTTTTTTTTAAAGATTTATTTATTTATACAAGCACTGGAGTACGGGTCAGAGGTGTGGAAGGGTGAGAGAATTCACCAGAGACAGAGCAGAGAGCAGAACAGGCAGAAGGACCGAAATACACTGCTGAGGGGAGCAGCAGGGGGGACAGAAGAGGTCTGCAACACCATGTGGGAATCTCCCTGGCCGGCTGGGAATCAAACTGGTGCTGCAGAGGTTGCGGACAGCTTCACAGTGCTTTGCTTAACCCGCTGTGCCACTGGGGAGGCCCCTAACTACACAGTTTTTAATATCTTATCTAAATTTCCTTATAATGAAATTCAACATTCAGCAAAGAAAAACATTTTAGGAATACTGGTGATTTGAAGAAAATATTTTTTTAATCCTGAAAAACAACAGATGCTATTTTTATCTTTTTTAAATGCTATTTTTTAAAAGAAAAACATTTTGTAAAAACAAAATAACACAATGCAACAGTGAACATTCAAGCCTCAGAAATACCAGTTTAAATACTGGCTTTCTACCACTATGTGAGTTTTGGCAAGTTTCTTAGCTTCCCTGAATATCATATACAAAATGAGATTAGTATAAGGCCTGAGTTGTCTACATCATGAGGATCAAATAAGAAACTAGGTGTGAAAGTACTGCAGACGTATTCATTCAGTAAATGCTGTATTTATTGGACACCTACTGATTGCCTGGTGCTAGACAGTGAAAATATAAGAGAGGGTGGGGGTGGAGAGGCTGGATTAGGGTCAAAATAAGGGGGGGGGTGCAACTGTATGGGGAATATAACCAAAATGAAAATGCATACATTGTGCAAAGATGAAACATGATGTAAGAATTATACAAAGTAAAATATTAAAAAAAAATATAAGAGAAGTCACAATCTCTGTCTTCAACTCTTATGGAGTTGAAATCCACAGGGACAAATGCAGTGACAGGGAAGGGCAGGAGCTGTGGAGCAGAAGAGAGGCATGTAACTCAGTTTGGAACTAAAGGAAGGGACCGCGAGGCTGACAAAGGATGAGTGGGAACTGGCCAGGGTGGGATCTGGGAGAGAAAGAGGAAGAGTATGTGCTAAGGCCTGAAGGAGAGGCAGCAGGGCTGGTTAGCACTGAAAACTACTGGGGCCAGCTGGAGCACAGAGAATGTGAGGAGAGAGAATGACACATCAGAGGACGTGGTGAGCAAGGGCAGATCATAAGCAGTCTCACCATCATAATATTGTCACTGTCATCAATAATAATAGATATTTCTACCTCTCCACATATGTTCATCTTATTTCTCTATTAAAATAAGAGTAGGGGGCCTCCCTGGTGGTGCAAGGGGTTAAGCACAGCACTGTGAAGCTATCTGCAGCCTCTGTAGCACAAGTTCGATCCCCAGCCTGCCAGGGAGCTACCCACATGGGGCAGCAGACTTCTCCTGTCTCGCCCGCTGTTCCCCTCAGCAGTGTATTTCAGTCAGTCTGCCTGTTCTGTTCCCCACTGTCTCTGGTGAATCCTCTCACCTCCCTGCATCTCTGGCCTGTGCCCCAGCTCTTGTATACATAAATAAATAAATCTTTAAAAAAAAAAAAAGAGTAGGCATGCATGTGCTTCTCTTTTTTGTAAAAATGTTAGCCAACAAATATTGATTGTACTAGAAGTATAAAAGGTGTGAAAGAGACAGATTCAAGAACCAACTTGGCTCCTGCATGGGAAGAGGGTCCCAGGGAACTCACAGGGCAGATGAGGAGGGACCAAGGAGTCTCACCTGTTGGGCTACAACAGCATCAGATATTCCTGACAGGTAAGTACCTATTTACTCTTTTCCCCACAAGGCCTGCTTCCTGAAAGACCAGTGGCATTTCTCCATAAACTCTTGTGAGCCACACTGCCCCCAAAGTTGCCAGATCTGTTCTCCATATTCTGGTAGGGATTTAACCAGCTCCTATATCTGGCACGTGATACCAGATTATCATTTTCCCCTAAGAACATGTCTTGCTGGTTAACTCAGCTCTGCTAACTTAGCTCACGCTCCTCTCCCAACCATTCTAAAGTTGTCTTCAAAGCCTATCATATTCCTCTTCCCAACCTATAAGAGTTATTTCCCCCAGTCATGAGAAATTTCTAGAGAAAGATTAGTAGTGAAACCAAGCTGATGAATATAATGATCAATTCAGCTACCTTCTCAGTCATCAGCTGGTTGAGGGACCCAAAACAAGTGAAAAGCTGAGAAAATGAAAGAAAACTGAGGAAATGAGAGGAAGGGGAATAGACACTCTTTTTTTTTTTTTTAAAGATTTATTTTATTTATACAAGAGCTGGGGCACAGGCCAAAGTCATGGGAGGGTTAGAGGATTCACCAGAGACAGAGCAGGGAGCAGAATAGGCAGATGGACCGAAAGCGCTGCTGAGGGGAGCAGCGGGCGTTCTTAAGGAAGAGGCCAAGACTACAAGGTGTGAGCTAGAGAAGGCCCTGGGGAGACTGAGGCCAAGCCACTTACCTCTTTGAAGTAGTAGCAATAGTAGTTCCACTGTACACTATTACTACTAGTTAGAGAGAACACAAACTTATATGATGCTCACCACATTTTATATAAACTAACAATTCTATGAGATAAGTATAATCATTACCCACATTTTATAGATGAATAAACTAAGGTACAAAGAGATTAAGTAATTTGCCCAGGGTTACACAGCTAGTAAGTAGCAGAGCTGGGATTTAAATCTAGACAGTCCAGCTCAGAATTCAAGTTTTTACTTACTGCACGACGTTTAAACATTAATATTGACAGGCAGAAGGAGGCAACCAGAGTTAGACAGGCACATGCTAAATCTTGTGATGTGCTGGGATTGAGATATTGATCATCTCATCAGGCTGAACAATATCATTTTCTGTATGTGCTGTGATGTTAAAAAGGTTTTGCAGCACTGCAACAGCTTACATAGATATAAGGGCGTTGTTACCACATTATCATTACTTCATTAATCTAAAATCTAACCAGAAGTTTCTTCTTGCTCTGTGAAAGCTTTGTACTTGGGGTTTGGGCATATTATTTAGGATGAACTACAAACCAGTCCAACCACACTATTTCATGGCAGTTCTGGTATCACGTACATGGCTACCTTCTTCTTCTGCCTAACGTTTTGGCTGCTTGTGGTTTCTGATGATATCAGTACTAGGTAGGGGACAAGGTCAAAGAAAGGATACACTCACGCAGAAGCTAGTCAAACTTAATGCATGATGGATGAAAGGAGCTACGTGTAAAATCAGCTCAATCAAAGGATGGTCTGTCTGTGATTCCAAGGGGCTAAGATAGCTCACAGTTCTTTCCTGAGAGTTCTGTGTGTAGTGAGACTGGGTGGTAGCTGCAGCTTGCAGTGTCTCACTCAAAAGTGAAAGCGGGTGGTCTGAGGCCTGCTAAGGGGCCAGCAGGGTGATGATTCAAACAGGCCTCCGCTAGGGCTTGGACAGAAAGAATCTCAGAAGCCGGTCTTCTCCCTGCTTTCTGATTCTGGGGTTACTAGCTCTGAAGCAGCCTTCAGAGCTGCCATTGCATCTCTTGGTGGAGGAATGGCAAGGAGAAGGACATGGATGGAGCAAAGGAAGTGTGCATTTGGAAAATACCAAGCAGCAGCAGAGGTCTAGGCTTGTGTGAGCAGTACAGTATAAAAATGCCTTAAAAAAGGCAGGTTGAAGTCATATCACCCAAGGTTATTAATATGGCCTACAAGGTCCTCCAACATTTGGTCCCCATCTACTTCCTAGCCTCACCAACCAACAGTCAGTCACTCTTTCAAGTAAAAATGAAAACGGTGGCTAGTGCAGCTTGCAATTCAAGCAACTGCACAAGTACTTTTCCTTAAGACAACCACTGTGCTTTAGTATGAGACGTGCTTTGTAAGTACTTCCATTTAGTCACACAGAATATTAAAAAGATATGTACTCAAAGGTTAATATTCAATAAAATTTTTACAGTGTCATCAAAGACATTCTTAAGTGAATTTATGACATGCACTTACAGTCTAGGAGAAAAAAAACGAAGTAACTGCTGAAAACTCTAAATTCTGTGATAGCAATAAGAATCAAAGACATTCTTAAGTGAAATGACATTTCTAGGGAAAAAAAACAACAAACTCTAAATGTGTAGCAATAAGAATACAGTGATGGCTAGTACAGTTCAATGCCACTGCCTTGATTTGTGATAAGGCACCAGCAGTTTACCCACTGTTGCTTTGAAACAACAAATAACATCTTAGTACTATCGTGAAAATAGTTTTGACCTTGCAGATAGCCTGAAAGGATTTCTAGGACCCCTGAAGTCTGCAGAACACACTTGGAAACCACTGTTCCAGGCAATGGAGGAACTGGGTATGACAGGAATCATGCTTTAGGGCCATCACACTGGCTGTGAAGTGCAAAAAAAAACCTGGAGACTGGAGAGGGGCTGCAGGGATGAGTAAGGAAGGCCTATAACTTAGGAGGGATAGAGAAAGAGGTGAGGAGTCTTACAGAAGAATCACTGTGGTCAGAATGAAGCCAGAGAGGCAGAGCTGATCTAGTCCTGCCAAATGATATGATGGTAGAGAAATCACAGACTGCTTGCCTCTTTGAAGGAAGGGATGGTGTCTAATTCTTCTCTGTACTCACTAACCAGTATGGAGCTAGGCAGAGTAGAGGACTGGGTATATGATTATAAATATGTGTGTGTACATGAGTGTGCGTGTGTGTGTATGAATATATAACCAAATATATATATATATATATATATGGTTAATTTATTAACCATTCTGATAATCAAGAGAGCAGTAGTACCATCAAAGAAGAAGAGAATTCAGGGGTCTCCCTGGTGGCACAAGGGGTTAAATCTCAGCACTACAGACCTATCCACAGCCACTACAACACGAGTTCAATCCCTGGCCAGGCAGCTACCCACATGGCACAACAGACCTCTCCTGTCTTGCCGGCTGCTCCCCTCAGCAGTGTATTTCAGCCTATCTGCCTGTTTTGCTTCCCACTCTGTCTCTGGTGAATCCTCTCACACGCCCCTCCCCCCCACCTCTGGGCTACACCCCAGCTCTTGTGTGTGTAAATAAATAAATCTTTGGAAAAAAAACCGTGCCTCTGGGAAGCTTCAGAAAAAGAAGGGCAACAGCAAAGGAGTAAAAAGATTCACAGATCAGGTTAAAACCATTTTTACCCAGTCCACATTTGACCCAATCTATGAGTAAGGCATTATTTGTACTTGCCAGGCATGACAAAAACTTAGGTTAGCATGTAAGGTGGAACAGATGATATCAAAATATCATCTATATATTAAAAAAATTTTAATAACCTGAAAAGATGTATCTCAAACTATTATTAACAATGGTTGCTTAGGGGGGATAAAATTGGGGGGAGGTGGATGTACAGAATTTTACTTTTCATACTTCTGCTGTATTTGTTTTGTTATGATATATTTCTTTTACTTTTAAAAGTAAATAAATGTTTTTTTTTTTTTTTTTTTAATTTTCTAGAGGCATGTCTTATTTATCTATTTGTTTGTTTGTTTGGTTTATACATGCACTGGGTACAGTCAGAAGCCGGGAGGGTGAGAGAATTCACCAGAGCCAGAGCCGGGAGCAGAGCAGGCAGAGGGACCGAAGTACACTGCTGAGGGGAGCAGCGGGCGGCAGGAGAGGTCTGCGCGCCATGTGGGACCCTCCTCTGGTGGCCGGGGAGCAGCCGGGGATCGAACCGGCGCCGCAGAGGCCGCGGGCAGCTTCGCAACCCAGCGCTCAACCGCTGCGCCACCTGGGAGGCCCGTAAATAAATGTTTTACCTTGTGTTCTTCCTTAATACCCTCTCTTTCCTTTTATCCCTGGTAGAAATGTGCTCCTCTGTACTGAGTGACTATCTTAGGCATGTCAGGAAGCCCAGTGAATCCTGTCAAACTGAATACTGAAGTCTCTGACCTACCCCTTCTTCTGGAAATATCAGATCATTTCTTGACTTGAAGTAATCTACATGTTTAAGTAAAAGGTGCATCCACTCTTACCTATAGTGTTGCCAAATTTTGAGAAGTGAATTCTCTGTAAACTTGGAATTCCAGATGAAATAGCACTGGTTGGGGGTTGCTGTCTCCCAGCTAGAGAAGTGTTTCAAAGTCTTTGTATGAAGCAGACATTCTTCAGTCTTCCATTGTCCTCTGCTTCATCATTAACTGGCATGAAAATCTTCAAAACGCAGAAATAGAAAGGATATCAAAATGCTGACTTGTTTAAAAGGACCAGAGAAAAGATCACCCTAAGTGTCCCCAAGCCTATGCCTTATCAAAGTAAATAGGTATACAAAAGACAATCACAGATTTCCAAAGTCTTTAAAAAATCACATTTGAACATGCCGAGAATATGCATTTGGAGATTTAACAAGGGTCTGGGTTTAAAGTTCTCAGATTCTGTTTCCTTTGTGGGATTCTAGACCCCAAGTCATAACTGGACCCAAATGATAAAGACACCCTGTTCACTGAGGAGTCTCATGCAGAAGGTGAGGTAAAAGCTGACACTTCTGCTGTCCACTTTTAGAGATGAAGGAGCTCTGACTCTGTCTCCTAGTGCCCAGGTCCAGGTCTCACAGGGAGGAGGGAGCTGAGCCAGAAAGATAAAGTACATGCTGAGAGCCGCAGTCTACCAATAGGAACAAGGTTTCATGCCAAATGCACAATTACTGCTAGTTTTCTACCCGATGACTTAATTTTCTGTATGTCCACTGCTTTTTTAGAATCTCTTGTCTCTAGCTATCACATGTCAAAATTAACTTGTCGATTTCTCTTCCAAATGAATATGCATGTCCCCTTTTCCCAATGGAAAAGCTCTGAAAATGTGGTTAACATCTGCACTGTGGCCCTTGTGCCAAGATTTCTAAAAAGGTCTTCTAATTGGAAGCGGGATGTGTTTCACCATTAACTCAAGTCACGAGTCTCAAACTGCACTTGTCCCCAACCCCCACCTACTGATTCCTTCCTCTTTGCTCTTCTTGGTTAGATGATATCATCCACCCAGCCACAGAACCTTTAAATTATTTCCAATGTCTCTTTCTCCTCCAACCTCACAAGCTCCAAACACTCATATGGCCAGATTTTTCTTCAACCTGGAACATAGCTCTTTGAAAAATAATACATATTCATCTTGCAAGACCCACCATCCATTGCTGGAAGTCCCACAAGTCACAGAAGCAGTGTTTGACTCTCCTTTCTACACTATCCGGCATTTAGTCAAACCCATAGGATACTATTCTGATACCTGAAGCTGGCTATACACACAGATATGTGACTCTCCCACCAGACCAGAGGCTTCCCGGAGGCAAGGACTTAACCTTTTTTATCTTTGTATTTATGTCTAATGTAGTATTGGCACAAAAAGGTGCTCCAGTCAATATCTAAACTACTTCATCTGCAAACTATTTCTTTACTGTAGAATAGAGAAGTTAGCACATAGAATGTAACTCTTCTTACTGTGTTTTCTTATCTGTTTTTGTTTATTTTTATCTAAACAAATCCTGCAGTCCAATGGAACTATTTCCCATGCCTAAAAGCAGCTAAGGTCATACTTCTTGTCCTTAAGGCTGCAACACTTCCAGGAACAACTTTAAACACTCTGAACTTTAACTTTTTGTCTTTAGTCTTGCCACAGATTTAACTCTCTTGGTCCCTTCTTGTTGCTTGTAGTAGAGTTTGGCAAGTTTGTTCTGCCAAGGGCCAGAGAGTAAATACTTCAGGTTTTATGTGTCACGTGGTCTCTGTCCTAACTACCAGATTTTGTTTCTGTAGGATGAAAGCAGTCACAGACAATATGTAAATGAAAAGTTGTAACTATCTTTCAATAAATGTTATTTATGGATACTGAAATTTGAATTTCATGTCACAAAATATTCATCCTCTTTTAATTCACCCCCCAACTATTTAAAAATGTAAAAAATATTCTTAGCTTACAGTGCATACAAAAACAGTCAGTGAGCCAGATATGGCCTGTAGGCCACAGTTTGCCAACCCAGCTCATGTCCAAGCTCACCAACAACATTCCTCCTGCCCACTCCTATTCTTTTCCACCTCTGGTAGGCCCACAGTGAAAATAACCCACATAATTCCTCTATGGACTTTGTGTTCTCACATTTGGAGTCACTCTAGGGCTGAGGACATAGAAAGCTTGTGGACTTTCAAGTCATCAGGAACTAGATTCCAATTCTGGCCTTATCATCTACTAGTGAGGTAGCCTTGGACATAATATTTAACCTCTCTGTGCTTCCCTGGAGGCACTAACACGTCACAATGTTATTGTGAGAATTTAATGGTCTAATATGTGTCAAGTTCATGGTACAACGCCTGTCATTGAGTACGAGCTCAGTAAATAATCACTATTATTCTAATTCGGGACATGGCTTCCCATGACAACTGTGGCCCCAGAAAGAAACCCAGCTACTCTGTATACCACGACTGGGAAGGCAGAACATACTGAGAGCAAAGTAGAAAGGCAGAGAAACAGGCTATGAGTAGTAGGTTTTCAGGTATGTGACATAGGATTCCCAGTGCCTGGTCAGTGGTGATTCCTGCTGGCACCATTCCAAAGTCCTCTGACCTCTTTTCCTCCTCCACAAGAACGTCTGATTCTCGTACTACCTAAACCTTCTTAGCATCCCTTACCAAATACACAGATGAGCCCTGGAAACCTCTCCTCTCTCTTGCACCTCTTCTTGTTATAGGGCTGGAAGAGGGTATATGGGCCAGACCAAACAGATTGGCCTGCAGTGGGTCTTACATAGGCTGGGCGGCCAATTCTCACAATTCTTCATGAATTTTCTGCTATATAAAGAATGGAATTTTTCCAGAGCTCAAGAACTACACTTTCTGTAGAAGTTTTATGGCAAAACAAAACAAGTATACAAACAGGGGAACTGTCATACCACTTTTAAGACCAAACATCAATGCGAGACAGATAAGACTAAGGCTTGAGATATCTTGGTCCTTGGTCTAGAAGGTTACATCTGAGCCTCCCACTTCCTTGCTCCAAAATCTCTAAAAGATGTTCACCACCTCTGGAATAGCCAAGCTCCTATCCTCCACAGTCATGGCCCTGGTCCACTCCTCTTGCGTTATATCTTACCACTCCTCCACAGGGCCTTGCCCTATAGTCCAGACAAAATGTACTATTAGTTTCTACCTACCTGCCCTAAACAATTTCTCACTCCCACACTTGTGCATAATTCACTCACAGCACAGTAACATTTTAGTGCATGGTAATAGCTAGCAGTAGGGCAAAGACTGGGTAACCAAAGGTTAAAGAATGAATGGAAACACCTGAAATTATCTTTCCTTAAACTGTTGTAAAAGTTGTACTCTTATTAGCAGGCTAAGCACAGTCTGGGTCACTGCCAAAAAAAAAAAAGAAAAAAAGAGAAAAGAGAGAGAGAGAACAAGAAGAAGCATGACCAATGTGATCCAAGCAATAGAAAATAGGTTTTAAGAGTGTAGTAAAAGAAACCACGGCTGTTGTTTAGCTTGGAGAAGAGAAGATGAGGCCTAACTCAGTTCTGGCTTTAAGTACACAAAAGGTTCTTATGAGAAAATCTTGATCTCCTCCTCCCTTTATAATCACCAGGAACTTCTCCATATTCATGGAAAATAGAACAAGAAATTCTTAAGCTAAGGTCAGATGGGTTTATGCTGACAAGAAAGAAGAACCAAAATTAGGTACCATTTTTCCAGAAATACTGCTATTGTACTTTTTGGCAAGTGAACTGGAGGGGGTCTTGCAAGGCACTTTTGTTGAATGCTGTGCAAAAGGGAATAAATATGCTATTGTAGCTCTGTTCCTTTTCTGTGGAAAGAGGTGTGTAAAAACCCAAGCCATGTAAGATTTTCTAATCAACCACTAATTTTTTTTACTGACCCTTTTCCTACCTGTATTTTCTGGCATGTCATGACGGGATAATTTCATATTTCGAAGATCACTGATGAGTAAATGCAAAGAAGAGAAGGTAACACTATCAGAGTAAGACAGTAGGGAAAAAAGCCTAATAAATATACTCTCAATCAAAAACAATACTTAAATGAACATTAGAATTAATATTACTATTAAAGTTAAAACATTCATTGAACCCCTCTTCTGTGCTAAGTGTTTAACATAAATTATCTCAATCTTCATAACAACCCCTCATGCAGGTAGTATTTGTACCCCCATTTTATAGATGAAGAAACTGAGACAGGAAGGTTAAAAATTTTCCCAAGTCACACAACTAGGGAACATAGAGCCAGGACTCAAACCTGTGCAGGCCAATTCTAGAGACTATATGCCTACCTGCTGTCTCTAAATAAAAACGATGAGAGGCTGGAATCTGAACCCTGGTTTCACTGTGTCCAGGTTCATATTCCAAGTCATTTTCTTATACTTTCCCAAGGCAGGAAGAGCACAGCAATGCATGACATTTGCAAGAGAAGAGATCTCAGAACCTATATTGTGGAAAAAGTATCTGAGATTGAGGACTCATAGATGATAAGCAGAACCAGAACCTGAATGCCAGCCTCTTGATTCCAAGTGTAGTCCTCTTTCATTGATTCGTTTGTGGAATTTAAGGGGAGAAATTGAACAGTATGTGCCAAATGGGTTACCTCTCCAGACATTTTCATTATAATCTGCTAATCTCACATTAGAACCTGTGCCTAAAAAGGGTGACAGCAGCCTCTGCAAGCCAATTATAAGATTCCACCAGCTAATAATGACAATGAACTGATTTATGGTACAAAAGGAGCTACTAAAATACTCACATACTAAACCAATAAGCAGATTTAGACCAGGAAGCCCCCATTCTATGTCAGTGGTTCACAGTTTAAGCCCGAGACTGGACTTTTCCAACAGCCTCCTCACTGATGGTGCCCATTCCGGGACATTCTTTGCTTCAGTCCAGATTCCATTCTATAGCCAGAGTAAACAGTATCCTGGTCATTTGGAGCCTTGCCTAGAACGGGTCTTGAATCCAACACTCAGTTTGGACAGGGCCACTAGTATGCTAGTAAATTATAATCATTTAATAGCGACCTGACCTTGGGCAAGTCTCCTTAATCTTTCTGAGGTCTGCCTTCTTCATTTTAAAATTGGAGCTAAATATCCCCATATTACAAGATTATGAGGATTAAATAAATTATAGTCTGCAAAGCATCTAATGTATTGCAAGCCACAAAGTAGAGCAAACGCTAGATAGATGTTATTTCTGCTCTCCACTTCCCTGCCTACATTGTGGCCACAATCTAACAATTCAGCTTATTTCTCCTCTCCACCAACTGCCTTTGTTTCCTCAAACACACACACTCACACTCACTTCATTTCCACCTCAACACCACTGCTCAAGTTGCTGCTTCTCACAGGACTGAACTATCTCCAAGGCCCAGCATAATTTTTCTACTTTCAGGAATCCTTCTCTAGACCCCCTTAGGTGGTGTCGGGATTGATTTCTCTGTTTCTCAAACTCCCACTTTGTTTACATTCTTTACTACATCTGCTACAGTCAGTCTGATTTCAGTTATTTATGTACTTATCTATCCTCTCAACTACACTGGAGGGAGAAGCTGAGAAGACAACTTCTTATGCGGCAGGAAATGTGTGTTTTCCTCTGTGTATACTTCTCAAAACTAGGGTCTTGTACATAACAAGAGTTCAATTATGTGTTTATTGAAGCGAATCTTTCCACTCTTGCCTGGTAATATTTACAAAAGAATCTTGGACTGAGTTTATTAGAAAATTCTGCATTTGCTGCCTGATTTGATAAACATACAATTTTTAAATGTTCCTAAACTAAGATCCACTAATACTCATGTTTACTCGTTTCATTCCTTCATCCATTCTTTTCAACATATTCTGGACTCCTCTCAAAACATCCTTCCAGGCTATAGAGACACTGCTAGAGGATGCATCTGACTTATAGAGGCAAGGTGAGCTGGGAGCAAGTTCTCTGGAGAACTGTTTCGCCCCACTAGTTAGGAGGACTACCATTAAAACCATACTGAAAGTCAGAGCTATGGAATCAGAAATTAGATCCAAATGATTTCTATCTGCCTCAGTTTCCAAGACTATAAAATAACAGTTTTGAGATGATGCATATAAAGCACTGAAAACAGTCTCTGCCACATAGTAAGAACTCAACAAACGCTAGATATGATATTAACAATGTGGAAGAGTAGAAAAAATAGTCAGGACTTCTTACTTCTAGTGCTATCTCCACTGCTGATTCCTTGTATAATCTATTATTGATCATGTCCTTTCCTTCTCTAGGTCTTTCCCGAATGTGTAAAATTAAAGCAGTAGAGCCAGAGGGCTCCCAAGGCCTTCTACCTTGAACAATGTATCTATCTATGATTAACAAAGAGCCCTCTAGTCTCTATGCTAAAGCTGTCAGCAAGGGAAAATGTGAATTTGTAGCTGCTGGACCCCAGATGAGAGTCCCATTCCCAGATGGGATGGCCAAGGCAGCACCTATGAGCTTTCCCCGTGTGAACTGGCTCACATTCGGTGCAGGTCCCTGAACAGAACCCCACCTCCCTTTCAGGAAAACTAGGCAAAGCAAGACAAGAGCCTTAGAGCAAGAACAGCAATAAGAACAGCAATTTAAGTTCTGCCTTGCACAGAACTCCTGCATTTTCTTGCCTTTTATTCTTATAATTAGGGCATCATCAATCTAAAATAGGGTTCTCCTTAGGCACAAAGAGAAGGAAAAATACAAAAGCCCACTCTGAACCTGAAAGCTCATAAAACAAAAACCAAAGCAAGTAAATAAAATATTTCACTGACTCATTCAACTATAAACACTGCGGAGGACTATTATGTGCCAGGCAGAGGAGGGAGGAGAAAGACGTGGGCTCTTGCCACCAGTGTTATCATTATATATGGGGTGACATCCCCAAGGCAGACAGTGATAAGAGTTATATGCTTTGCTATAGAAGATGGAAATTGGAACAACTAATTCAGTAGGAGAGTCAGAGAAGCTTCAAAGATAACAAGGCCATCTGAGACACGGCTCTTGAGAAAGAGGGACAAGCAAAGGAACATGTAGGGGGTGTTTGAGAAACAAAAACTAGTTAATTTTGACTGGGGCACAAGGTGCAAGTTTGGGAGAACAAAGGGAAACAACGCAGGATAGAGGTTTGGGAATAGATTATAGAGGCACCTGTCTATGAGGCTGAGGAGTCCAGCCTCTACATAGTAGGCAATGAAGCCCTCCAGGGTTTCTGAGTGTATATATATGATGAAAACACCATCTCAGCAAGATCACATGGGCACCCACCAAGAAGATGCAAAAGGAACCAGGTCACTAGATTACTGTGGGACCACATAACAGGAGGACCACATGCACTTCCTAAGCACGCACTGGAAACCAACAGTTCACGTTCACAGAGCTTCTCTCTCCCGCTGTTTAGTTTCATGCAATCTGAGTTTAAAGGTACTCACATGCCCCAGACTCTAACCATCAAAATCTGTTAGGGCACTAGAGTGACAGGCCTCCTAGACCAAGTCAAGAACTCAGCTAACCCTTTAGATTACAAAGGGAAGAGCTGAGGTGGGAGAAGTTGAGGGAGGGGACACCAAAATCTCTAGCTGGCCCAGCATCTTATACAAAACCCAAATACTAGGTGTCCTCCTAACATCACATGCAGCCTAGCTCTCTTTAGAGCTGACGCTAAAGGGAGTAGGGCTGAAAGTACCTGGCTGATGGCTCTGAGGATCCAGTGAAACAATATACATCAACTGCCAACCACAGTGGTTGGCACACGGGCAGTTGTCAATGAGCATTACTTCCTTTTCCACCCTGCAAAGTCAAACTGTCAATCCCACACCGGAGCTTCAAGACCTAGATCGCCTCACCCTCCCCCCAGGGCCTCTCTAAAGTACCTCAATCCAAAGTGACCTGATTCCTAGAAGTCACAGCCACCATGTACTCAGCACTCCTTTCATGACAGGTGCTACACTAGGTGACACATGGAATCTTATTCAACCTCCGCGATGACTTCCTATGCCCTTTCCCTTTCCTAAAGCTCTGTGAAGGGAAATGACTTGCCCCAGAACACACACCTAGGAGAGGTGAGATCTGAAGCCAGGACTGCCTGACCCCAAGGACAAACACTTCCAATACTTCATTCCTGTCACCCTGGCCTCTGATCTGCTACTTTCAGAGAGGTAGCCTGCAAACTCCCAAAAAAGAGACTGCATCTGACACTATAATTCCCCCCTCACTGAGCCGCCCACAAGTCAGGGGGTTTTAAATGAAAACGGATAACTTTAAAATTAGGTAGCACACAGATGCTATAAATTCCTCACAGGAAAAATTAATTCATGTTTTGAGCTGCCTGAGCCTTAAGCCCAGCCAGAGAGCCCGACAGGGACAGAGCTTCAAGCCGGCCCCACACTGAGCTCCGACCTCGGACACCTGTCACAACCCCAGCCCCGGGCTCGGCACACTCGGCGTCGCGGAGACAGCCCTAGGGAAGCGTCCTTCGGCTGTTCCCTGGGCAGCAGAATCGGGTCGTGACCTCGGGCGGCTCTGACGGCCCTGACAGCCCCGTCCCGACTCGCTCACAGAGCCCCCCCAGCCCGGTCTGCTCAGAGGGCTACCTCTCTGGCTCGCTGTTACCTGAGCTGACTCCAGGCGGCACCGGTCGCGCGCACCCCCACCTGCAGCTCCCGCGGCCGAGAACGCGGAAGAGGCGGTCCTAGGCCCGGGGGGTGGGCCCGACCGCAGAAGGGCGTGGGGAGGCGGAGCCGCGCATGCGCCTAGCGGTCACGCCTGGCGAGGTCTCGCTACTGCGCAGGCGTGATCGTTGAGGGGTGGGGCGAGGGGCGGGGCGATGGGTGGGGCTGGGAATGGGGCTGGTCTTTGGACGCTGTCTTTTCGGTGTGAACGTGGGGAAGTTGGGGAAGCGCCTGGGGGGAGGACACCAGGCAGCAGCAGGTGTAATTAACATTTTCCGAGAGCTTCTGCAAGCCAGGAAGGAATTTTTCAAGTGCCTTTTATCTCTAGGGGCTTCTGCCAGTCTTTTCTAAAATGAGAACTGATTCTGTAAAATTTCTCAAAAGGTGTGGGCGTCTGCAGCTTCACTCCTTGAGTAAAACAGTACCTTAAAAAAAATTGTAAGTTCCTTTCTTGGATAAAAGCATGCAAATAAATGGATGCCTCAGCCAGCCCCTGACTGTCACGCCCTTAGGCTGCAAGTGTGATGAAGTAATGTGAGTGTTGACTTGGGTTTATTTCAGGTCCTGACTCCAAGTGTGTTTCTTCCTTGGTGAAATGGAAGTAAACATCCCTTCCCTGCCTGTCTCAGGATTGTTGGGGGAGCCTGGTGAGCAGTGCTAGTTAGAGAGACTCTTGGACTTCCTTCTCATTATCCACCTGACGAAAGTTTGTTCCCTTGGGCTTAGCCTTCTCATCTGTGCTATGGAAGGAGGTCTGGAACTTTAGGGAACATACAGGGCTTTGCTAGATTTCCCAGTCTGGGAAGGCTAGAGAAGGAGGCCTCCCGGGCATCTGTTCAGTCAGCTCCAGAGTTCCTCCGTCCAACCTAAGGTCCCTGTGCACCCTGACCTCTCCCACCTATCACTTCCAAGCCCACCCAAGCCTCATGTTATTAAGACCATAATAGCCAGTTTCCCCCTCTGTCTCAATGTCTCAATAGCCAGCTGGTCCTCAGTCACACATGTCTGTTCCAATCTAGGCTCTCAAAGGTGCTATCTCCTCCACGGGGCTCCCATTAGCCTCTGAGATCAGGGTTCTGGGAGGGCCTCCCAAATCAGGCAAAGCACCAGCCAAGCTGTGACTCCATTTAACACACCACGCAGTTCCCAGGGGTGGGGTAGTGGCAGCAGGACACCTCAAAGAAGCTGCAGTGTTCATGAGGGCCAAGGGTGTTGGGGCATCCTTTACTCAACAGGTGGATGCCCTGCCTAAAGGTGGGGACAGTGGCTTGCTTCCTCATTCCCTGTTCCAATTATTTTTATGGATTTTGAGCCAACAGAAAAACAAAGTCTTCTACAGTCTGTCTTTTTACCCACAACACATAATCTCTCCTGCAACACATAACCCTGCCCTGCCATTTTCCCATGTGGGAGTTCTTTTCTTTGTATTGCTGAGCCCCAGCTCTCTCCTTTTCCTCTGCCTCTGTCCTTTCTAAGCACCCCTCTCTGAACTTCTCAGAAGAGTTCTGTGATTGGCTTCTTGATGTATTCAGACATCCCCATGTAAGGTACAGATGTTGGCCTCCCAGTTCTGAGAAACCTACCCTTACTGCCAGGTATATTTGAAAACAACCCAGAGCCTGAACTGAGAGTCCAAGCTGCCCAGTAATTGAGGAGGCAGTGAATGACCTGTCATAGGAGGTCTGTAACCAGAGTTGCCTCTTAGAATGCTGGACTGGGGCCTCTGATGAGCCAGAAAAAGGGACGGCAGAGCACAGGGCCTTACAGGCCCTAGAGCAGTGAAAAAGGGCATACTGGGCACCAGGGAGACAGGCAGATAGTCAAGGCCCAACTTGATTCAGTAAGCTATTTTATGTTGAGCATTTAGAATTATACCAAAAACATAGTGAGCACTAGCTATTATTATTGTCAATGAGCCACAGACTTTGAGTAATGGAGGAACTTAAATCAGTTCCTTACCCGTACCTGTCAAAACTAGATAAGAGAAACTGAGGAAAGGCAAGGCAAAGAACCTGCTGTAGTACCTTGGGGGCTGGGCTGTAAATGGAATCCCAGCCTCTGCTTCCCAGGAAGATCACTGCACAAAGCCTGCTGTCTCCTTAAGTAGAGGGGAGAACCTTAGGTTGACCTTGCTGGCTCTTGACAACCAAGTCATTTTTCAACTCCTGTCTGGGCAGCCTGTGGGTTAGGGCAGTGGAGTAGCAACAAGAGTGAGCTAAGAGACGCATATATTTGCTGGGGAATAAGCTCAAGGGTCAGCCCCATGTCCTGCCATCCCCATTTTGAACTCTAACAAGTACCCAACAAAGAGCCTTCTCTTAAGCAGGGTATCCGCTGCTGTGATTAGGTATGGGACTGCATTTCAGCCTTGTCCCTTAAACCACTAGCCCCTATAAACCATCCATATTAGGGGATGGGGTGAGAATAGACCATGAGTGGTAAACAAGGAAAGACTCCTCCAAGAGACTGAGTTTCCACAAGGCAAGGGCCAGCCCCCCATGGGTCCTAGCCCAGCCTAGCCCAGAATTTCCCGATCCTTGGGAAAAGCTTGGTGTCTCTACCCTGGAGAGCTGGGCCAGACATGACACACCAGTCAGCCTTTCACGTGGCTTAGGATCTCAGGACAAAAAGCCCTCCCTGCCCAATTCTGCCCAGTTCCTTTCAGGGTCTGCTTGGAGCCATGTGGCACCCAGACCACAGCAGTGTCACTCCAGTTCTCCTCCTTTATTTTACCAAAAATAACAACAAAATCTTCTGTTTCACAAAATTAGATCATCCTCTCCCCCCTCAAGATTAGCACTGACCACAGCCTAGAGTCTATCATCCAAACCCCAGCCCACCCTGGGGGAATCTGATTCCCCACTCCAGAGCCTCTGACAAAACGACTGGGTCAGTGTGTTTCTGGAAACTTCTCTGGAAGCAGCAGTCCCAAGTCCAGCTGGCTGGTCCCAAGAGTCCCATCTGCTTCCTCAGAGTCAGGCAGTTGCTGGGCCACAAAGAGAGGCATGATTTTGGAGGCATGGGCTCAGCAGACATCCCCTGAAGAACTGAGGGGGTGGTGGGGCGCACTGGCCTCAGGCTCTAAGCAGGAACAGCTGTGTCCTGGAAGGGGGCTGTCAAACCCTCTTTCCATGTGCATCTGATCACCCCATGTGGCATGCTGCAAGCCCTGGGGTGGGAGTCAGATCCCTGGTTTCTATTTCAGTTCCACAAAAAAGCTCTGCTGCGAGGTCTTGGCCAGTTTCTTCCTCCTCTCCTCTTGGCTTCAGTTTCCTCCTCTGCAGGTGGATGATCCTGCGAGTGAGACTGGGTGATCCTCACACATCTTTGCTGGTTCTCCACGCTAGCCTCCCATCATGGAGGCTCTGGAAAGGGAGGGCCCATTCCTGCCCCAGTTTCCCCCATGTGGCTCTGGGCAGTGGGCTGGGCATGGGGTGCTGAGTATTGGAGTGCTGAATGATCATTCCAGTTTCTCTGGGATAGCTATACTCTGATATCCAACCAGTTGATATGCCTCAGGGATGATTGGGAAGGAGGGAACTTCTTGTAGCATGGGGGCTCTCCAAGCCTAGAAAAGTCCACTTGCTAGCTACAAGGTCCTTGGTGTCCTGAGATGGGAGACAAGACTCTGGCGTTTCCCAGTTTCCACTAGCTCCTTGGGTTGGAGGATTATCTTGTGGTAGGCTTCAGATCCTGGGAGCCAAGTCTATAGATTCTGGGAGTTAGAATGGAACACATGCTTCCCAATCGAAGGGTCAGGAACATGAGGGACCACTCCCAAGCCCCAGGAGGCTCTCCATAATCAGGCCTTCCTGGAGGCAGAGGGATGAGTGAAATGACAGTACATACACATCTCTGGCTCAGCAAAATCAGACCTGTGTCTGTTCTGGGCCAGAGGTTTGATTATTCATGGCAAGGCTCCCCTTTCTATCACCCCACAGCAACCCAGAACTCATGGTGACAGGAGATGGTAGCCGGGAAGGTTAGAACATAGAGATATATCTACAAGCACATCTTATGCACTTACACACATGGTCACACACACCAGGCAGGGTCGCTGACCTGTCATTACTCCCACAGTGGCCATGGTCTGATGGTCCCAGTCACTCCTCCTTCCATCCATCCACTTATGGAGTGCCTACTTGTGCCAGGGAGGGTCTAAGGCGGCTGGCTTTCACAGCTAACACAGCTCACAGTCAAGATCTCTCTCTCACACTCCCGCGCATGCACATGCACACACACACATGGACCGCTCACTCATTTGTTCCTTTCTTACCATTACCTCAGCCACATCCAATAGGCTTGGGAACCCCCATGCAAGGGTCAAATATCAAAGCAAAAACTCCCGAGCCAACCCTGCCCCAGACTTCATGCCAGAGGTTTGACTCCTCCTTCCCTTCTGTTTGCCCACCTTTATGTTCTCCCCTTCTCATTCACAAGTAGTTAGAGGACACGTGGACTCACTCCTGACAACCAAAAGTCCAGGGGCTTTGGGTGTATGGAGGGGTCCCAGGGCATGAGAGTCATCTGCCACCAGATTCCTGAGGGTCCCTGGCCCTAACCACTCTGTATTCGGATGGTCAATCCAACAGGCAACAAGGTCCATGCTTGGTCCATGTCAGTGACAGATCCGCTCTGTCATCTCCTTCTGCAGAGACACAAGGTGGGGAGTCGTCAGTTACAGCTCAACTGCCAGGCAGCCCCTTCCCATGCCATAGAGTCTGGCTGCTCTTCTGCCTGAATCTGGCCCCTTCCTGCCCCCAACTCTAACTCCAGTTTGCAGATCTGAGTTTGTAAACTGACACGTGAATGAATTCTCTATTAAGTACTGAATCCATGTTAAGTGAATTGCCTTCAACTAATTCATCATGAGTATTGGATTTTCTTAGAGCAGGTAGCCTTTGGATCTAAAACTCATGGAACTTAGCCCCGCTCAGGGAGGGGAGTGTGGGCTGGGCCTCACCAGTGGCTCCAGCTCCCGCTGGTCCACCAGGCTGAACTCTCGGATGAAGTAGTAGAAGTGCTTGTAGCAGGTGTTGACGTGTGCTTCGGCGCCCATGCTGAGGATGCTGTCAAAGTGGTGGATGTAGACGTGGACAAACACTCGAAAGAGGCGGGTCAGGATCTTGGTGCAGACCTGCTGGAAGTTCTTAGGGAAGGGAACTCCTGGAGATGGGGATGGTCACAAGTGGGGGGATCAGCATCTTAGTGATGAAGCTCCACCCAGCTCTGCCTCCCCCTCTGCTAGGCGGCCTTTACCCAGATGGCCTCTTCCCTAATATACTTCTCTGTGGGAGACACGAGAGATCATGGTTTGCTTTCTCCCACACTTCCCTTTTTTAAGGAAGCAGGCCTCTCCCCTGCTGAAATACAAATCATTGTCCACATTTTCCCATCAAGCAAAGCAGGACTTTATAACCTTGTTGGGGTGACTAATCAACCCTTCTTAGATTATTATGAAAGTTGTGCCTAAACTCTCCCCAGAAATATATGCATCTGCAGGTATATGCACGTGACACCATTGGATACACTTCCCAGGTGGAGTTCCTCAACACCCGAGGTTCACTTTTTTTTTAAAGATTTATTTATTTATACAAGAACCGGGGTACTCGCCAGATGTGTGGGAGGGTGAGTGGATTCACCAGAGACAGAGCAGGGAACAGAACAGGTAGACTGATGAAATGCACTGCTGAGGGGAGCAGTGGGCAAGACAGGAGAGATCTGCTGCTCCATGTGGGTTTCTCCCCACCCCGCCGGGATTTGAACCCGCGCTGCAGAGGCTGCAGACAGCTTCATAGTGCCACGCGCTCAACCGCCTGCGCCACCAGGGAGGTCCTGAGGTCCATTTTTAAAAACATGGGCCATCAGAATTAAATCCTAATTTCTTCAAGCAATGCCTGATCAAGACTTTCGTGATCTGAACCTGACCTCCCTCACCAACCCTACCCCACACCTTCCTCTTTTTCCCTGTTCACACAGAAGGTGCTACACCCCCAATCTTAAATATTAATATATCTTCAAGAACTAATTCAGATAGCTCTCATTTCTTCAAATATTCAATTGCACTTACAAAGAACCTTCTATTTTTGAACCTGGCCCTGTGTTATGTGCCCTTTGCACCTGTGGCCTCTAATCCTTAAAACCACGCCACTGCTGGAAAAGACAGTCCTTCCAGAAATGATAAAACAGCAATGCACAAAGATAAAGCCACTTGTCCAAGGCCACAGGACTATTAATTAGAGAGCATATTTAAGCCTACTTTGACGGCACTGCAGCGCCCCTCAGAGATAAATTATATAAACCCTGCTTGAGAGAAGCTCTAACATCTGAAAAAAAGGCACAGTTTTCGTACAGTCCCCCCCATTCCTTAGGTTGGGGATCTTTTGGTGACTATGCTTTCTTTTTTGCTGTGGCACAGCCATTCAGGGTTAAAGCACAGAAATCTGGGGTCTCACTGGCCAGGGAGTTAAGGTCAGGAGGGAAAAAGGGCCCAGATGCAGCCAACACTGGCTCAGCTTGCCCCAGAGGCCTTCCCCTTTCTGACGGAGTCCTGCCTCCCTGTGGGCCCTTCCAAGCTCAGCCCAGATCCCTATGACTCGTCCTGCCCATCAGACCTGGGATCTGAGCTCCAGTTCTGAGTCCCTCCTAGTTCGGTTTGCTGTCCTTCTCTTGGCCTCAGTTTCTTCCCATGTGAAATGAAGATACTCATTGTTGGGCATGATAGTGCAGGAAATGGCTGGGGAGGGGCCGTAGGCACTGAATTGTGACTCAGTGCCCGGCTTTCCTCAGCAGGCAGACTTCTCCCCTCTGGGCTTGACCACTCTGCCCCACCTATGTCTGATTCTCATAGCTGTAACAGGGAAAACCAGAGGCCAGATGGGGCTGGGGCAGCTGTGATGCACACAGTGTCATGTCTACTCTGCTCCTGGGCCAACACTCCCTACTGCTGCTCTGGGTTGGGGATGCAAGGCCATCACTCATCTCTCTCCCCACCCTTACCCGTCTGTGCTGTGCAACTCAGATAAGAAAAGACCTGCGCCTGACAAGGGAAAATTCTGCCCTTCAAGCCCCTAGAGGTGAAGATACCATCCCATCCGGCCCACCCAGTCCCCACCCTTCCTTTTCCCGGGGCCAGGACTCAGAAGGAACTCCCAGGAGGCTGCAAGTCAAACAGCCCAAGCAGGCTAGGAACACACTGAGGCACCTGTACTGGAAGATTCTGAAAATCATAATATACATGGTCTTGCGGGTGGGGGCACACTCAAATTTCAGACAAGAGCCCCAAACTGAGTGTCAGGAAGTCCTAACTCAAGATGCCAGCCCTTAAGCAGGCCACCTGATTGAGCCTCAGTTTCATCTTCTATAAAATGGGGGTGAAAATCACACCCCTTCCCCCATTATAGAATTGTTGCATCATACTACACACTTCAGCTGACCCCAGCTCCCTCCTGCCTACCCGCCTGCAGGCACTCACCAACACGCGTGGGAAAGACATCCTCATCGTTGATGAGGCCCTCGATCCAGTCCATGAGCAAGGCCATGTAGCGCGGCGCGGAGAGCTTGGCCGGCCGCCGATACTGGCGCTCGTCCTGCCAGCGGTACTCATAGCGGGGCCCTCCGGCCATGACCGGACAGCTGGTCTCGCTGCAGCGCTCGGCCATGGTGCCATAGATGAGGTTAATGCGGTTGAAGAAGTCCACCACGTGCACGGCGATCCAGTCGTCGATGTTCTCCCCAGGAGGCAGCCTCACCACACTCCGCAGGTCCAGGCCGGACTTGAGCGATGCCTGGGCCTTCTTGTACAGCTCAAAGCGCTGCGTGCCCGGCTCGAAGCGCTTCCGAGGCCGGAACGTCTTGTCCTTGGCGAACACCTGCTTCAGGCACAGGGCCATGGCCAGCCAGGGCTGAGGGCCAGGTGTCCAGGGGCAGGACTTGCGGCTGCCCTGTCAGGGACAAGAGCCCGGGAGCATGTTGGTTGGGTTCTTACCAAATGGGCTTCCCACCACACTTGCCTCTCACCTCTCAGCCTTTGGCTAGACTCTGCAGGGAATCTAAGTCCTCCCATCCCTCAGTCCAGCATCTCAGCCTTATTTCCAGGTGACCCTGAGAGTCCCCCACCAAGCACGCAGAGCCCTCCTGCTTTATTTTTTTGCCCTTTCATTGCATCTTACAGAGGCCGGGGCTGGGTTCCAAACAGGTGCTCCTCCACTTGCCATTGACCATTAGAGGCTTCCTGCAGGCCTGCCAGGAGGCAAGGACGGATGAGGTGACCTCTGCAGGCCCCACAGGCCAGCTGGCACAGCGTGGGAGAACCTGGTTGCATTGTACTAGGCGTAAGGAGAGGGTTCTGCCTTCAGCTTCCTCTGGGATATCCCGCAGTCTATCCGGCCACCGGGGATTCCCAAGGAGCGGCAGGGACTTTTCTACCAAAAATGTCCTTTCCTTTCATAACCCTGAAAGAGGAAAGGCCCTCATATGGTCAGCTGGGCAGTCTCTGTGGCTGCAGAAGCTGGAGGAAAGGGGGAGGGTGGTACCACTTCCTCCAGCAGTAGCTGGAGAGCCTTCCCCACAGCCAGCCTCCTCCGGCCTGAAACCAACAAACCATAGGCTCCACCCCCTGCACCTGACCTGTATATTCCTGGAGCACCTACTATGTGCCTGGCAGTAGGAAGGATGAAAATGCAGTTGATCACCCAGCAGGGACCACCTAGAATTTAGATGAATTTACTTTGCCTCTAGAATTGAAGGCTCTCAGACACAGAGCAGACTTTGGAGCAGAGCCCCAGGCTTGGAGGAAGGTGTCCTGGGTTCCAGTCCCAGCTGAGCCATATAGAGGGAATGGATTTAGCCCATGCAACTTCCTGGGTCACTCCTTTATAGGTCAGGTTCTGGAACTCTCGGGGTAGTCATCTCATCTCCCCGGGAGTGTGTGAGCTTAAGAGAGAAATGCAGCTGCAGGTACTTATGAGACTGGAATTTAGCCACGAACTGAGCATTGATGAGACCCCAGACTGATGCGAAGGCTGAGTGTACCCCAAGCACTAGAGTTCTGGTTGCAGGCTGAACTTTGACCTGGCTCTGACCCTCCTCAGTTTGAGTCCCGAAACCTAGCTCTAGACTGAGGCTTGAATATAGCCACGAAGACTGGCCTTGACCTCAGCTGACACTGGAGCATTTCCTTCCTCACATCTCTAGTACTGCTGGGACAGGACTGGGGAAGAGAGGATGGGATCAAGGTGACACCTGGGGATAACTAAATGTACAGCACGTAGGAAGAGGTGTCCTGTCAGGCAACAAGGCAAGCTAGTGGAGAAGTTTAGAACAAGGATTCTTCCTTGTACTTGCATCAGGAGAGGCCAAGATGGGGGCTGTCAAGTAAAATGGGAGGAGATGGAGAATAAGGGCAGTTCTCCTCACAGGATCTTGTCTCTTGAAAATAACCTCAAAGATGTGGAAGGTCACCTCATCCATCCCCTGTCCTCAGACTGGAACCTGAGCCTCCTGACCCAAGAGAAGGAGGTTTCTCTGCTCTGCTTGCTACCTCCATTCTAAACTCTGGGGCAAGAGCTTCCAAAATCACTCACACTGCAATTAGGTGGGGTTCCTGGGCTCTTCAGTTTGCAGTTACTAACAGACCCTCACCCTGGCATTTAATACCTCATCTTACCTTTCCTGACCCCTTCCCTGCACCAACCAACCTGGACTTCTTCCTGATTCCTGACTGTACGCCCCACTTTGCTGCGTCTGTGTTTTTTTTTTTTTTTACCCTCTGCCTGACTGCACATGGCCAGGATGGATGCTATCCCTTCCCATAGCCCCCTCTACTGAACCCAGGTCTCTATCTCCTTGAGTGGAGGCTGCTCCCCCCAGCCTGAGGGCCTGGCGCATAGCCCATGCTCAGGCTTTAAGGAAAGCTTAGAATCAAGAGCCTTAGAGTTGAAATAGCCCTGAGAAAACAACTGGCCCAACCCACTTCTTGTACAGATGGGGAAAGTGAAGCCCAGAAGAGGACCTGAGGTACCTTCACATAACAAAACCCGTGCAGGGGCTCTCCAATGTCAGAATTGGGAACTGGGACACGGCAGGGCTCAGTAGGACAAGTAAAGGATCATTTTCTTGCACGGGCTGGCCTCTGGCCTGAGGAAGGGGAAAGGCGGGGAGCGGAGGACGAGAACATCACACACTGATCCTCTCCCACACCCCACAGCAATTTGGGTGTCCTGACTAGTGAACCCCACCTTCCCGTTGTAGAACTTCACAGTCTGGGTCTTTCAAACCCAGGAAAAAGTAAGCTCAGCTGGGGTGGGAGTAGAGGGATCTATCTATGCCACTTGTGTCTACAACTTCTCTTCCCACCTGACCTATATGCCCTGAGTTTCTATGCCTCACAGAACCTTTCTGTCCCTTTCCCTGAACCATGGTCATTTCTCCTCTTAGCCTTGTTTCCTAACTTTGGGGATTCTTTTACTCCTAAAGTGGGCAGTCTCTCGCGGGTGGGCATCTGGATGTTCCAAATGAAGACCCAGAGTGGCCCCGGGCCTGTTTCTGACCTTTAACTCCCTGACAGGGCCACACCTGCCACTCCCAGGGCCTGGCCCCAAATATCTGTAGGGGCTGGCCCCACTTTGAACCCAGAATCCAGCCCCAGCGCCGTGCGATGGGGTGACACGGGGGGCAAAGATCCGAGGGAAAAGCGAAGGCGGAGCCCCTGCTCTTGCCTGCCACACTCACCAGCCAGGGCCACCCCTCGCCACCCGCTGCACCCCTTACGGCCGCTCTCCCCCGACAGCCAGCAGGAAGGTCTGGCTGTAGGACCCAGAGGAGCAAATCTGACATTTCCGCTCCTGAGGACACGCCCCCGCAACCACCGCCACCCCCAACTCCAGAGTTTCGCCGCTCGGAGCCCGGGACCTCCGGCCGAGGACCGTGGGCAGCCGCCCCTCGCGCCGAGGCCGCCCCCCCGACGCCGACGAAGAGCTAAAGGGGCAGCCGGGCAGCCGCGCCGTGCGCGCCGCGGGGCGAGTGGGGCCGGCGCTCACTCACCCGGGGCGCCTCGGCGGGTTGGCGCGAGGCCTCGCGCGTCCGCGGGGTCCAGCCCCAGCGCGCCGGGTCGCCTCTGCGAGCGCTCCGGGCCTGCGGGTTCTCTCGTCAGTCCGCGGGTGGCCGGCCTGCCCTGCGGGGCCCGCGGTCCACCTCCCGCCCCGGAGTTGACGCCAGCTCCGCCCCGGCCTGCCCGGCCCCGCCACGCCGCGGCCTCGGGGCGGGGGAAGGGGCGGGGATAGGGGACCCCCACCCCCGGAGTACAGATACACGCCCGCCTTTCCGGAAAGGGCTTATCGTTGTCCCAGCTTCCCTTTGGGTAAACGACTGAGCTTCTGGCTCGTTCCTTGTCTCTGGTTGCTAAGGAAGCTGAGAACACTCAGCTGTAGAATGGGGACAAGCCCAGCTTCTCTGGAGCAGAGACAAGAGCTCTGAGCGGTTTCCTTGCTTCCTAGTGTCATCTGTGTCTCACTTGGCCCTGAGGACAGTAAGGGATCAGGTCTGTCCTAGCATATCCCGGTTACTGGCATAGTGCCCGGCACAAACACCCTGTTTGCCGAATGAATGAATGAATGAATGAATGAACGAATGCATGCTTGCATGCCTTGGGAATGATGAGTGGGTCCTTCTCCCAGAACCGAAGACTGACCCCAAGAGTGCTCAAATCACAGATTCCCACCTCCTTGCCTTCCGGGGCTGGCATATATTCCCAGGCTGAACTGATCCTCCTGATTCCTCACTTAAAGTCACCTATTTCCCACTGCTAGACCTTTGTTACAGCGGTTCCCACTGAATATCTTCTTTCCCTACTTTCCTACCTAGATTCCTCCCCTGAGGACATACATAGATCCTGCACCAGTATTTCGTGCACACTTGTGGGTCTAGGCCCAGGGACCAGTTGGTTCTGTTTTGGGTGGGAGGGAAGGTTGGAGGCAGACAGATGGGTTACAGAAGTCACCCATGGGGTCTGGGAAGAGAACAGGTGGGTTAGGGGAGAGCTGGAGGAGGGTGGTGGGCATTTGACTTGGCACAGATGCTGCTGGGGGCTCCTCTTTTGTCTGGATCTTCTGCTTGCTAGCTGGCATGAGAACGCACTGGATCCTTCAGGTTCTTAGTTCATGGAACTGAGGATTCATTCTTATGTTGAGTACCTATTTTTTTTTCCCAGTCTAAAGTTCTCTTTATTTTGCTGAGTCTTAATGCGGCCCCAAATCCCCTGAAAACAAACATTTGTGTATGCAGAAGGAGTTCAGATCTGGTCCTTCATTTGTTTGATATCCTAATCAATACCCGTGAGAATTAACCCTGCTGTGAGAGCATGGGATCAGGTGATGAAACTGACTCAGTTGTTGACCTCTGCTGACCACAGATCAGTAGGGGGGCGAGGGACAGCGATAACACAAGGTCAGTGCTCAGTCATCCAGCAGTGAGAACATGGTTATGGACTAATGGCCAGCACTTTGTAAGAGCGGGGTTATCTGCAGGAAACACGTGCAACATCCAGTCTGGGCAATTAAAGGGTTTAAAGGTGGCATTATTCAGAGCTATGATCATGGTATAGTGATACCAAAGGCTAGCAGCGAGGCCCTATGTTGTCTGCTCTAGGCTGAGGCTGTCACCCCTAGGCTGAGGGGTGCTAGGAGGGAGTGATAAAAGTGGAAGCTGTGAGGAAGGGGCTATTAATGGGAACTGTTCCCTAAGCTTGAGGGGCATAGTCAGCTCACAGCAACTATATTGTGAAGAACTGGGTATATAAAGGGGCCTCATTTCCTTTCCTTTCTCCTTCTTTCCCTCCCTCCAATCTCTGGCCAGGTTTCCCCACTGGCCAGATCCTACCCAAAGTTAAGCATGAGGAAACCTGTTGATTCAGCCATAGAGGTGGGCCTTTTGGAGCCTAGAGCTGGACGGAGGAGGGTAGAGAGTGCAATGGAAGGACAGTGGAAGATACTCAGCACATGTGCTTAAGGGTGACTTTACAAAGGAAATAGAAACGGCTTGTGCTTTCCTTATCATTCAGTTCTAAATATTTCATAATTTCATTGTCATTTCCTCTTTAACTCATGGATTTAGAAGTATGTTTTTCAGTTTCTCAACCTATGGGAGGTTTATGTTTTTCTTGTTGACTTCTAATTATATTGCATTGTGGTCGGAGATCATGGTCTGTAAGATTCTTTGGAATGTGATTTGACTCCCTCTGTGGCTTTATACATGGTCATTTGCTGTACCTCCAGGACGGACAGGAATTCACTGGGTAAAGAGTGGAAAACATAGGATCTTACATGGTGGGAATTACAGATGATACATTTTAAAGACACTTTAGATGTTCCCAGCTCATTCATAGAGTCCCGGGGCATCTGCCTCAGTATAAGCTGATGGGATGGCAAGAGGGGGTTAGGAGAAGCCAGAGATGCCTCAAATACCTGTACCAGCTTCCAGTGGCTATTGGTTTGAGCTGGAGAGATTGTCTTTTTCTAGAAGGCTGTTTTGGCTGAGAATACCCAGACCTTAAGGTCCTATCTTTCCCACACATTGGCTTTGTGACCTCAGGTTACTCCTGCCTCTCTGATGGCATGCTGTTACCCTGCAGCATGCACTGCACAGGACAGTCACTGTCCCCTGCCACTGTGTCCTGAGATAAGTGGCTCAAATAAGGCCCTCTCTAAGAAGTTTGGTGGGTGCCTTTTGAGGACCTAGGAAGGGAAGCACCCTCTTCCACTGCATAGCCCAGACACCTCAGTTTTATAAAACTATATGCAAAAGGAAAAAAAAAAAAAGAGAAATGCATGCATATAAAAACAGGCAAAATGTAAATGAAGTCTATAGTTTTAATTAACAGTGTACTAATACCAATTTCCCAACTTTGTTAATTATTTTATAGTTATATAAGAAATAGAGTGAAGAGTACACAGGAACTCTATGTACTATTTTTGCAACTGCTATATGAGTTTTAAATTATTAATATTAAAAATAAAAACTGACAGGAGACATCTCCAACTGTAAGGTTTAGATCTTGTATGGATCTTGATTTGAAACAACTTAAAAGTCATGAGCCAATTGGGGAAATTTGAATATGATGGCACATTTGATAATAGAAACTATTATTTGTTTCAGGATTTTTTTTAAGTACTTCTCTTTTAGCAATCTATATAGAAGTATGTATGGATGAAACAGTATGATGTCTAGCATTTGGAGGGAAAGTGGATAGGGTAATAAATGAAACCAGATTAGCATTTGTTGAAAATTTTGGTGTTGGGTGACAGGGACTTGGGGCTCTAATTTTGCAATGTGTGAAAATTTCAACAATAAAAGTTGAAAAAGGAAACACATACAGAATGAAATATTTTTTGTTTGTAAATGGTCACATTGGTATACACCAATAAATGTAAAATCTCAACAAAAAAGGAAAGAAAAAGGGAACATACAAAGGGAAGATTTCTGGGCCGTTCTTTTTTTTTAAAAGATTTATTTATTTATTTATTTAATTGTTTGTTTGTTTATTTATTTATGCAAGCAAGCACTGGGTACAGTCAGAAGCGCAGGAGGGTGAGAGAATTCACCAGAGCCAGAGCGGGGAACAGAACAGGCCGAGTGACACTGCTGAGGGGAACAGCAGGCGGCAGGAGAGGTCTGCGCGCCATGTGGGACCCTCCTCCATGTGGGACCCTCCTCTGGTGGCTGGGGAGCAGCTGGGGATCGGGGATCGAACCGGCACTGCAGAGGCTGTGGGCAGCTTCGCAACCCAGCGCTCAATTGCTGCGCCACCGGGGAGGCCCTCTGGGCCATTCTTACAGAGATTTTGTTTGAAAGTCTCTGGGGTGTACTAACTAGCAAACTCCCTAAACGATGTTACTACAGAAGGCTAAGGTTTGAGAATCTCTTCTATAGACTAAACGTGTCACCCCAAATTCATGTTGAAATCTGCCCCACAATGTGGTAGTACTTGGAGGTGGGGCCTTTGGGAGGTCATTAGGTAATGAGGGTGGAACCCTCACAAGTGGGATTAGTGCTCTTATAAAGGAGATCCCAGAGCGCTCCTTGGCCCCTACCATGTGAGGGAGGACACGAGAAGGCAGTCATCTGTGAATCAAGAAGTGGGCCCTCAGCAGACCCTGAATTTGCCAGTGCCTTGATCTTGGACTTCCAGCCTCCAGAAATGTCAAAAATAAATTTCTGTTGTTTGTAAGTCACTCTATAGTATTTTGTTATGGCAGCCTAAGATAACCTCTCCCTGTTCCCTCTATTACTCATGCGATGGGGTAAAATGGAATACCTCCCAGAGGACTGGGGTGATGTCTCTTAGTAATATTAGTAGTAAATTAATATAGTTTTAACATCTTAGAGAGGCAGTATGGTGGGGTGGAAATAGCACATCTGTCTCATTCATTCATTTCATAGTATTTACTGAGGGCTCATTAAATGTCAGGGGCTGTCTTTGACCAGGTGCAGACCTTGCCCTGGTTTTATGGGTGATGACAAAGGTCCCTATCTTCTGAGGAACTTCCTTCCATCAGGCCCAGGCATCTGAGATTGCAGAAGGTCATAGTAACCAACAGGGCAGGAAGGGTCCTTGGCCATCAGTTTAATCTCCTCAGAGCACATGGGAAAACCAAGGAATAGGGAGAGAAAAGGATAAGTGATGATAATCAAAACCATTCGGTGAACCCTCATTTTATACAGAGGGTTCTTGAATGTGCTTGAAATGTGTTGTCTTATTTCTTCCTGTCATCAGCCCTGGGAGAGAGGGAGGTTTGTTTTTCCAGAGTTGTTGTCTTGTCCTCCAGGGGGAGGGATGGGATACAGAAAAGAAAAAAAGGTGAAGGAACAGGACATGTTAGGATGACAACCCAAAACCTGCCCTGTGGTTCTCTCTGGGAGAACACCTTGGTTTCGTTTTAGCTTCAGTACTTGGAGGTCAGAAAATCGTGTCCTCCACAGTCAGGAATCAGCAATCTAGGCAGTGGGTGGAGTCCACTTCCTTGTGGAGACACACACTGCACCCCATGGCATCTGGATGCCACAGTAAGTAGAGCCTGTGACTTCCTGTAGCTGCTATCCAGTTTGTTGGGCTTTTCCAAGAAGCCCCTCTAGGAGCTCAGTTTTGCCCAAAGCCAAGGGAACTCCTTCCAGCAAGTCTTCCGGAATTACATGAACTGCCTGAACCAAATCACCTCAGCACGGGCCCTTGGTACAGAAAGGTCTTAGTGCTTTGCATATACGATCCTTTGTTGAGATTCTGGCTTCTCCTTTGGACTATGAACTCTGAAAAGTGGGTTTTTGTTTTACTTCTTTCCATGAATCCTGGTAGCCACAACTGACATAAGGAACATTCTGGTTTACAAAGTGCTTTTGCCTTTCTGGTCATTTTTGAATCCTGAAACAACCCAGGATTGGTTTCAACAGGTGAAATGACTTGGCCGAGTGGTAGAGCTGGGACTCAAATCCAAGCCTCCTAACTCTAATCATGTGTCTATCCCCAGCCCCCACTGCCTGAGTGCTTAGCAGGTTTTAGAGCTATTGCATATGACCCACCGGTAAGTTAGGGAAAGAATAACAAATCAGTTTGAGAAAGAGGCCTAGACACTTTTCTACAGAAAAAGTACCATCTCCTGGGAAAGTAGATGATAATGCAGACGTTTGTGCCTAGATCCATGTTAAAGCAATTAACAGTATTAAGTCCATCGATCATCCAGAGTAAACTTGTCACCACCTTGGATTTCTTGCTTTCCATACCCACGTAAAAGTCTGCTTGGGCAGGCCATAATCCACACTTTCTATAGATAGCACCCAAGAGAAAAGGCCATTTAGTGTGAGCTAAGGGTAGAAGAGGAGAGACAGGAAGGAGACCAAGTACAGAGAAGAGAAGGGGTTCAGGAAGCAAAAGGCTATGAGAAGGTTGCTTGGTTTCGAGAATGGCAGGTTGCCCGCCTCTAAGAAGGCACAAGGAAGATCCCACTGAGACACCCAGAACTTCCTGGACCTTGACAGCAATTTTCTCTTCATAGAGATGCCCAGAGGACACAGTGCAAGGTGCTGGCTCTGAGACAAACTGAGAAGGGCTAGAAAGTTCTAGTCAATCAATCCCAGCTTCCAGCTGAGCTCCGTAGCTGAGTTCCCATCCATTCCCCATCATTGCTGCCTATCTGGCTCTTCAGACGTTATCCCCCTCTGCTCCTCACCAGAGGCAAAGCAAATGCGCCCTGGATGGATGGGGAGCTTCAGCCTATAGAGGCAACACACAATTCTCCGCATGGTGGCAGGGGCCAGGGACAGATAATCCTGGGCAACAGATAACCCAGAATTTGACTCCATGGGTGATGAGCCTGGGAAATTCTCAGTTCTCACAATCAAACAAGGAAGCCATCTGAACTCCAAGAGTCTGGGAAGGTCTCTGCTTTTCTTACGATTCAATGTCCTCACCCTAAGCATGCTGGGAACAGTGAGGCTCAGCCCAGAAATCTTCCCTAAAAGCAGACAATAACCATTTAAATCCTTTCAGATATTTTCCTGTTGGGTTGCCTGGCACCAAAGTGCAAAGAAAATTTGCAACAAAGAGAAGAATATTGCTACCAATACCACATGTGACCTCAGGGAATTCATTTCAGCTGATTTGGGATTTTCTCATGAGCTGTAAAATAAAAGTAAAATCAAGGATTTACTGCAGTGGTTCCCAAAACAGGCCAAGCTTTGGAATTACCTTAAGAATTAAAAAAAAAAAAAAAAAGTTTTCCAGCTCCCATCATAGATCACCAGAATCTGTATTTCAGTAGCAAGGCCCAAGACTCAACATCCTTGACAAGTTCTTTGGGTGGTTTCTCTTAAACTGTAAACTGTTATGTCTGGGGAGTTGACAAGGAATTAAGTAAGGAGAGGGCTAAAGCCAGGAATACCTGGTTTCAGATAAGCCATCCACAGGCAATTAGATGGGTTCTGCACCTTGGTCTGGAACTCCACAAGTGTCCCTGGCTCCTGATCCAGATGTCACTCTGGGCCTGCCCATCTGCCTGCTCTTGTTCCTTGCTTCCCTTGCCCAGGTGTGGGCACTGGTCCAGCTGGTGATAGAGGAGAGAAGTAGTGTTCACGCCAACCTATATGATCAGGTCTGGATTTAATCCAGCCTTCCCCTCCCTTGCTCCTACCCACCAGCTGTGAATCCAGTTTTGAGATTTCCATTTTTTTTTTTTTTTTAAGATTTATTTATTTACGCATACAAGAACTGGGATGTAAGCCAGAGGTGTGGAGGGTGGGGAGTGAGAGGATTCACCAGAGAGTAGGGAGCACAACAGGCAGATCTACTAAAATACACTCCTTAGGGGAGCAGTGGGCGAGGCAGGAGAGATCTGCTGCACCATGTGGGTTGCTCCCTGGCTGGCCCAGGAATGAACTGGTACTTCAGTGGTTGGCAATAGCTTGATAGCGCTGTCTTTAACCCTTGTGCCACCAGGGAGGCCCGAGATTTCCAAATGCTTCATGCCAAGCTCTCTGGCATGATTACTACTGTTTGAGCCTCTTTAAATTCCCGGAAAAGAATTTCTGAAAATGGCAACATAGTGCAGGAAAAATAGCACAATAGAAACTTGTGTTCTAGAAGCAGAAAGTCAATGTTCAGAAGTAGAAGGTCCCACATCCTCTACATAGATATGTGCCCTGAAAAGGTAAAACATTTAATCTAACAGTTACTATTTTGAATTTTCACTATGTGTGACACACTCTACATAAACTGTATCATTTAATCCTTTTCTTCAATTTTGAGAGAGGACTAATATTTTTAATTCACAGATTAAACACAAAAGCTCAGAGAGCGTGTATAACTGGTCTAAGGTTAGTGAATACAAGGCAGAGCTGGATTCTAATGTAGACCTTACTCTTAACACCCATGATGCTGTCTCTGCAGTGTTGTGTTCTGTAAAACGGGAGTAATAATATCCTCACAGTATTGGTGCAAAGATCAAATGAAAGAAATTTAGGTAGTGGAACAAACATCTTAAGAGGGTCTGTTAGGAGTCATTCACCAAGTGAGGGTCAGCAAAACACCTCTATGCTTCCTTGATTTCCCTGCAAAATCAGAGTCAAAATATAAGATTTGTTAGCTGCTTCCCATGAAGAGGCAAGGTCAAAATGGGAGGATAAATGTGGGTTTAAGAAATAAGAATGCAAGATGGGGATCTGTGACAAATCACGAATGTAGGAACAATACCAACAAAAATGATCTGGGCATCATAGTGGACCACAAGTCAAATATGACTCAGTAGTGGTGTTTCAAACCACGGTGTGTGCGTGTGTGTGTGTAAGCAAAGCAAGGGCTGTACCCTTAAATCTGCCCAGAAATAAGTATCCTTAGCTTTAAGGTCTCAGCGCTGGCTGTTCTCTTTACCTGGTACTTTCCCCCAACTCAAGTATTAGCTGTCACCCCTGCAGAGAGGGCTCTCATACCCATTAAGTTATTGCCTCCACTTCACCTTCTCTCACATTAAAAATTTTTAGCATTGCCATTATCGAAATAATCTTATTGGTTTATTCATGTGTTTTCTTTACAAAAATGTGCTCCAGGAGAACAGGGGCCACATTTGTCCTGTATCCTTCTGTCTCACCCAGTTTCCCGTAACTACGCTAGGAATAAAATAGGTGCTGAATAAATGTCAGTGCATGCTGAATTGAGGTTAGATCAAATGACTAGGGACCTGGGGATTTATACCTCTACTCGAAGAGAGCGCAAAGGCCAGTAGTGTGGAGAATACAAAAAATAACATGTGGCTCCCACTTCCAAACTGGTTGGAGAAGCAGCAGCAGCATAAACATCCTAAGAAAAAGATGAGGGAAACTCTTAGCAGGCAAAGAATCAGAGGCAAGACAGAAGTGGTGGCAGGAACAGAGTTCGAGAGCAGGAATAATCCTACTTTATATTTCTGTGTCTGCACCTAACATGGTGGTTGAAGAGTAGGTTGTGAGCAACTGCTGAATTGCCCTGAGCAGACAGCCCACCAAAGTGATGCCAGCGGATTAGGTGAGAGACAGAGACTTCATGTATAATTTGGTACCTTGGTTTGCAAATATTCATACTAAGTTCATGGTCTATGTGTGTCACGAGATTCTCTTAAATTCATAGTATTAAATATAGGCACACACACAACAAGATAATGTTTTGGCTAAAATCTATGTCATTTTTTTATTCAACAAACAACTGAGTATCTTCTACGTTCTAGGCCATGTCCTTGACACTGAGAATGGAGATTAATCCTGGCCCTCAAGGAGCTCACAGTCTACTGGGGAAAAGGGACACATAAATAAATAAGTATAATGTAGAGTATGCAGAAGGGACCACTGTGGGAGGCAAAGAGAAAAGGAACACAATCCTAAGGTTAATGTCCACAGGGAAGAAAGATCTGGCTGATGGGGCATTTTTTGTGAGGAATACCTAAGACAATGGTTCTTAGTGTGGCTGGCTCCTTACCTACATCAGAATCAACTGGAGCACATATCAAAATAGATTGCCCAGTGCCTCCTGCAAAAACTGACTCAGCAAATTGAAGGTCTGGGACCTGGCCATGTGCATTTTAAAGTTCTCTAAGCAATTCTACTATGTCTTAGAGCTTGAGAACCTGTGACATAAGGTTTACTCTTTAAACTGGAATCAAGAATGATCGGCACACCTGAAATGCTAACTTGTATTGTTCTTGCTAACTTGTGTTATGGGAGTAGGGAAGATAAAAAGGGGTTGATATTAAACTCTATTATAGTCTATATATATTAATTTAATTCACACAATAATCCTATGAGGTAGATATCATCCCCATTTTTTACAGATGAAGAAACAGAATCAGAGAATTTAAATAATTTGTTCAACACTATAGAGCTAATGAATCCCAATTCAGTTAACTCTTAACTCACTTATCTAAAGCCTATCCACTTCCTATAACAGCATGTACCAGGAGACAAATTCACTGATTAAATGTTGTAATTTTCATTTGGTTCTGTGCCAGATCTTGCTATTGCTATGGTAAAATATAAAGAATAGCCAGATGGTACTTTGATCTTGTTCAGTGTAATTGTCAAAGGATACATCCATCTTTGGCAAAAGAAAATTTAGGGCAAAGCTGGGAGGAATAATAAAATGAGCAGCCAGTTCTTACTTCTTTTCCAATCATTTTCTCACCTCTGGCAGAGGTGTTATGAAAACATACCATGGCTGGAACTGGGTCCATCTGGAGGGAAAAAAGCAAACATAACTGGATACCCACAAAAGCAACTCCATCTGATTTCAAAGATTCCTGCGACTCAATACATCCACACTCAAGTTTCTCAAAAATGAACTGTCAGAGCTAGGGACAGGTCCAGAGTTTACATTAGGAAATAGCTCAGCCTTCAGAGAAACTGTGAAAAATAGCAACTTCTCCAGATTGTTAAACAAATACTATCTGTCTTTCCCTACACATAGACTCCCAAGTACAACAAAATACACAGGTCAGAAAATAATGATAAGTTCAATTCCATTTAAAGAACTTGGGGAGAGGCGCAACCAATAAAAAGTCTCCTGTGATAAAGAAAACCAACCGCAAATATTGGTTAAACTCTTACTCAACATATTCAGTTACCTATAACCAGATCTTAGGCAGGAACTGCAAAGTGGAACATGACAGATTAAGAAAAGGAAATGCACAGTAAAACATGGTTGACACAATACTTGGGACCTCAGGTTCAGAAGGCTGGTGAGTAACCATCACCCTCTTTTATCTCTGAACTTGGAGTTACAATAGGACATGACAAGCCAAACATGAGTTTGCAGTGTTGGAGAGCTCTGTTCTTATTTTTGGCGTTTCAAGCAACTACTGGAATCCAAAGATGAGTTCTGATCAAATTAGTCCACAGCAGTGACACATGGACAGCACACAACTTAGACTTCACTATGTAGTGTAACAAAGATGGTAAACCAGACTTTATTTTATTGCTACATTTTCCCCACACCCAATCTGGGGACATTTGCTTCCACCCACTTTTTTATATAATACTGGCACAACTTTGAGTTGTTTAAAAAAACAAAACAAAACATGCAAATCTAGGTTGATCCTATCCTTACAAAAGTGTTGTTTATTTACACTGCACATATTCACTTAGTTCAAATACACCTCCTTCTAACAGGCAGAGTCAAAGAAGCAGGTGCCATAGACTGTGGTTTAATAAAATACAGGCATTGTACCTGTGTGGTTAACTATACCTGAAATCTACTGCTACTCTAAATCAGCTACACTTTAAAGGCAACTCTAGGGGGCATAGAGGTGAAGTTATAATCCTGATCACAATACCTGGTTGTTCTAGAAGCAAATAGGATATTTGGGTTATACTTTTGGCCAGCCAAGTGGTGCATAGGAAGAATTTACAAAGCCTACAGCTAACTACAGCAGGTCTTCAAGCTTATTATCGTGTCTTAAATTTATGATGAAGAACTAATCATCTGCAAGCTGTGAAGTCAAAAAAAACCAAAATGCAAATGTGTTGTTACACTGTACCATCAAGTCAACCATCTTGTGGATCCTTGGCTTCTCTGGTTAGGAATTTAAACATTTAAAAAAGGAAACTTCAAGTATGCTGGGAGATAATTATCAGAATGTTTGGGTACCTTCATTCCTGAATATCAAGTAATAGGGCTCGCCTCCATGATTAATCCTTAGAGTCTGTTCATTGTAGATGTGGAGCTCCTTCCCCAGAGTTCAGAGGGGTGGGTGCTGTAGATTCTCCAAGGCTGAGCAGACTCTATCAGTAAACCCTTCGGCTTTAGGTTTTATCCTGGTTCTGGACACATTTCAGTTCTGCTCCAAGACCACTTTGCTCCAATTCAGCGATGACAGACATATATTTGAACTCATTTGGTCTGAAGTTAAAGGTTTCCACTAATTCGTAGGTCTCTTTGCGATCAGTAGCATAAAAGAGCTGAACCTGGTTGGCGATACACTGTGCCTCAGCAACACTCTGTAAGATAAAAAGAAGGGTGAGATCTTTCCTAGCACATGGTTGCCAAGTTTGATGTCTGAGTCTTGCAGTGAGCAGGGGCCCTCACCTAAGCGTCGCTGCTTCCAGAAAGCTGCCCTGACTCCTCTATCCCCCATCTTGATTAGATGTCTTTTTTTTTTTTTAAAGATTTATTTATTATTTATTTATACAAGCACTGGGTACAGTCAGAAACACAGGCGGGCGAGAGAATTCACCAGAGCTAGAGCAGAGAGCAGAACAGGCAGAGTGACAAAGTACACTGCTGAGGGGAGCAGCGGGCGGCAGGAGAGGTTTGCACACCATGTGGGCCCCTCGCCCGGCGGGCGGGGATCGAACTGGCGTTGCAGAGGCTGTGGGCAGCTTTGCAACCCAGCACTTAACCGCTGCGCCACGGGGGAGGCCCAATTGATTAGATGTCTTTTTCTAGCATATCCAAGTTACCCAGGCTTAGATCCATCATAGTATTCATCATAACATAATATATTTAAGCATTTTTTTTTTTAAAGATTTATTTATTTATTTATACACGCACTGGGTACAGTCAGAAGCATGGGAGAGTGAGAGAATTCACCAGAGTCAGAGTGGAGAGTAGAGCAGGCAGACTGACGAAACATACTGCTGAGGGGAGCAGCGGGCGGCAGTAGAGGTCTGCGCGCCATGTGGGACCCTCACCCGGAGGCCGGGGATAGAACCGGTGCTGCAGAGGCTGCAGGCAGCTTAGCAGCCCAGCGCTCAACTGCTGCGCCACTGGGGAGGCCCCTATACTTAAGCATTTTTAATCTTTTTTCTCGTCTTCCCTAGTGTGAATTCCTCAAAGTATGTGCTTGTTTTACATCCCTGCACATAGTGACATCTGGTGAATGGTTGCTGAATAAATTAATGCTTATATTTGAAATTTCTCTTTCATTCACTTCTTTAAATAACTGTTGTGTTTCAAGGGTGAGGGGGGAAAAAAAGAGCAGAAGAGCAACAGTAACTACCCAGATCCAAGAACCAGTCTGTGAGTAGTAAGTTATTGACTAACCAGACAAACTCTTGAATAAAACATGTTTCTGGCACCACCTCAGTCAGAAAACTAGTGTCAAAACCAGGTGTGTTTTGTAAAATTTTAGCTTTAAAATTTGTCCACTTTATGACACACTCCACTTTGATGGCACCCACTCTCCCTTTCCTAGAGAGTATGCTATACTGAGCAACTTGCTTGTAACAAAAGGACTATGGTGGAATGATGGAGAATGACTTCTGCTATTAAGTCATAAAAGACATTATAGCTTCTGTCTTGCCATCGTTCTTGAATCACTTGCTCATGAGGACACACATTCAAGTAATCTTAGGAAGAAGCCAATGTGTCAAAGAAAGGCGGTCTCCTACCCATAGCTGTGTGAGTAAAGTCAGAAGTGGATTCTCAAGTTCAATTAACCTTCTGATGACCCAAGTCAACACCCTGACAGTGTTTCATAAGAGACTCAAAGTCAGAATCATTTAGTTACATTGCTCCTGCATTTGTGACCCAGATATTTTGAGGTATTAAATGTTTGTTGTTTTGAATTTTGCAGTAATTGCTTTGTGGCTATTTATAATCCACCAGCAAGGCCCAGGAAAAAGAAGGGTCCACGTTCTCTAAAGCCTAGTAGCAGGTAGTGACCAGACCACTTACTCTGTTACCACAGGAGAGGTGAGCACACACTCAAAACTTGAATTACCTCAAACAACTCTAACTTTTGTTTCCTATATGATTTCCAGTTCCAGTTGGTCAGAAGCACTTTTTCATTGTCCCTGTGTTCAGATGGCCAAAATCAAACCTCAAAAGATATTGGAAAATTCCCACTAAAATGCACTGTCAAAAGTGTGCTGTGTCTAGGTACAGAATGATGGAGACGAGTTTATAAATACCCTATGCTGCTCTCCCTCCATTTCCTCCTGTGGGGCTTTCAGGTCATTTCTTACAAGCAGGCACTAATCTCTGAGACTAGATCTTCAATCAAAAGCCTTTTTCCAAAGTGCTGGCTATTTCAAATTAATAGAATTTTAGAGCTGGAAGGGGCCTCAGAGATCAGCAGTCCTGATTTAATAGGCCTAGAAACCAAAGCAGATGAGGTTCAGGGATAGGCCCAAGGTCATGTGCTAGCAAATGGCAGAGCCAGGACCAGATCTCTGGACTCCCAAGCTGGTACTCCCTCCACTTCATCTGATACTGTGTCTTGTGAGGCAAGATAATTAAGACTGTCAAGGTCAATAACTCTTCATCAAATTTTACTTTTCTTATACTCAAACATGCCTCAAGAACAAATAATTTCTAAAGTGCAATGCTATGATATGAGGCAGATACCACTACTCTTTGAGCCTCTGCCCTGCAGGGATTCTCATAATCAACTTCTACATGAGGCAGAGGATGGTGGAGGTAGAGGTAATTTTAGCTGTGTTCACTCTAAAATAGTGCAGTTCGAACTATAGGGTCTTAGGGGCTTTGTGTAGATGCTTCAGATGCCTTTACCTGTTTCAGCTGTTATATCCTAGGGTTTTACATACCTAGATTTTGCTTGTGTAAAGACTTCTGACTACTAGCTTGAAGACCATTAGCATGGTGGACAGGAAGAGAAGACAGAGGGAGATGTATGCAGCTAGCTGTCTGTCATGGAGGTTATGGAAAGCATACACTCCCCTCCTTATTCACTCCCGTCTGTTCTCTTAATTCTTAGCATTAAGTAGTGGCCTTAAGGCTTTTCTAAGGTCCAAGATAAACATATTAAATCCCCGTGTTGCTCAATAAGTTGGAGATACTTTCTGTAAAGGGATGAAGTTTGTATTTTAGGTTTTATGGGCCCTACAGTCTGATGAAATAACTACTCAACTCTCTGTTATAGAGCTAAAGCAATCATAGATAATAATGCATGGCTGTATTCCACTAACACTTTATTTACAGATACTGATATCTGAATTTCAAGCTTTTCACAGGCCACAAAACATTACCATTCTTTAGTTTCATCCTGCAACCAAATAAAGACGTAGAACACATTCTTAACTCACAGGCCTTCTAAAAACAGATAGTGGATTGGATTTGGCTCAGACTATAGTTTGCTGACTTCTGTCCTAGAAAACAATTTCCTATTTTCTCTTTTCAAATGTCTAACACCTATTTATCTATCCTTGTTCTCAGTTGATGACCTTTGTTTCCGAAGAAATCTGGAGAGAATGTCTATAAGCTACTGTCATTTTTATTCATTTAACTGTATTTGTATCCTTATATCCTGATTTCTCTCCTGTTGTTCTATTTCTAGCAAAGATCAACCCCTCATTCTCAGATTTACCCATTCAAAAATACCATTTCAACAATTTCTCCTGCATTATCAGTACTTCCCTCTCTACTGGATCTTTCCATTAACATACAAATATGATGTTATTTCTCTCATATTTAAAACAAAACAAAAAACACTTTTGTCTTCATGTCTCCCCCTCCACCTAATGCCTTTTTCTCTCTTTTCTTACAGGAGTCGTTTATGCTCACTTTCTAAATTCTTTTCCCATCCTTCCTTAAATGTACCCTAATTATGCTTTTATCCAACCACTCTTCTGAAACTGCTCCCATAAATGTCTTTCATGCTGTGAAATCTAGTAAATTCTCAGTCCTCATCTCATTTGCTTTACCGGCAAGTGAGATTTGGCCAGTTGAGCATTATTTATTCCTTAAAACATTGTATCTTAGCTCTGAGGGCATTCTACTATTTTAGTTCAGCTATTAAAGGAGTTCAAGTGAGATGTAACCAAATGAATTATAAAAAAGCTTTGTTTTTAAAACTTTTGGACTTTTAAATTGCACGTAAGTGATTGAGGATCCATACTAACTTGGTTTGGAGGAGCTTGAGCAAGACAAAATTAATGTCAACTTCAAGTAAGAAATAAGTACATGTAGGTCTCTGGAATTTTACCTCTTGTGGATTTTAGTGGAAGAATAACACCTTCAGGGCCACCAGGTATATCCAAAGAAGTAAAAGTCAATTCTTACCAGAAATGTGGAGTCCATTTCTGCTGTCATGAGCACTATGCCTTTTTCATCCTTAAGTTCAGGGTAGTGATATAAAATCAGTTGGCTGGTTGCAGCATCCCCTCGGGTCTGTAAGGAAGAACACTTATCAAGGCTCAATAAGGTACCACCACAAAATACTGCAATTTCAGAGCAATAGAGAGTCTGGAGGAAATTCTGGCTCTTAACAGCCCCTTGGGTGGCTAGTGAGTGGAGGACTGGTATGTGAGGGGAATGGTCAGGTCTGCCAAAGTACTGTGAAACTGACAGTTTGCATGGTGTTATTTGTGTCTTCAACTGAAAAGGTCTGGCTTTTTTCCCAGAAAATGTTTACAGTAGGCAGTGAATCCTTCATCATGGCCATATATTTAAAAACAAAATGGCACAAGCAGCTACCAAATCAAGTTCTAAAGAAAGCAATATGCCTATGTAATTGCCACTTTTATGGACTAGTGCATTTCACAGTTGAAATCCAGTCCCCTTGGCTGGCTCTGAAGACTGAGCTCTTTTAAGCTGTAGCAAACAGCTGGAGAGTTTGCACATGGGTCAGATTTGTAATGCGCATTTTAAAAATATAATCTGGGTATGGGTACAAGGAAAAGAATAGGAACATCATAATTTCATGAGGAATGGACAGGGCAGTGGTTACCAGACCTCAAGTCCAAACTAGGAAGAAGGCTGGCTTCAAAGCTAAGTCCACCTACAGTGTAGAAACAATCATACATCTAAAAAAGATCTCTGGGTTTTATTTCTAAAATTTCAGGAAGAGTCTTATCAATATCATACTATTGCTAGTTTTTTTTTTTTTTTTAATAGGGAAGATATGTTTATTTTTCTATGTAAATATCTAGGTGTCACTAGGGCAATCTTAAGAACACATTTCTAACATTATACTGATTGTTATACTGATCATTTAGTCATAAATATATTTCTGGATCTTTTCCTTATATTTGTATCTGAATTTCATGAGGGCAGAGAAATACCACAGATCTCCAGGATCTGGCATAGTCCCCAACATATCAGCATGCTGATTAAGTTCACAGGAGTCAATAACCCAGAATCAAGCCCAGCTCTGTTACTTATTAGCAGGGTGAACCAACTTTTCCAAGTCCACTTTATTCTCTGCAAATAGAAATAATAATAGCAACGATCTCATGGGATATTTGCAAAGATTAAGTAACGCTACATATAAAACCTCTGACATGGAGTAAGTACATCAAATATGGGTTATCATAGTATATGCCCAATAAATGATCACTAGCGGAGTTATAAAATAACTAAGTAAAATGTTGCCCTTTCATTCTATTTTCTACTCCCTTTTCCCAACTCCAAAGCCATTATGAAACTAAGGTTAATTTGCCCTCACACCCCTACACCAAAAAAACCCAAACATGTAACTTTCCTTTTAAGGTTTGTTTTATAGCAAAGTTTGAAACTTATATGGAAGAATTCAGATACCACTGATGGAACCAAAAGAGACAAAGGGAGTGGGGGGAGGCTCCACGTTTCTGCCTGCATGGACCACTTCATAACTAACCATCAAATTTTATCAAGCCTCACAGCTCCCTCCTACTTAATTCCCCCAACCCATATTCCTCCATTCTTATAAAAATTCCTGCCCAAAAGAGGTTCTCTTCCTGTCTCCTTGACAGGTGACCTTGCAGTAAACCTCTTTTATTTCTCATAATATTGGCTTTTATATACATTGGCAGTGAGCCCACTGACTGACAGCAACTATACGTTTTTGGGGGGTCAGATTTGACCTCCAAATATAGAATATCAATCACACTTATAATCTGATCTTTAACATTTGGGAATAAAACAAGGAAAAAGAAAGGAAGGAGGTAAGCAAACAACATCATCTATGGGATAGAAACTATGCATCTTACAGAGTTAATAAAACATTTGTAAGACACTGAGCCCTCTTTAAGACTTATAGTTCAGGTTAAAAAGACAACTAACCACTATAGCACCCAACATATAAATTATGACAATTTATTGATGCCACAGCAAATACTACTGGGAGTTAGCAGACACTCTGTGCCCTTGAGCCTTAGTAAGGACTCCTATCAAGGGGTAGGCTTTCCTCCAGGGGACAAACACAAGCCACCTACCTGAATATTTATAAGTGCAGTGAAGTGGAGTTCAGTACCTGTCCATTGTCCTACAAAGAACTCATAACCTTCCCTTCTTGGTAGTGCACACAGAAACTATGGGAAATAAATATGAAAGGAGAGATCAATAAATAAAATCATTTGCTCTATGTCCTATACCTGTATTATTCACTACATTTCTTCAATATTTGATTAAAACTTTAAAAATTATGAAATTCCTATGAGATAATATAAAAAATACTTATATGCTTTCCAACTCACCTAAGACATAAAGCATGAGAGATACAAGTAAAGCTCTCTCATAACCCATCCCAATTACATTCCTATGTGTATTTGTTGCCTGTCACTCCCATCAGGTTTTTATACTTTGAATGTATAGTATATGCATAGTATATGTATATTCACAAGAAAATAAGAAATAGTACTGTTTACATGTTTAAAAATCTCACTTATCAAATCATATGTAATCTTTTGCAATATGCATTTTTCACTTCACGTTAATACTTCTGACAGTTAGCCATGTTGATAAATATAATGTGAATTCATTCATTTCATTGCTGTATGAAATTGCATAGAAATCTACCACAATTCACTCTCCTCTTTTTTAAAAAGATTTACTTATTTATGCATACAAGACTTGGGGTGCAGACCAGAGGTGCTAGGAGTGAGAGGACTCACCAGAGACAGAGTGGGGAGCAGAACAGGGAGATCTACTGAAATACACTGCCGAGGGGAGCAGCAGGTACAATAGGAGAGGTCTGCTGCACCATGCGGGCTAGTTCCCTGGCCGTGGATTGAACTCGTGTGCTGCAGTGGCTGGTGATAGCTTCACCAGCTGAGACTTTTAACCCCTGTCCACCGGGGAGGGGCCTACTCTTCTCTCTCTTTTTTTAAAAATAATATAATCTGGTGCCCCTTTTTTTTTTAAAAAAAGATTTATTTATTTATACAAGAACTGGGGTACAGTCAGAGGTACAGGAAGGCGAGAGATTACACCAGAGACAGTGGGGAGTAGAACTGGCAGAACAACAGGAGAGGTCTGCCACGCCATGTGGGTTTCTCCCTGACTGGCTGGCAATCAAACCTGCGCTACAAAGGCTGTGGACAGCTTCACAGCGCTGCACTCAATTTGTTGCACCTCCAGGGAGGCCCCCTACTCTTCTCTTGATGAACATTTGGATCTTTTTCAATTTCTAAACTTTATAGTGCTAGTGAATTTACTTTTGCTCCAAATAATGTAATCACTTCATATTTTATCATCTGAGGCTGATATTGGAGTGAGGCTCTAGACTAAACACTAAGAAAATACTCGTTTTATGGGCAAGATGTTTATAATTGGGAATGAGTAGAGAAAAGAAGAGTGTCAAAACAAAACAAAATATAAGCAGTGTAATATACATTAGTCATAGAATTGTTTCCTTATTGCCAAATTTTCAGACTCCTTCCATTAATAGTATATTAGATAACTTCTATACCTTATTAGGGGTAAAACTTTTTTTGGAGCTTGATTAAAGTATAATTAAGATGTAATGAATTGCACATATTCAAAGTGTACAATTAGATTAGCTTTGACATGTATACTGTGAAAACACTACCAGAAAATAAAGAATATATCTACTACTTCCAAAAGTCTCCACAGTAATTCATATCTCTCTCCTCAATTGTCCCAAAATAATCACTGACTTGGTTTCTGTCACTACTGGTCAGTCTACACTCTCTTTAATTTTGTATACAGAATTTGTACTTCTTTGGGATTTAGTTTCTTTCATACAGCATATTTACTTTGTGGTCTATACATGTTATTATACATATACACATGTGAGACAGTATGAAGAGATTGGTAGAAAATATCCCGCTTGGCAACATAGATAAGCAACCCTCATGTGACAGCCAGAAACTTACTGTTGGACATGACTGAGCCCGGTTCCAGATCAAATCAAATTTCTCTTTCTGCAGGTTAGAAGAAAGTAAAATTAATTCACAAATAAGAAAACATAAAAGGCCATAATCACATTTAAATTTACCAAGATTGAACTCTCTAGCACTAAAATATAATAAAACAATTTCAAATTCCATCATTTATAAATTCCTCTTTTGACACAGAAGAAAAACCAGATATGTGCTTTGCTGTTCAATTCTAGACAGAATTGTGTTGTTTCAAATCCTCTAGGGGACTCGCCAAGTGTTGGAGGTATAAGGTCACTGAGTATGTCCGAGGGAGAACTAAGAAGGCCTGTTCAATGATTCACCATCAGAAATCTAAAGTATTATGAAAAGTACAGATTCTTTCAGTCATTGAACTCATGAAATACAAGGCTATATATGTATAAGAGGTAGGAAAAAAAGGGCAATATTCTCACAATAACCAAAAGGCTTTACCCTTTTGTCTATATGTTTTCTTTCTTAATTTATACTTACGCATGTAAGCTGAGTATATATTTGTGTACTTGATATAAACTTAACTTAAGCTACTTCCTTTTCAGGGAAAAAGAACTGAAGAAATAGCTGATAGCCCAGTACCTCAAATGCTTTCTTATGGTATAAGTCAGCAGGAGGACAATTAAGTCAGAAACCTGGCTTTCTAGTCAAAGACTTAATGTTCAAGTAGAAATCACTATCTCCAAGACAGGCAATTCAAGAAGGGAAAAACAAAAAAAAAAAAATAAATAAATAAAAAAAAATAAAAAAAATTAAAGGCCACATGCTAAGGGGAAATGCCAGAAAAAAGACTGAGTCAGCTCAGGTGTAGGTCATTTACAGACAGGGAAAGAAGAAAGTTATGCTAGAGACCCTTTCTTAAATTCCAATAGCTTGGTTGGAAAACACCAAAAAGAAATAAAAGATATTAGAAATTGCTTAGCAACATGAACTTATACCATGCTCCCTTGTCAGAGACTGACTCAAAGAGACATTTCTGAACTAGAAAGAAGGAAAACAAGAGCCATAAATACACCATATGGAGCTTCCAATCTTTGGTGCTCAGGGCATAATAAAAACCCTCAGAGCTATAAATGCAAGTTCTCAAGAGGCAATAAACATAGGAAAAGTAAAGGCAACTGCCTACTAAGGTTAGAGCCCTGACCTTCATGCTATAACACTTTCATTTTCCCTCCAAACTACTTACAGGAATAACTGCGAAGACTGTATCTTTTGTTGCAAAATACTGCTGCCAAATCTGTACAAAAAAAGAGAGGGTGTCTGTGACATGTGGGTAATCTTTTCAACCTGTTCCAAGAAATGGTGACAGCTTTCACTGCTCAGAGTAATATGCTACTTGATAAAAGGGAGGAAAACACAACATAATGCTTTTATTACTAATACATGATTACAAAAAAGATTTAATACCACCTACTCTACTAGATGATTAAACTGTAACTCTTAATAACAAATTCCTGCCAGAGAAATGGATTCCATGACCTTGCTAATCATTTTTCCCCAAGAAGGGCCTTGCGTGTAATAGATAATTTCTTTTTTTCACATCTTATTTTCCCCTCTCAAAATCCACACTCCCCAGCCACTGTGGATCTTCTCAGAGCCAGGACATTAATCATTCAGAACCCAGGGTCTGGAGTCAAGCATAACTGGATGCAAATCTCAGCTCCAATCATTTCCTGGCTATGCTATTTCAGGCAAATTGCTAAAACTAAATTACATCCAAAACAATCATTGATAAAATAGCACTAACATCAACCTCATAGAAATGTAAAGATTAGGTAAAATAACATAGGTTTGTATTTAGCACATCATATAACAATGCAAACCAGAGCCCAAGATGCTCTGAGGGCAATAAAGGGACACTTTACGAAATAAGGGAACAAGTACCAGAGGAGATATACCTTGAACAATGATCTGGAGTTAGCCCGGTAAATGGGGAGGCCGGGAAGATAAGCATGCAGGACAGAAGAGAACAGACAAATGCTAAGCAAAGAATGGCAGCATCAGCAAGGCACAGAAGTCAGGGAAGGTACCATAGCTAAAGTGATACCTGAGTTATCTGGTGGTGAAGAATGTTAGAGTTGATTTGAAACCCTTCTAGAGTTGCTTTGTCAACTTACCCATTAAAATATAGGACCCTAGCCAAAGATACTAATTAAATTGTAATACCAACATAGGGTACTAGGACCTGGGCAAAACATTTTATCAATGCAGTCTAGGATTGTTTTGCTTTATTTACTTTTGTATGTCAAAATACTTACTTCTTATTTAAGGACAGCGTATCTTGCTTACTTTCATTGAATTTATATTACTTTAGTTTATGAATTAACACTGAAGTTTATGAGATAGATCGATGTTTCCTAACATAGCTGACCTTGGTTACTCAGAATTATCTTTTTTTCTTTTTTGAAGTTTTATTTATTTATGCATACAAGAGCTTGGGAGTAGGCCAGAGGTGCAGGGGTGGGGAGGTGGTGGTGAGAGGATTTACCAGAGGCAAAGTGGGGAACACAACAGGCAGACTGATTCAAATATATTTTGCTGAGGGGAGCAGCAGGAGAGACAGGAGAAGTCTGCTGTGGCATATGGGTCACCTCCCTGGCTGGGGATCAAACTCGTGCTGCAGTGGCTGTGGATTGCTTCAAAGTGCTAATGTTTAATCGCTTGCACCACCAGGGAGGCCCCTCAAAATTATCTTTTTTTTTTCCCAAAGATTTATTTATTTTTATTCAAGAACTGGGGTACAGGTCAAATGCGTGGGAGGGTCAGAGGATTCACCAGAGATAGAGTGGGGAGCAGAACAGGCAGACAAACCGAAATACACTACTGAGAGGGAACAGTGGGCGAGACAGGAGAGGTCTGCCGCACCATGTGGGTATCTCCCTGGCCGGCCGGGAATTGAACCCGCGCCGCAGAGGCTGCGGACAGCTCCACAGCACTGTGTTCAACCTGCTGTGCCACCGGGGAGGCCCCTCAAAATTCTCTTAATGAACACAAACTTGTATCTAAAATTACAGGTCTAAATGTTATTTGTCATATGATCAGGCCTCTTGGGCCTGGCTTCTCTCCCCCCTAAAGGACACGCTTGGTGTCCACTTTCTACTGGCACTTCTTCTCAAAGGCAAAGTTTGAGGTCTCCTTGAGAGTCTATATAAAACTCTATTAACAGAAGCTATTTTTTATTTCTGTCTTTCCACAAGGCTTAAAACTCCTTGAGTGCAGGGGATTCTCTCATTTGTTTCTGTGTCTGGAAGAGTCTGATATTTAATACATATTCAATATTTGCTGAAATAAATGATAAAATAAAACACTTAAAAAAACTATGGCAAGTGGCACAACTTCATATAAAGGAATATGACGACGCAGAGTCAAACAGACATGGGGTGAGTCCTACCACTACCACTGACCAAGTTACTTAATCTCTTTAAGTTGCAGTTTCTTCAGCACCAACTTTACAAGGTGGTTATGATAGCCTAATGAAATAGTGCATATGAAGCACTAAGTACAGCACATGACACATAGTTGACTGCTTTTATTATTTTACTTTCTCAATATTCCTATAATATAGTTCAAGGACCTCTAAGAAATGCCAAAAGCTTATGATAGTCTAGAGCAAACAGAATCACAGACATGAAAATGTAAAGAGCAATGCAAATCAAGGCATATGGAATGACTGACAGGACAGATCTTGTCTGAGAAGTTTCCTATAACAAAGGAGGACTCTGAATACCAAGGAACATGGGAAGTCACTGAACATTCATGAAGTTACTAACATAATACTTATTTTTATTCATTTATTTGAAAACATAAATATAGCACTTTCTGTGCCATGCATTAGTTTAAGTGTTTTCCACATATTAAGTCATTTAATTCCCCCAAATAATTCTGTAAGTACTATCATTAACTTTACTTTACAGAAAGGGAAACTAATGCCCAGAAAGGTTAACTAACTTATCAAAGTCATTCAGCCAGTAAGTAGCAGAGCTACTTAAAACTGGCAGTTTGGTTTTAGGGTCTGTGTTCTGAAATACACTATTTTCTCCATATGAAAGCATGAAGAGGAGTCAGCTGGTAAGGATATCACAGGGGAAGAGGGAGTGGGCAAAATAAGAGCAGGGAAACGTATTTAGAAAAGCAGTACACTAACCCAGGTACAGAGCAGTGATATTTAAAAAAAATGTGGGCAACAGGAATGAAAGACAAAGTGAGAATGTGAGATGATTAGATATAAGAAGTGAAAACAAGAAAAAGTTTTCTTATGTCACTATTTTCACCACTTTTGCTTTCTGTGGCTACCTTTCATTTTGGGTAGAAAGAAGTGTCAAGAAATACAGGCTCCTTTCTGCTTTCAGATTTGGTTCACAGAGTACACTTTTTCATAAAGTATGCCGCCCATTTTCATTCATTACCTGTTTTATTTCTTCTCCAGTTTTGTCTTTCACCATCTCAATGTTAAAGATTGAACTGAGAGTCTGAATAAGAACATAAAAGGCAATTAACTGTCACAATTAAAAAATGAAACAATAGCACTCTGTAAGTCTTGTGGGAAGCAACATTTCAGGACCATGAAGCAGGTTCTGAATGAACAAAAATAAGGAAACCAGCTTGCTCAGAGGAGTTCCCAAGCCCACGCAGGTCCTCACAGTTCTGTTCCCCAGAGAGTCTCTATGTCACCAGGTACTTCTGGTTATTACTTTCAATTTAACTTCTGTTCTACAAGGGGTGGATTCTTATTTGCAAATTCAGTGACAAATGTTTTTATCTCATTTTTAAAAAACTACTTTCTATAGAAAGGAAGGGCATGACTGCATATTCTTCACACTTTCTCTGGCACATTCAGGACCAATACTATTCTAGGAGTCCTATCAAGACACAAATATTCACAGAAATATTTCTCATTGCTATAGTGGGAAAATCACCTTACACAAAATCACTGAAATATGGTATGTTCAAATTTGCAGCCTCTGGTTACAGACATTTCATGACTTCAGATTTGGATATTGAATTAGAAACCTACCTTATCTTTAGTGAATCCTCTGCTCACAGACTGTTTCCCCAAAGCGTCTGCCTGAAATACATGAGATAGGATATTAATCTATTACTTTCTCTTAACAAAAAGCCCACCTATTTAGGTGCGGTGCTCAGTATCTCATTAAAAATTGCTTGTGGGCTGTTCTAAGCCTCCCACTCAATTTCTTAGTTTGAGACCATGTCTTTCAGAGGGAAGGAGGACAATCTACACCTGGGATTCTGTGACTTTTCTGCATAAACTCTCCTTTCACTACTCTGTGCCAAACCTGTCATAAATGATACCATAGAATTCAGACCCATAAACAAGACAAAAATTTGGTATAGAAAAACTTGCTGGACATACTCAGATCTCTTTGGTCACATTCCTTTTGCAATGGCGGCACCCTAATGGGAGCTGTCCAAAAAGGAGAATTTCATTTTCATAACACTCACTTTCAGGCATTTTCATGGAAACAAAAGAAATCCTCCATTTACACAGCTGCCTTCCACTTTTCGATCACTAATACTGGGTTAGTCTTTCCCCTACAATGTCCCTCTAATCCAGTCTTCACTTCCATTTGCACTTATGGAAATAGTAAACTTTAGCTTCAAGTGTAAGCTTACGGCATTTTATCTAATCTAAGACACCACTGATCTTAAGGTGTATCATTAGTTTATGTATCAGAAAACGATGCCAATTAAATATTAACGTAATACTTTCACATAGCATCAATTTTAAGTCAATTTTGGACATGTTAAAAGGTTTTAAAAATGTGGACTTTAGAAACAAAGAAATAAAGTAGTTAAAATACAGTTGAACCTATATGCCAAAGTCTCAAGAGCAAAGTATTTCACAAAAAATTTAACTGGATACTTTACTCCTCCCCTACAGATGTACCGTGGGGACAATATTTTTGTTGTCACAATAATAAAATGGATGTATGCATTTATAGATGGGGTAGGGGTGCCAAATAAGCTATAATTTTGCAGATGAGTTCTCATAATGAAGACTATTCTCTCATCTTACACCACTTTTCAATGTTTGGCAAGACATCCTTATAGGTACAAAACCTTTTTTATACTTACCTAGGTCCAGAATCTAATTTGGCTTTGCTTTTATAACATGGCTTTAATAAACACCGAATTTTTCAGAAAGGCAACTATTATGTACTGAGAGAAGATGATACATTGTGGAATCTCATGTGGGCTGCTGCTAACACTGGGTTTGAGAGTTTCTAAACTCACCAATACAATATCCCTGCTCTAGTCAGCACTTGCTGCTTATAAGTTCATGGTGATTTCACATACAGGTGAAAGCATCTGATGACAGCATTAGCTCTCCCAGTGTAATTGTGCCCCAGAATTTACATAAAAACTATGTGTCTTATTATGAACATTGATATTTTCCCTCTGAAATTATGTGTGACGGTGGGTTATAATGTCTACATTTCATTTCAATGTGGGAAAAGGAAAAAAAAAAAACATAACATTTTTTGTAAAAAGTTGATGGTGGATCATTCTGACTCAAAGAAAAGGTTTTGGGAATGGACAGTATGGGTGAGCCATGCTCTTCCATCTAGCTAGATAAGAAAGATAGTAAGTGACCATGAAGCCAGGAATTGCCATAATTCAAATTATGTATCTTGTCATTATGAAGTTAAATGTTCTGATTCTGTTTACATAAAGAGGCAAAGAGCTTTCCCATGTAATATTGGAAGTTTATAATACAATAATATTTCCAAGGTTCCAATATATGCAACCTTGACACTATAAATGTTTATAAGAAATTATACTTGTTAAAAATATTTTATAGAGGTGTTTGTAAAGTTGTAACTATGTTTATCATAGGAGGTTGAATTTGCTCCCCAATCTTGTAATGATTTAGCCCACTGACTACAGATCTTGTTAAGTAACTCAACCAGTTAATTCAAGTCTGAGTGGATTCTCTTAAAATTTAGGATATCTAAGGCAAAAATTATTCTCCAATATAAAATAAACATTTCTCATTTTAACACACAGCTTAGGATTCTAATTTTTCACTATAACTCCTTATTTTAGGCCCACCCAGCCCACACCTGGATCACTGCCTATTCTTCATGCTTCTTTCTTGACTCTCCCATTCCAATATGTTCTAGAAACCACCTAAGATTAGTATCTTTCAAACCACAGTTTATGAAGTCAATTTAGTTGATTGTGGCCAAAGTCTTTTTAAAAATGGGGAGGGGGGTCAATGCACTTGCACTGATTTGTAAAAATTTTCAGTTGTAATCATACACCCACACTGAAGTATGAAGTGAAATATCTTTCTTACTATGGGTTGGGGTCAAAAAGTTTGAAAAATACTGCATTTAGACTGATCATCTTTTACACACCTTTCAATCTGCTTTCCCCCCCGTTTTGATTCTTATTTAAGTATAATGACAGCTAACATGTATTAAGCACTTATTTCCCTCATCCCTACTGTCAAGTGCCATGTGTACTTTGCCTTGACCACTCAACTGCACCTCCTGTGAGAAGGGACGACCCTTTTAATCTCTGAATAGCTCCACATGGCCACAGTATTTTACCAGAGAGAGCAGGATATGGATGGAGACCAAGCTGAGAAGAGAGTGGCTAGATATGTTCATCTAGCTGACTCATCAATGAGCCCACTTCCAGAAGGGCCAGGGGGTGCAGTGTAGAGCACTGGTGAGTCAGTGACACAAAATGGCAGGTCTTACCTTCTGTTCCACACTTCTGATAAAATCACCTTGCCTGGAGTGCCCCACTGGCTGCTTCCGAAATTCACTGCGCTTCTCCAGTCGTGACTCAAAAGCAGCTGGGTCAGATCTGATCAAAGGTAAAACAAAGGTTAAACTGCTTGGGTCTTTTCGGATTTTGAAATAGCAAAACATGTTCCACTTCCAGAAAGAGAAGACACAGGCATTCAGAAACTGAGATTTGCCTTCAGCTAGTTAGGCCTGAGCATAGACCTACAAATCAAGAAAGCGGAAAAAGAAATCCTTATTCAACCACTGTAACATTTTCCTCTTGCATTTTTTCTCTATGGTGACAGAGGGCTTCATCCCTCAGGCACTTACTCTCTGGACACTTAGTTCAAATCCTCAGATTGGAAGGGTACTTTGAGGTCTCCTGTGGGTTACTGCCTCAGGCAGGAATCCTAGGTGTCAAGCTTTCACTTGCACACACCTAGTTCTAAGACACTTCCTCCTCCCCAAACACCACCCTCTCCCAGCAAGTTAAACCTCTGTTTATTCAGAGCCAAGTGATTCAGAGGCTTCAGGAAACCTATTTTGCAGAAGACTTAGCACCTAAGCATCTCTCAGACCCTCTCTCCAGAAAACGTACTCCAGTAGATGGAACATCAGAATTCATCCTTTTATGCCAAAATAGGGTTGGTCTTCAAGTCTGAAGTCCAGGTTGGGGGTGTGTTTTTTAAGAATGTGTCAGACTGTGTAGCCAGTGATATGATACTTTGATGAGGACATCATCCAGGGAATCCAGTTCCTCAACTATGAGACCTGTAGAGTCGTGGGTGAGGTCTGCAGGATCCAAGGACACCCTGGTCACCTCTCGGGTGGAGTCTGTCCTGATCAAGCACTGTAGGTAGTCCCTTTTCCACAAAACTCATTTCTAGAGAGAACATCAAATACTACTTCCTTCACTGCTATGCACAGGGGCACATCTTTCTCCCCTCCAGGCTGATCAGCAGTGCCCTGACTAGCGAAGAGTCAAACCAGGGGTACTGTGTAGCAGGGGTGGTGCCTGCCTGGCCAGGACTGCGGGCACCAGGACCAGGTCAGTGGCTAGAGTCACATCTGGGTCTACAAAGGTGAGCAGATGGAGAGGGCAACGGGTGGCCTAGGCAATATAGCCCATATACTCACACCTTGGGCATCTTTTATTATTAAAAACATCCGTAGACTATATCTCTCTCTCTGTAACTTACATCCTCAGGAATAAGAGGATTGTGAATTCCTTTTATTACATAAGAGGTATAATTTTTTTTTATATGTGTACTTGAAAAATCACTCTTAGGCCACGCCCTAAATTTCTTTTTTCTAGGTTAAATTTCCCATTTTATCTAGTCTTTCTTCATAGATGTGATTTGTGATCTTTCCTCACAGTGGACCTGATCTCTGGGCACCCTCTAGTTTTTCTACACTACAGATATAGTGAGCCTGGAGCTAGATTAAATCCTCCCAATTTACCAAAGTAGAGTGTGATGCAAAAACCCAGAGAACGGACCACAAGGGGGTTAGCAGGGCACAAAGCCTTTTTGTTGTTGGCGTATACTGAACTTGTGCTAGTCCCCCAAGAGGCCAGGTTTCAGTGAGTATGCCCCAGCACTAACCAATCAGGACTGTAAATTCCCTAAAATTATGTCACGAGGGTAGGTAAACTGGATGATAGATGGGAACTAGAATTCTGGTGATGAACATAAGGTCGTATATACAGACGCTCAGTTAAAAGGCTATAATTGAAACCTAATATTATAAACCATTCTCCTTCCCCAACCCTGTCTCCAAAAAAAAAAAAAAAAAAAAAGAATCTTATGATATCCTATCTGTTAGGTTATGGGCCCTAAGGACAGGCCCTCTCCTTTAACTTGGCCCAAGTTCTACTGACCCTTTTTTGGCCTCACTTTCCTATTCCCCTTTCCATTTTCCTCTACCTCAACTTCACCTTCTTTTTCTTTTGTAACCACAAAGCTTTCCCTCCCATCTCCCTGATACTTGTCTCGTATCAGCTTATCATCTCCTCTCTCCTTTTCATTGAGTTAACAACTTATTGTCTCTTGCCTGCTGGTTACTTTGCTGGGCTCTGGAGGTACAGAAGTAAGTACAGTACCTACATCAAGATGCTTACTATCCAGTGGGAGACATGTATGTAAGTACATTAGAATATGTAATGTAGAGGGCCTCCCCGGTGGCACAGCGGTTGAGCGCTGGGTTGCGAAGCTGCCCGCAGCCTCTGTGGCACTGGTTTGATCCCCGGCTGCTCCCCGGCCACCGAGGAGGGTCCCGTATGGCGCACAGACCTCTCTTGCAGTGCCCGCTGCTCCCCTCAGCAGTGTACTTCGGTCCTTCTGCCTGCTCTGCTCCCCACTCTGGCTCTGGTGAATTCTCTCGCCCTCCCATGCTTCTGACTGTACCCGGTGCTTGTATAAACAAACAAACAAACAAATAAATAAATCTTTAAAAAAAAATATGTAATGTAGAGATTATGGTGGAAATTTGCTCATATGTTCCCAAAAGGTTGAACTAGCTTCATGCCTCGTACCATTGCTGCTGCAGCTGCTCCTCCCTTTATCTGGAACACTCACCCCCAACCCCATTCCTTAATTCCTTTGTGCCAGACCACAGAGCTCAAAGGAGTTTTGGTAATAAAGCCAGAGACTGGCAGGTACTAGAGCATGAGGGTGTTGTGTAGAACACTAAAATGGACATTGTCCAAAGCCAGTGAGTTGCTCCTGTATCAGGAGATAAAGACTGTAAATGTTAATGGGAATCATCTTGTGGGAAGGAGTATAATACCAGCTCATGAATAAGAATGAATGAGAGCTGATGAAGGACAATACTTCAAATACATTTCTGTGAAAGGGATCAGACGCTGTAGGGTAATGTAAGTAAAAAAAAAGTTTTTAGATGACAAATACTTGAGTATATCTGAATACTGTTAGGAGGGTAAAAATATTCACTTATTCCATCATTCTTTCAAAAAGAGATGAAAGATCATTCCAAAACAGCAGTGAGATGGTGTGGAGTGGAGGGGTCCAATGCTGGAATTGGGGAAGTCTAGCAGGAAGATGCTCTTAATAGTCCAGCCAAAGATGGATGTGTAAATGAAGTCTGTGGAAGCAGAGGTGAGACAGAATTCAAAGAACGTACAGTGTTCATAAGGCAACTGCCTGCCTTCCTTGCCAAGCTCTCTCCCAGTCCCCTTTAACTTTCAACTTTGGTCTTCTTCAGCTCATCCCACTTCAACTCTACAGACTTACCCATGGCCCTGGTGACCCACATCAACCCCTCTAATCTCTAGATCCTTCCCTTTGGAAGCTGAGGAGCAGTGTGGGAGTCAGATGAATGCCAACCAGTTGTGTGCGACTTTTGTTAGTTTTCTCACTCTCTGACCCTCCAATTTCCTCATCTTAATGCCAGGGTTCAACTGATGATCCCTTCCCACCCCCAATCTCCTTTCCTTACAGTTAGAACCCTCAGCCAGGAAACTCAACGAGTTCTAGGCCAGGCCTCAGCTGACTCAATATGTGACTGTGAGCAAGTCGAGTCTCTTCTCTGGACGCCTCCATTTCTATCATAAGGACAGTAGTCTCTGACCCGCCTGCCTCATAAAGGCTGTCATAAAGAGACCACCTCACAGGATGGAGAACTCAAGCCCAGAGCCGACTGGGCACCTGGGAAAAAGGGGCTGGGCTTTGCAGAGAAGCCCAGCTCTGACACTAGCTGTGTGACCTGAAGCAAGTGACCCAGCCTCTCCGAGCCCAGACACCCCATCTGTAGAGTGGGCCAGTACCAGCGTCCACCTCGCAGGACTCTGCTAAGGACTCAAGCGCCACATACACCAGAAGCTCGGGCCGCATGCCACCCCTCCTCCCTGGCCGCCGCCGGCTGGCCGGGCCCCGCACCTGCGCAGCTGCTGGATCTTGTCGCGGTAGCGGTCGTAGAAGGGGTTGGCCTCGAGCTCGGCCTGGACCCTATTGGCGTCGGCGCCCCCCGGGGGCTGGCCCGAGGTGGGGCGCACCGGGAACACACGCAGCTGAGCCGGTGACACGAGCCCCAGGCCCAGGGCACGGCTCCGCACCGCGCACAGTCCCCGGTAGAGGCCGGCCACCTGCAGCACTGCCGGGCCCGCGCCGCCCGCCGCCGCCACCACGGCGGCAGCCATGCTCGCCCCCACCTCCTCCTCCTCCTCAGGCACGTCGACCTCGGCCCGCGGCCCGCGCGTCCGCTCCATCGTCCTCCGGGTCCGCCGCGCCTGCGCTCCGGCACCGAGGTTCCGCGCACCCAAAGTTCCGGGTGCCGGGGAGGACGAGGCTGGCGGAGGGGCTCGCCGCTCCCGCCCCGGCCCCGCGCGCCCCGCGGCTCAGGGCGCTGCCGCCCGCTTCCTCCCGCGGCCTGCTGGGGCTCACGCCCTGTCTGTCCCGCGGGACCAGTAGCCTCTGCGCGCCCAGCCTGCTCTTGAAAGCCCTTATGACCCGCGGTCCTCAAACATCCTGCCCCCCTTTAAATTCTCGGGGCTCTCTCTGTCGCACTTGTGTCCCCCCAGCTATAATCACAGCTTCTCTTTACTGAGCGCGTTCACCTGCAGGATAGCATCTGCACCGTGGCCTGTGAGACTGGTGTTAGTCTCATTTTACAGGTAGGAAAACAGGCGTAGGGTCATTAAGAAACCCATCCACGTTCTACCCAAGCTACTCTTTTCAAGACACCAGCTCTTCCAAAGCCTGGTCTCCCTCAGCTTCCTGACATCCACCTTGGACGCCGGCCGAACCACTACTTTTCTCCTCAAAGGGAACCTTAGAATTATTCTTGACAAGTATTTTTTCAGGCTATTTTTTTAAAAAATATTTATTTATTTATACAAGAGCTGGGGTACAGGCCAGAGGCGTGGGAGGGTGAGAGGATTCACCAGAGACAGAGTGGGGAGCAGAATAGGCAGAAGGACTGAAAGCACTGCAGAGGGGAATGGCGGAGGAGACAGGAGAGGTCTGCCGCACCATGTGGGTATCGTCCTGGTCCGCTGGGAATTGAACCAGCGCTGCAGAGGCTGCAGACAGCTTCACAGCGCTGCGCTCAACCTGCTGCACCACTGGGGAGGCCCTGTTCAGCCTATTTTTGATCCCTGGAATGCTCTCTCCTTCCTCTTACTCCACCCAATGTTTCTACCCTTTCATGCCTTGAACCAGGTGTGAGCTCCTCTGAGTAAGGGATAATAACATCAACATTTCTGTCTCATGTGCCCCTAGCACAGGGAAAGGTCTGGCACAAGCCCTCCGTGAGGCACTAGTCAGTTAGCTTTCATGGAATTCCTTTGCTGGTCTTACCCGGCAGAACCCTCTCCTGAATGGTGGACCCCTTAGGGACAGGGACAGAGCCTTCAACTGTGCTAGCCCACCTACACTCACAGAGAGCTCTGGGCCCTGGCCTATGTTGGGAGAGTGTGATAGACTCTTGAGATTACTAAGTCCTTTAAGGGTGCTAGCCTGCACCTACCTCAGATCCCCGTGCTTGCTCATCCCTCTGCTTGGGTTTGCTTGCTTAGGGCTCAGTTCACAAGTCAGCATCTCAGAGGGATTTTTTCACTCACCATCCCCTTATATTCTTTATCCCATTACCTTATTTTATTCTCTTTATAGCAGTTATAACTTATGAAAATGTCAGGTTATTTATTGTTTACATTAATTCATGGGGCTTATATTCTAGTGGGGTGAGAGTGACAGTAAATAAATATATGTTAGGTGATGCTACATGCTATCCCCCAGAACACAAAGCAAGCTTAGACAGAGATAAGGGGACATTTGACAGAGCCCTTAAAGAAAGAAGGGAATGATCTCTCTGGTTATCCTGGGAACAGCCTTCCAGACAGAGGGAAAGGAAGCACAGGCTGATGCAGGAGCATGCCCAGCCTGCTGTGCACCATCGGGGAGGGTAGTGTGTGAAGGAAGTATGGGAAAGGATAGTTAGATGGTTCAGGGCTTCATGCGTTTTGTTAAGTATTTTGGTTTTATTTTATTTTTTAAAAGATCCATTCATTTATGCATACAAGAGCTGAAGTACAGGCTAGAGGTGTGGGGGATGGGAGGATTCACCAGAGACAGAGTGGGGAGCAGAACAGGCAGACTGACTGAAATACACTGCTGAGGGGAGCAGCAGGCGAGACAAGAGAGGTCTGCTGCACCATGTGGGTAGCTCCCTGGCCAGGGATCAAACTCGTGCTGCAGTGGCTGCAGACAGCTTCATAGGCTGCATCTTAACCCTTTGCGCCACTAGGGAGGCCCCAGGACTTTGGTTTTAAATCTGAGTGAGACGGGAAGTAGGTTTTGAGCAGAAAAGTAACATGATCAGCTTTTAAAACAGATTCTTTTGGTTGCAGGTGGAATATGGGAAATGAGGGGCAAGATGGATGCTCTCCCAAGAGTGACTAATTTGTCCTGGTTTATCTGGGCGTTCCCAGGTTTTACCACTGAAAGCACTATATCCTGGAAAACTCCTCAGTCCCGGGCAAATTGGGATGGTTGGCCTCTCTATAGGGAGACCAGTAATCCAAGTAAGAGGTGGTGGTGCTTAGAATAAAATGATAGTGACAGAAGGTGGTCAGATTCTGGGGATGTTTTGAAAGCTAAGTCTAAAGAATTTACTAATGGACTAAATGTAGATGTAGGAGAATGAAAGTCATCAAAGATGACTTACAAGTGTTTAACATGAAGATGTGAAAGGATGGAGTTGCCACTTACGGAAAAGAGGAAGCAGATGTTGGATGATGATGGATGATCAGGAATTACATTTTGGGTATGTTAGAGAGATCTTAACAGACTGGTAAGCAGGCTGTTGTGTGCATGAGGCTAAAGTTCTGAGGAGCAGACTGGGCAAGAGATAAAGTTGTGAGTTGTCAGTGTACATGATATTTAAAGCTATGAATCTGGATGCGATCACTAAGGGGATGATGTAGATAGAGAGTTAAAGACTGAGTCCTAGGGCACACTAACATTTTGAGATAAAGAAAAAGAGGAGAAATTAGTAAAGGAGACTGAAAAGCAGGAGCCAGTGAGGTAAGCAGAGAAAAACTCCAGAGGTCTGAGCAAACAGTTTGTTAAGGGGTCTGGCTGGCCTGGTCAGAAGGGAAAGATATGTGAAGGGTGGAGAAGAAGATGTGGCAGAGAAGAAATGTAGGGCCAGATGGTGGCGAGCTGCCACAGGGCCTGATACCCAGTAAAAATGTACAAACACTTGTTGAAAGTAATGAAACTATAAAGATTGCAAACAAGGAAGGCAGTGTTGACCATTTAGTTTCCTTGAGCAACTTTTCTTCTGACAACTTGGTCATAGACTTCTTGAGGGCAGAGCTGCCCAAAGCTCTGGTGTCCCCTGCCTCACTCCCTACTGGTGACAGGTATCCATCAACTGTTCCTTAAAGGGACGGGGGGGGGGGTTGGCCTTTCTTGGGGGCTGTCTGTGGGTTTCCCCATATGGGGTAAAGAGCAGATGACCCAGGTGGTGGGTCAGTCCCTGATAGATGCAGCAGAGATTTTCTATGCTCACGATGCTCAGATGCTTAGATGGAGTCCCTTCCACTAACCAAGACTTCAGAATCACAGCCCCTGGAATGCTCGGTGCTCGGAACCCCAGGTGACTTGGCGGAAACTTTAGGGAACAATGGGCCTGAGTATTCCAAGGACTCCTATTGGCTGGACAGATGGGTAAATGAACTCATTCTCCCCAGAGCTATCAGCCAGGTACCAAGGCTCGAGCTTATGGATTCCCAACGGCAGGACCTGAGCCTCCCTGGCAGTAAGTGTCCTTCAATCACTCCCCCTGGCTTTGTGCCCTCTGGCTCGGGAGCACTCCAGGAAGACCTTTTGCATGGAGGGGGTGGTGGCTGCCTGCATGGTGGAGTGCTCAGCAATTAGGATATAGTTTTTTCTAGAAAATGAAGGATTCCTTGAGAGCAGAGATCATATCTCTGTGGCCAAGCAGTGGAGATACTAGGAATATCTCATCATAGATGAAAGGTTAAAGCATGTAGTAGAATAGGATGGGACACCTGTGATGTCAGCTGGTAAACTTTAATTTCCTTGATGAGCCTTGATTTTAGTGAGGCTTCTCAATCTGATGGGCTGCATGGGTCCAGGACTGGGAGCCAGAGACTTGACTAAGCTTAGGCAGGCCATGGTGCCTCTAGACCTAGCTTTCCTTATCTGTAAAGGTCTAAAGGTAATTCCTTAAGGCTCCTGGAAACTCTGCTTTGACTGAATAAGAGAGGCACATCAGGGAGGAGGGAAGGAACAGAGTGGTTAAGTGATTGGAATAATTTAACTAGGTTTAAGGACAGGAATGTGAAATGGCTTGGATCCTAAGCTAGAGCTATCAACCAGTTTGCCTTTTTTTTTTTCTTTCTTATTGCCTTAGTGTGGGTCTCATTGTACTTTGCATTCCTGGGGCTGTGTTCTGTGATAACTGGCTGCTGCATTGTCTTTCTGCACTGGAGGAAGAACTTGCAGCGGGAAGAGCGTGCCCAGGAGTGGGTGGAAGCGATGAGAGTCACCACATTCACCTACAGCCCACTGCTGTACTGGGTTAACAAGCGACGATACCAAGGCATGTCTGCGGCCATCAACATGGGCCCGCCCTCTGCTATCACCAAGCCTGAGGCTGAGGTTCAGAATTCAGAGTCAGAGTTGGACATCCCTGAGAGCAGCTGTGCTGCCCAAGACAGCAGCCCCAAGACAGAAGCCCCTGTCTCTCTGCAACCTGTCTTGCAGCAGGTCCTGCAGCAGCAGTGCCAGTCTTCTGCGATGCCTCAGCCCCATGCAAGCTCCCCACTCTCAATTCCCATCTTTCGGGAGGTGCCCATCACCCTCTCCCTGGGCAACCTACCCCCCTTGCTGAACCACTCAGTCTCCTACCCTTTGGCCACCTGTCCTGAAAGGAGGGCCCACTTCCATTCTCTTCCCACACTGGCCCATGGGGACCACTGCTTTAATGCCAAGCCTTTTGCTTCAGAATTGTAGTCTGCTCTCACTGAGAGTGGGAGCTGGAGGTAACAGCAGAGCCAGAAATTAAGCTACCTCAGGAAGGTAACTGTATTAACAGAGGCCAGGGCATTATGAAAGATTAAAAAAAGTTCAAGGCTCCCTTGTGTCTCATTTGTTGTTAGGAGTGCGATGTCCTTCCCAGTTGATGGGGCACTTTGCAAACCAAGGTCGAGTCTCGCCAATACAACTGGGAACTGGAAGGTTGGCTGTGGGGAGATACTTTGAACCAATACTTGTGATGGGCTCAATATTCCTCTATTCAGTATTTACTTAAGACCAGAAATGTGTCAGACCCTGGAATAGGTAACCAAGGCGTTGCCATCTTTGGGGACATCAAGTACAGTTGACATCCAGACAGATCCAGACACAAGAATGATAACTGCTGAGTGTGTGTGCGCTATGGTGATTCATAGGCATCACGGTGCAGACAAAGCAAGTCAGCATGGTCTCATGCAGCCACATTGCACTGCCAGTTGAACTGCATCCTCTGACAATATCTATGATGCACTGAGTCCTTACGTGGTAGTTATCTCTACATTATTGCTCATACAAGAACATCGCTGAATATCACCTCTGTTTTCCTACCGATAAAAAGATAGTTTCTAAGGGCATTCACCTTATCATTTTTATGTTGTAGAGCTAGGTCTCACTTACATCTGCCTGGCATCAAGGTCCCTGATATTCCCATCATACACCATGGTGTCCCTTCGCTAACTTGTCTTGTCAGAAAACACTTGGCAAGTGATTTATTAGGTATGTAGGGTATAAATAACCTGGTTCATAGATTGGTCAGTGAGTCCTCTAAATATATATACAGAAATGTATCCTTTGTCCTTTTAAAGGAATTCATGTCACCTCCAAAAGTTAAGATCTAGTAGGTGGGGATTATTTTCTAGTAGCTGGAAATGATACTAAAGACAATAATTTAAACTGGCCCCAATTTAAAAATAAGCCCAGCTCTGCTCCAGGATATACATTTTTGAGAATGAAGAAATCATCTATTTGTGACTAAACTAAGCTCTTCCCTGACATGAAAGGTCACCCTGATTGTGTAATGTGTATGTATGGATCCCCCACATCTAGCAAATACGTATAGTTTCTTTTACCTTGTGTATGTGAAAATGCCCCAGTCCTTCCATGACACTCTTCTTGCAACGGATCACAGGCCTATTTTTTTTTTTAAGGCACTGGAAATTTTTTTTTTTTTTTGGCAAACATGCTCTTATAACTGAATCTCTAAATACTAAATAGGCCTAAGTGAAGCTATCTGGCTGATAGGGGCTCATTCTTCCCTCACCCTACCCCTCCCACTCCTGAGGATGCTGAAGAACTGTCTTCCCTTCTTCAGGCCATTTTGTGGTTCTTCAGGCAGATTCCTCACCATTACTTTGAGACTACCATCTGTTAGTCTATGCTTTCAAAAGTCAGAGGAATTAATAAAAATAGGGATCAATGCAGATATATACATATTTTTCCTTAGTAATCAGTATGGATGGGGGCTTTTATCATAGTGGGAGAAGAAAATGTTTTATTTAGATAAATTAAAAGGGCAGAATTACTGATGAAATAAGCAAAGCTCAAATCAAGTCATGGAAACCTTGAGTTCACTCCCTAAACTGAACCAAAATTGCTTATACATTACCAAAATAGCCCCACTAAAGCAAAGTAGATTTACATTTCTTAATATGAGAAAACAACAAGGTAGGTTAGGTTCATATAACAAACAATACACGCTCTATAAAGTCTCAGAAACACCCAAATGTGTTCTGGTTTGGATATGAAAGAAGGGACCACATCTATCTGGTGTTGGTAAGCAAGCCAATGAGGTGTGTAGCAAACAAAAGCTGTCACTAAAAACAACTCAACGGCAGGCCATTATGAGTATGAGCCCATCACAGTCAAAGTCTTCAACTGTGACCAGGAAGACCAGCGGGGGTGAGGTGGGTGGGGTGGGGTGTGTGTGTGTGTGACGGGGTCATGTCCAGTAACAGTAGTAAGGAAATGCCAGCAGAAGGGAGAGCTGCAGCAGCAGGTGAAGGCTGTCCACTCAGCTCTGCTGTATCAGACACGGTCTTGGGCGCCACACATTCCTGTCTGCCCTTAGGGACACCACAGTTACAACAACAGGTTCTCTCGTGTTGGTTCTTCTCTTCCAGAGATAACTTTCTGCCTCTGATTTATAGAGAAGCTGTTTAAGTATACATCATGCCAGCTAGTACAAAACAAAAGAAGAAAAGGAACAAGAAGCAGTGCTTTGGGTAACCCAGGAAAGTAGTAGGAGCTGCAAGTGAAAACCTAAAAATACTTGAGGCCAGAGCCAAATTCACCATTACAACCCAACCTTCCTATCAAAGAAGGGATGTGACAGGTGAGGTTTAACTGCAGCTCAACAGGAGTCAAAGGCTGGGTAAGTTAAAACAATTCACAAAACTCCCAAATGAACACTGAAAAATGTGCATATGGGGCTCCTAAGCCAATGCATCTACTCAGCTTTGAAAAGGATTTTAAGATGCCCTAGTTCTGCCTGGAAGACAGAGCACTTTCTTAAGCAGTATGATAAGGGCAGTCACAGGTGTGAGTGCAGCATTCACACCTCTGCCAAATTTGGCAGAGGCAGAGGAAGGTTCCAGACAGCTGCCTCAGGACTGATGCTAGCCAGACAAGCTCAAGGTGGGAAGAACAATGATAAACTAAAAAGCAAAAGTGATTTCTCTATGTACAGCCATCTGATGTGAAAGAAAGGCACACATAACAAAGAGTTAAGGTGTCCTCAAAGTATCTGCCTATGCAGGAGAATTTGAAACAAAAATGACAAGCTACATTACCCTCAAGTATATTTCATATAAATCAGTTCTCAAAAAAATACCTTCCAGGTACAGACATTCTATTTATGGCACAATATATACAAATAGAGCAGTATAATTCAATTTATTGCTAGAATTTTATTTGGTTGTTAAAATCTGTAAGGGCATATATATTAAAAAAAGGTAAGGGAGGGGGGTATGGAAGGCAGCCAAAGAGTAAGAGTTATCTTCAAGTCACCTAAGTGTCAGTCTGATTTTATACGATATTTTAATCTTTTTAAGAAAAGTGAAATAGCTCAGATGGGCAGGGAAAATTTTTTTTCTTCAAAAGAGAAGCATGAGCCATAATGAAGTAAACAGACATGTTTGTGGGAAAACAATTCACTTTGCTTTAAGTAAATTTTAATATTTCTAGAAAAAAATTCAAGGTTAGCCAACACCAAATTGAACATCCCATCAAGAAGAAAAAAGCCCTTAAATGTTTAAGGGTGCTTGACTGCATTCGTGGCTAACAGAGCAACTTGGACAAAGTTAAAATGGAAACGAGATCTAAAGTCTGTGCAATGAAGGCTTTTTTAGTTTCTCCCTGACTTGGCCTACAGCACAGATATGTTTTACAAAGTTTTTCCTTTTATGTTGCCCAAAGACTGCTTCTAAGAACACAGCATACACACAGGGAGAATTCCCTTCAGTCCAGTGCTCTGTTGTATCAGGCCTACAGAAGTGTTTAAAGGGAAAAGTACGGCACCTGCTTGTATGAGATATGGAAAAGCCAGCTATCCATCTTTTGGTATGATCTGGACAGAAAGCCTTAGCTACTTCTGAGCTGGTAATTTTAAGGAGGCCTACTATGATTTCATGATTCCGTCATAGCCTTTTTGGCTTTGGTCAGCCCACAGAGAAATACATTTGGTTCTTGGCTAGCTCCCAGGTAAGGTCTCAAGGAAGTTTCCTGGGTCAAAATAAGAAGCATTAGCTCTTCTCTAGAGTGCCATGGTATCCAGGCTGAGATAGTCTCAGAATGGAGATAGTCTCAGAGGTGGAAGTCAGATACAGCTATAATGAACTCTTGTTCCTTCTGTGGGTTTTTATATTTCTCTGTGCAAATAGAGTGCCTTCCTAATAGAACTATCCCTTCCTTTTAAGGAATTCCTCTCCTTTCTGAGAAATCTTGGTAAAAGAGTAATTTCTGGTGACTTCCCACCACAGAGCCAATGTGCTAGACCCTATTTCTTCCAGTTATAGCATAGCCAGGGGGTGGGCAGACAGTTCCCCTTAACAGGGAAACGAAGGAAAGAGACTGACTGGAAGTTGGTCACAGCAGAAGCAGGGATCAAGCAAGGTTCTAGCAGGCCTCTGACATCTGACAAACCCTGGCCAGGGGTGCTCTTGGCTCCATCAGTTTCTCTGTGGGGTTATTCTCCCTCTCCATGATCGTCTCCACAGCTTTAAGATAAACTTGAGTAGGTGGGTGCAGGAAGAGAATCTAATTAACTAGGGGTCAGGGATGGGGGTGGTGAATGTAATTCCTCCCCAGGATGTTTTATGCTTCTGAATCCTGAAAAAAGACTGAAAATGAGAAAAATCCCAACAAAACTTCTCTGGTTCATAGGCTGGGATTAGCTGAGGGAATAGGAACAAAGAGCCAGCATCCTACTTTCCTGAGACTGAAGTCAGCACTGTCTCCACAGTGCCCACTCCCTAAATCTACCCCTAGCTACCAGGCTGAAGCTATGGCAGCACGTAAGGAAATGTGGACATAGTTTCAGCTGCTACCAGATCAGATAAGTGATTTTTAATAAGTCTTTGTTCACATTCTATTTCAAACCATTCTTACTACTTCCCAGAAAATATGCACAATTCTTTCTTTCAGTTTAAATATTTACAAACAGAAAAGGTCTATCTTTTAAAGGAAAGACATTTTCTGAGTCTGTATAAAGTGCAGCTAATTTAAGGCAAATTTAAGTGAAATATAAAAGGTGGCTTATTCTCTCTATACACATATTTTCCACTTTTAAAAGATAGTATCTCTTCCCCTCAAAAAAGGGAAAGAGCAATAAGGGGGCTTTTTCCTATGAATTTTAAAATTAAGATCTTATTAGTTTCAGGAAATCATAGATTTCTTAATATCATATAAGTAAAAGGGTCTTTTTTTTAAAAAAATAACTTTTATATAGCTTTTTCAAACAAGTTAAAAGGTGGCAATGAGTCTGCTATTGTAGTTTGGAGGACAGGAGGACTGATGTATAAGTAAAAGGGTTGTTTTGTTAGGTGAGTAGGTATTAGGTAGTCCAGGGTATATAGATCCATTTCTAGAACATGACTGGTGAGGCTAGACACCTAATGCTACTCTTAGCTCCAGGAATGAGTATCTTCCATCTCCATCAGAATCGAATGCTTTTAAGTTCTCTGGTTCTGGCACTGAAGAACCTAAGGAGTTCCAGATTTCCTGGTAGGTCAGTTTCCCATCCACTTCCTGGCCAGTCTTATGGAATAAATCCTGAAGATCTGTTAAAAAGGAATTTCAAAAATGTTTATGTTTAAACATATAACTAAATTTAGTTAAAAGTTAAAAATGTAGCCTCCACTAAATTTAAAGCACTAAAAGAAAAGCTACTTTGCAGACTTTGTTTCTAAAGGTAAAGTTTAGGATCTCACTAAATTAAAAAAAAAAAAAGAAAAACTACTTCCTGATCCTTTAAGAATGAGAGGGACAGTGTATGGTACTATTCTCTTAAAATATATGGTCTTCCTTTCAGATTTAATTCTTACATTAAAGGGGTGAAAAGGAATACAGAGGTCTAAATGGCTATTTGATAGATGCTGACCTTGTAAAAAAAGACTATGGCATATTGTTGTTTAAATAGAATTATCATATAACTGCAATTCCACTCCTAGGTATATAGTCAATAGAAATGGAAGCATGTCAACCCCAAAACTTGCACACACATGCATTACTCCTAATAGCTAAAAAAGTAGAAACAACCCAAGAATCCATCAGCAGATGAATGGACAGCACATGAAAGAGGCACACACAGGACCATATATTACATGATTCCAGTCATACCAAACACCCAGAATAGGCAAATCCAAAGAGACTGTAGTTGAGAGATTAGTGGGTGTCATAGGCTGGGGTCAGGTGAATAGGGAGTAACTGCTTTGTTGGCACAGGGTTTCTTTTGGAGATGATAAATATGTTCTGAAGTTAGTGGAGATGGCTGCACAACTTTGTGGATATGTTAAAAAATAAACACTGAACTGTATATTTTAAAAGGGTGAATATTATGGTACATGAATTATATTGCAATTAAGGAAAAGAGAACCAGAGAACCATCTATCTCTTCAAAGCTTGCTATCTCCTCTTTTTTTTTTTTTTAAAGATTTATTTATACATGCATACAAGAACTGGGGTACAGGTCCGATACATGTGAGGGTGAGAGGATTCACCAGAAACAGAGTGGGGAGCAGAACAGGCGGATCGACTGAAATACACTGCTGAGGGGAGCAGCAGGCAAGACCGGAGAGGTCTGCCACGCCATGTGGGATTCTCGCTGGCCGGGATTGAACCCGCGCTACAGAGGCTGCAGATAGCTTTACAGCAGCGCTCAACAGCCTGAGCCACCAAGGAGGCCCAAAGCCTGCTATCTATCTATCTATCTATCTATCTATCTATCTATCTATCTATCTATCTATCTATCTATCTATCTATCTATCTATCTATCTATCTATCTATCTATCTATCTATCCACCTACCTACCTACTTATCTATCTTTCTATTTTTTCACCAGCTGAGAGAGAGAGAGCAATACTACCAGTTAATCTTCTTTATTTTGAAGATATTATTTGAGATAAAAGGACTGGAAAATTTCTATCAATAGTTTCTTCTGGTATTTTCTCAAGGGTCCTAAAATAAACCTTTAGGACAATTATATAAAATTTAAAAAAGACTCCACAGAATGACTTAAGAGACAGTTTCAAATACAAAAGACTGGTCAATGAGGCTTATTTTTCTTTAAAAGTTTCCCTAAATTTCTTTCCTTTCTTCATTCACTCATTTCCATGCCTAAATTCAATAGGTTTCCTGCTATTTGTTATTCAGGAAGAAAGGAAATGGCCTGAAGAAGGGGAAACAGTTGAAGGAGAGGATCCAGTTCAGCATGCAGTTCTGCTGACAAGCTTCTGAATAGTACCCTACTTTTACTCCTAAGATAGTCCCACAAAGCACTCTATAGAGTTAAAAAAACTCTCTAAAGTCTGAAAAGCAGGTGGAATGTTGGTTCCCAATGGCTGCCACCAAGTGGTTAGCTAGAAAATGTTTTTCTTTTGTGTGTGTATATGTATATATGGGGTATAAGTTTATAAAATGTGTTAGGCACTTGGTAGCAATATTTAAATAAAAATCTGATTGCTGCTTCAGGTCATTTGAAAAAATATAGTAATTCAAGTGTGTTGAGGTCTATGTTAGAAATTGAAGTATGAAATATGATTATTTCTAATCTGCTCTAATAGTTTTCCATTCATTCTCATCAATTCTTGATGTAATAATGGAAAATGGGAGGAGGCAATCTGGTTGCCAATAAAAGCAATTTAACACTCCCACCATGCCAAGAAACAAACAACAACAAAAAAAATTGGGGCTGGGAGAAAAAGTAATTGCATTTAAATGGCAATAAACTTAAATCTCCTATACCTTCAGTTATTACTTGTAAACTGTAGGTAACTCATTCACTTAACAAATATTTATGTACAACAGGCACTGTGCCAGAGGCTGGAAGTTGAATTTTATTCTCTCCCCAGGAAATTACAACAGAGTGACACGTGCAAAATGGGAGGCAAATGCAGAATATTATTAGTACATATACAGAAGGACTCTAATTCAGTCCAGGGAAGTAAGGAGTATTTTCTGATGGACTGTTACCTAAGCTGAGGTGAAGAGCTGACAAAGGCAAGTGAAGAAGGCAGTGATTTTCTAGGCAGTTAGCAAACATACAAGCAAAAGACTAAACATCACAATGGAACACAGACTGTTGAAAGCAAGGTAAACACACTTGTCACTGTTTACCTTGTTGATTTTCAGCAAACGAATCCCTCATTTTTGGAGGGCCCTGGTCAACTTTTTACTTTATTTTGCTATTCTCAATATTGTGTCTGCTTTTTTCTCTACTAGACTGTTACATCCATTAAGAAAGTGAGTCTATATCTTACACTGCATTCCTATTGCTTAGCATTGGGTCTAATTAGGCACTCATTCAATAAGTGGAGATTCTATAAATATTAATATAGAGAAAATATAGTGCACTGCTTAAGAGAATATAGAATTAGGAAGTTTCCCTGTCAGTAAAATGGGTACAATACATGAATATTTATCTTCTCAGAATCACTATCAGGATTGTATGATAAAATACATGTCAATATTTGGCCTACAGGAAGTGCACAATAAACGTCAGATATAATTCTTCTACTTATAAGTTAGAACATTCCATGGTATAAAAATTTACCTTTGATGCTAGAAATTCCTGGAAGGGAAACAGGTCTTAGCTGAGCAGCTTTCTCAATTTGGTCTCCAAGAGACAGTGGAAATTTTGGCAATGCTGATGGCTTTGATGTGAAACTTTGTACTTGATCTGTAACAAACATATGGTTTTAGTATTATTGAATCTGATACCAAATTAAACTAGTATTGAAGGTCTTCTTGCATATAAATTTCATTTAAGGAAAACAGTTGAGAATGAAGCAGCATAAAGAAATTAAAGGCTTGAATCGAAAAATGTTTTCTTTTTTTTTTTTTAAGATTTATTTATTTATACAAGAGCTGGGGTACAGGCCAGAGGTGCAGGAAGGATGAGAGGATTCTCCAGAGACAGAGCGGGGAGCAGAACAGGCAGATGGATTGAAAGCACTGCTGAGGGGAGCAGTGGGCGAGACAGGAGAGGTCTGCCGTGCCATGTGGGAATCTCCCTGGTTGGCCAGGAATTGAACCCATGCTGCAGAGGCTGCGGACAGTTTCACAGAGCTGAGTTCAACCCATTGTGCCACCGGGGAGGCCCGATCAAAAAATATTTTCTAAGTGACGATCAATCAACATCATACAACATTAAGGTTTGAAGCTGCAGTCTCACTGGAAGATCCAGTACAAGTTAGTATTATATGTACTTAGATGTAAATAACTTAAATTGCACATAACAGCAGTGGCTACTGATATCCTAGAGGCATGCTGGGCGTATGTGGCACCAGAGCAGCTGGTGCTGTGAGTGTGACCACATGATTATGCAGCATAATGTCAGGTTTCCCCTGGAGTCTCCCAACCAAAAGAGAGGAAGAGAGGTTGTACTGCTCTCTCCAAAATGAAAAATACTTGGGGGGTGGGGAGGAATGGGGAGGGGGCAGAGGTCAAGGCCAACATAATCCACTGCCTTGGTTACATCCTTATAGAGTTCAAACAGCAGAGGTGGATATTGATTAAGTACATCCCTAGCTAAAGGCAACACCCATCCAACCCAGGGACCCCATCATTACGAATGTTAATTTTCAGAAGCACTAACATTTATTTTTAAATAAATTTTATGCATTTACAGAAATAAAAACACTCCCATAAACAACATTTAGGGCTGGTTTAATATAATATACACTGTGATAGTAACGTTTGTGCCTATAATTGGATGCAGACAGCATGGAGAAGTCTATTTCCAGCTAAACATTACCCATTCTTCCCTTAATAGACTAGAGTACAAATCATGTATAAAATGGGCTTTTTCTAAATGAAAGCAAAGTGTATCAGCTTCATCTCAGTGCGCTCAGGCAGTTAGACCAGTCCTGCTGGAACACTGTTCCCCACTCCCTGTGTGGGAGGCCAGCTGCCCAAGTCTGCGTGAAATGTTCAGAAGCCAGGACTGCTCTCACCTTTGTTAGAGGTTTCTGGAGGCCTGTTGCTCTCAGGTTTGTTTGTGAGAGCACTGATCAGCTGCAGTTTCTCTCTTAGCTTGGATACCTGAGAATCTGAACTATCTTCTTTCTGTCAAAAACAAAGATCAAGGAAGGTTTAAAGGAGAAGACCTCATCTGGTTATTTAGAATATTCCCAGAGCCTATTCAACAAGCAGTGCTTGACCCTCAACAGTTTTCCTATAAAGGCAATGGTGAAGAGAATCAACAAATACCAGAGAGAACTTTGGTAGTCAGTGCTGATGAGGATCTAGCTGGATTTGAGGCTGGACCATTATGGGAGTATTATGCCATGGATGATCTGATTCACTGAGAACATTTGGTGGAAGAGGGAAGACATACATATGTCAGCAGTAAAGGAAATGTATCCTTGTTCAGGTGCCTATATGACCCCCATTTTCTAAATGAGTAGGGTATTATTTTCTAAGAAATACTTCAGACTAATTTTCCTGAGTATCTTACTTTACCTGTGACTAGACCACTTAGGTGTTACCTTAACAAACAAAACAACCAACTGCCCCCTCTCACCCCACACCAAACCACAAGAATTCTTCTGACCTCATTCTCTGCCCTTGTGGTGATGATTCAACTGGTGGCAGGAACTATGAGGAACATGAAGAAGGGGATGCAATATTTCTAATTCAGTCTTAGATCTTTTAAAGCGGTGTTTTCCCTATACCTTGCCTCATCTTCAGGATGATCTAGATTTGCATATAGAAAACTCATTTAACGATGAAAAGAGAGAAATTTGGGTGATATGAGACAGGTTTCTAGCTGCTTTGGCCAGTGTGGCAGGTCCTGATCCTGTGTTTAACTAGAATTCATTGTAGGGCCTCCCTGGTGGTGCAGGGGGTAAAGTCTCAGTGCTATCAAGCTACCACCAGCCACTGCAGCACAAGTTCGATCCCCAGTCAGGTTGCTAACCCACATGGTTAGCAGACTTCTCCTGTCCTACCCGCTGCTCCCTTCAGCAGTGTTTTTCAGTAGATCCGCCTGTTCTGTTCCCCACTCTGTCTCTGGTAAATCCTCTCACCCTTTTGCACTGCTGGCCTACACCTCAGTTCTTGTATGCATAAATAAATAAAAATAAATCTTTAAAAAATATTAGAATTCATTGTACACTTTTTTTTACTCAGTTTATATTTACTTATTTCTTACCTACCTTTATTTGTACCCTAACAGTTATGATATAGGAGATCACAACTGGTTTATTTATTTATTAAAAAAAAAAAGATTTATTTATACAAGAACTGAGGTACATGCCAGATGTGTGGGAGGGTGAGAGGATTCACCAAAGACAGAGTGGGGAGCAGAACAGATAGACTGACAGAAATAAATTGCTGAGGGGAGCAGCAGGCAAGACAGGAGAGGTCTGCTCACCATGTGGGTATCTCCATGGCTGGCGGGGATCGAACCGGCACTGCAGAGGCTGCGGACAGCTTCACAGCACTGCGCTCAACCACCTGCGCCACCAGGGAGGCCCCACACCTCGTTTATTTAGGGATCTGCATATATGTAACTAAAACTAAGTCTTAGACACCTGAAGAACTTAAGGTAAGAAACTACACATGGTTAGGATGCTTAGATGAAGCAGGACAAAGGGACTAAATACAGTGGGATGACAGCTAAAAACAATGGGTCTGAAAGTGAAGAAATTCAGTCAAAATATGTACTAGCTGTATTTTACTCTGATATTTACTATCAAAATCTGAACTATTTCTGAAATCACTACTACTTTCCAACAGCAACCACCTGTCATTTTTTGTGCTCAATATTTATACCTGGCTTTTCAATTAAAAAAAAATTCTGCAGGGCCTCCCCTGGTGGCGCAGTGGTTGAGCGCTGGGCTGCGAGGCTGCCCGCAGCCTCTGTAGCGCCAGTTCGTTCCCTGGCCGCCAGCAAGGGTAAAAAACTCTGCAGAAAGAGTGGGAAAAATTAACAGAGTCTGGTTTATACTGCATTAAAAATTTACTACACATGACTTTAGATACTACAAAACCAGTAAGGAAGAAAAAATAAAGATGGAAAGCAATATATTCAAAACTCTGTACTATATATTTCCAGTCCGAATTCATTTCCTCTGGACCTCACAGCCTCTGACCGTGTCATAAGCAACATGCATCTGTGATGGTATTTTAGCTTCTTGGCTTTGCCTTTAGCTTATCCCGGGTAACATTTATTTATTTATTTGTAAGAATTTTTTTTTTTTTTTGCATAGAAGAACTGGGGTGTAAGCCAGAGACATGGAGGGGAGGGGTGTGTGTGTGAGAGGATTTACCAGAGACAGAATAGGGAGCAGAACAGGCAGATCCACTGAAATACATTGCTGAGGGGAGCAGCAGGCAAAAACAGGTCTGCTGTGCCTTGTGGGTTAACCCCCTGGCTGGGGGCACTCAACTCAGGTCACTTTGTCTTGGGAGGGCTCGAGAGCCATAGCTTAAAAGTCACCTCCTTACGGAAGCCTTCCTGTTCTCTGTTAATTCAGTCATCAGATCTCTTTAGCACTTATCATACTTGTGATTAATTATCCGTTCTATTATATGTTAGTAATTTCTGACTGATGGACTTTGAATACTACCAGTATAGGGGTCATGTGTGTATCCTGCTCGTTGTAGTCACCCCAGCTTCTACCAAAGTGCTTGCCACAGGAAAGGTGTCTAATAAAAGGTGTTCGCTTATTCACTAATACACTAATTTATTAAGTACTATGTCTTGAAGTGTCAGCAAATGAGACCAAAGCACTCCTTTTGAGAAAGAGATAGCCTAAAAGCACAAAGAAGCCAATGCTCTTATTTTTACTTCAGCCTAAGTCTCCTATTATTTACCTTTGTGCTTTCAGTTTTTACTGTATCTGGTCTGATGGTCACTTGATGCAAAGACTCTCTTTTTAGAGAGGCAGCTCTACCACCCATCTTGACGGGTAAAGAGAACAAGAGAAAATTAAAGGCAAACACTTTAATTTCAGAACACTTTCAAAAGAAATACCAGTAGGCAACTGAGGAGAGATGGGAAAAGGTCAGAGATATAAAGCTGAAACTGGTGTTTCTAGCTGTTTAGTCACAAACATTAAAAATTTGAAGTTTAAGAGGCGGGAGAACTTTTGCAGAATTTTTATCCAAAACTATGCTGAGTATGTGCTGTTGGAAGAAACAGTAGGACAGATGGGTACAATTAACAATTTCCTCTTCTAGAGAAAAATAAAGTGAAGGGGGAGGGACACTATGGGGAGCTCAGGGGTGGTAAGTTTTCACAATAAGTCTTGAAAACGTTCACGGTATTATATTCATCAAAAATCATCCCAAAATCCTAGATTCCTCTTAGTTCAGCTAAGTTCAAAAGGGCTTTTAGAAATAAGGCTCCTTTAATCTTCACAGCTTTGTAGTAAATTATACACTATTATAAAGCAGGAGGGGGAGCAGGTCTTCTTACTCCACCTCAAAGCCAAGTTGAGGCAACTTGCCAAGGCTCCACTGTGACAGGGCCAATTCAAAAACTGCTTTCTATGTGCCAAAGTTTGACCCTATTTGTGGACTTCCTTCCAGCTTTGGTGTTAGTTGAATTTTTAGTATAATTTCCTGTATCTGGCTTCCATTTCTTTATATATGCCTGTGTCATTGCTGTATGAAATCCTTAAGGGTGGAGCTTTGCAGCTATTAAAAAACAATACACAAGGATCCCAGCACAATATGTATATATATGAAAGGGCGTGCACGCACATGCACACACACACACACACACACACACACACTCTCTCTCTCTGATGCATATATTATTTACAATATCACAAAAACTAGTTAACCAACTGGTAAAGCCAGCACCAGTGACTTAGTAGGTTATTCAGTTTCCTCATATGCAAAATAAGAGGATGGATTCAATGACATCTTAAGTTGAGGCGCTGGTCTGACCTGAGTTTTAAAATAGATTCCTGACAATATATACAAAAGGGTTCCCCTAATACACAGATGAAGCAGTAAATCTGAATGAAAACCAAGGTTAGGTTTAGGGAAATGGCAAAATACTCTTCTGCCACTGGCAGAAGTAAAAAGTGCTGCCACTGCCATTGATCCCACCCTTAACAACTTAAAAAAGAAAAGACCAAGAAGACCTCACTTGGAAGTGTGTGCCACAGCTTCCCTACCAGATGGGTCACTGGTAATATAACAAGAGGCTTGTCTTCTCTGCCAACAACTTGTGGTCAGGCCTTGGCAAGCGACTGAACCTCTCTCCATTTCCCACTCCAAATCAGGACTAACACTGGCTGTGCCAGTCACATCACAGAGCTAGTATGAGGATTAAAGGAGACAAGGATTAAGCACAATACAAATGTGTAGCCTCTCGAGTCTGCCAGAAGACCGTGTCTAAAAAGGTTGTGGAATGTCATCCATGTACAGACAAAACACACTGCAACAAAGAACACATCACAAAAGATCTGAAAAGGCTTACCATGCTGAAGGACAGGTTCGCTTGCTTTTCTACCTTGCTCATAGCAACCAGATCTCTTTCTATCAAGTTGACTCTGTGGGTAAGATTACTGACTGTCTTATTCATCCCCTCGAGTTTAAGATCATTCTGTCTCTGGTACCCCACCAGGGCACTGTTTACCTCCTCTAAAGAGTTGTGAAGGTACAGGATACCCTGGAGTGGAAATAAATCAAGTTGTGGAATCTAGCTGAAGACATATACTAGACCAGTAGGCCAGCAGCACTGAACAATTATGATGTCAGGTTACTGAAGTAAATTCCTTTTCCTAGTTTAGATCATCGACTGTCTGTCTGTTTTGTCCCCTCCACCTTCACCCCTCCCAAATGGCTCCCAGCTTACTCCTTCTGGAATTATTTGGCCTCAGCTAGACAGGAGGGGGGAAGGAGTTAGAGGACTACCTACATGATTCACTCTTTGGTCCCAGAAAGCTGAGAGCTTGGGAATTGATTTCCCAATGTTTACTTCACCTGCTGGCAGGAAAGCTTACTGGGTTATTAACTGAAATGCCCATTAACCTAATTTGTCAGAACAAAACTACCTTAGGAACAATACCAATTACTGAATTGGCTCATGTAGCAAAACCATAACAAGTAGTGCATTATTTAGTACAAGATTCAATTATTTTTATTGACATCCTCTAGTACTGATTGCTACTTAAAAAGGAATGATGACTATAGGTTTTAAAGGGCATTAGAATCAGCACAAGAATTCTTCTTAGTGAAGATTTCTCTTTAATGTGATCCTGAACTCAATATCCATTCCCCTCCTGTCTTTAGACGTTTGAAAATCCTGATTTTCAAGGAAGTATATGCTTTTTAACATTCTTAGAATTTACTGTGGCTCAAAAGAGCTGTCACTCTGAATTACACTGCTATCCATCCATCTTTAACTTGCTGTGATTGCTGTTTTTCATAAAGGGTTTCAAGATAATCTGGCTGGTCTGTGTTTTTTATAAATGAAAGGGAATTTACTCCATGGATTGACATGCTGGGAAAAAAAGCAGAGTGCCAAAGAAGAGATAGGGCAGCATCTTGGATTCCCAAGATAGCAACATACACCCCTCTCTGCTCAGCTCTCAGGCAGGTATATAAAAGCAAGGCCTGCCAAGACCCCACAACACTGAGCCCCAATGACGCAGGCTGCTGCATCCCAAGTGCACTGTGGTCACAGGCAGTTAAGTTAGAGACAAAAAGTACCTGTTTCATATTTTCACTGTGGGTTTTATTGTCAAGTTCTGATGTAGCTGAAGGTGATGGAATGATCTGGTTGCTTCCATTGGTCTCCACTGAGAAGTGCCGATTCTGTTAACAGGAATGGAGGATAGCATAGACAGTAAGTAAATACTATGTCTACTTAATCATGTCCCAGAACATTCTATCCTCTCCCAGGGACCAATCAACAAGCATTTCCCAAGAACCTAAAGCATGTCCAGACCTGTGCTAGGCCCTGAGGGCACTAGATACTTTTGGGGATGCCCAGTGTGAAGCATGGGCTGGATGAGCAGCACTCAGATTACCTCAGGGAACTGAGAACTCCTACTCTGTTTCTCAATCTCTGAATGGAATGAACTCCCTAGAAACTAGTCCTCTCCATTAACTGTACTGCTAGAGAAACTCTGGAATCACTGCAAGTTCCCAGGAACAACTCTGTCTGAACCTTGCCAGTGTCATATTTCCTCAGGACTAAGAGGTTTGGACATTCAAAGAGCAGCTGGTCATGTAACCACTGGCTTTGGGCATTGAGCACAACAACCAATCATGTACATTATTAGCTTTTCAGTTTTAAGAGCACAAGCCAAGATTTACGTTTGAGGGTTACCCTCCCTTATCCATCTGCTTCCAAGTGTTCTTTGCAGAGACTGAAATATAACATGTTCCTATACACTTTTTCCCTTTAGTGGAAAAAACTTTTCATGGCTTAATCTTTTACAGCCCACTACTATGACTTATTCAGTATAAAGTGTGTCAGCAGGAGGATTACCACTGGCAGCCATGGAAATTTAAAAGAGGTAGATTTAATTATAAAAGAACGCAACTGGGGAATATAAGTGGTTTTCCTTGAAATCTGAAATCCTAGACATTAACCCTGCTTTCATAATTTAAAAAAAAGGACAACAACAAAAAGAAAAAGGAGAGTTAAAAAAAAATTCTCATAGTTCTATAAAGCATGAATTTATGCAATAGAAAAAAGCATTTTAGAAAATACTTGATTACTATGAGAAATTCTCAAGATATTAAAACAACAAAAGAATTGCTATACTAGAAAGGTCTTTATTATTATGGAGCACGTGCTTATTCAGTGGCAATTTAGAATGAGAATTCTGGGTGTCCCGACACCTAGATCAAAGCTTTTTCCTCTGGGTCAGCCCCATTATATAGCAGTGAGGAAAGGAACATTCTTTTGAAGCCCAGGTCTCTTTGGAACCAACTGCCTAGATTGAACTTGAAATGCCAAAGTTTGAAAGAGCATGTGGGCAGATCTAGAAATTGGTAGAGAAGCTAGGGGACTTTAGTGTGCTTTGAATAGCCCATTTCATGTACATATAATTCATCTCCCCAGGAAGAGAGCAAGGGCTGTGCCATCTTATTTTACCCTTCATAAATCCTTCATGAGCTAAGTACCCATTAGGTGATTAATTAAGGTCTCTGAATGATTGCAGACAGCTTCCATCTGCACAGTATTAACAAATATTGGAAAATAATTCCTGAGCACTGCAGGGGTTTGTTTGTGTCTGTTATCTGTTGCAGCATAACAAATCATCCTCAAACTTTGTGGCTTAAAACAATAACAACTCATTATTTCTCATGATTTGGGGCTCAGTGAGGATGGGCTGGGAGTCCTGTTCACATGGTGTAGGCTGAGGTCACACATAGGGCTGCACTTAACTGGGAGCTTGGCTAGAGCTGGAACATCCAAGATGGGGTTTCATCTTCTAGAGCGACTCTTCACCTGGCCATGCATCATTCTGCAGTCTAAGCCAAGTCCCTTACCCACAGGACAGTGAGAATAATAGCTTCTTGTTTTAAGTCACTAAGTGTTAGGGTGATTTGTTAAGTAGCAATAAATAACAGATGCTTCCCTTTCTTTCCTTTCCACTTTCCTTACCACCTATCCCACTCTCAGAACTGTTTTTTTTACTGCTATATCACCTCCAGCACATCTGCAAAAGATTCAGCTTTTAATTCTATCCACCATAACTGCTCAATTTATAGGTTGTAGAAAAATAAACTGCATATTATATCTTTTAAAAAGGTGCATAGCAGGATGTTTATAGACAAATGGAAAGTTAACATCACCACTATGACACAGAAAAGGGTGGGCAGGAAGATGCTGAGTGTGTAACATTAGTAGATTTCCTTACCATATCACTTTGCAGTAATTCCATGGTTTTCTTGTGCTCATCCACGGTTTTCTGTATTGCCTCCACAGCAAGATGGACACTGTTTAAAGTACTGCCGATGGAAGCTACACTCTGAACAAAAACATGTAATAGGTTCAGTGCTTTTTCTTTTAAAAAATTTTAATAGCTTTATTAAGTGATAACTGGCACATATTCAAAATGCTTAGCTTGATAACAAATAACCATCACCCCCAACCAGTTTCCCCATTCTTCTTTGTAATTCTTTTCTCCCAATCCCCAGGCAACTACTGATCCACTTTCTGTCACTATGTATCAAATATGCATTTTCTAGAATGCTATATAAAGAGTAAAACTGAGTATGCACTTTTTTTTTTTTGGAAAGATTTATTTTATTTATACAAGAGCTGGTGTAGAGGCCAGAGGCACGGAGGGTGAAAGAATTCACCAGAGACAGAGCGGGGAGCAAAACAGCCAGACAGACCGAAGACACAGGTGACGGGAGCAGCAGGTGAGACAGGAGAGGTCTGCCACGCCAGGTGGGCATCTTCCTGGCCGGCTGGGAATTGAACCCTCACTGAAGAGGCTGCAGACAGCTTCACAGCGCTGCGCTCAATCCACTGTGCCACTGGGGAGGCCCTGAGTATGCACTTTTTGGGGGAGTGTGGCTTCTTTCACTCAATGTAATAATTTTGAGATTTTCCATGCTGTAGCTACTCAGCATGTTGCTAAGTAGCATTCCGTCTCATGGATACATCACAGCTTATTAATCTGTTGCTGGACATTCAGGTTGCTTTCAGTGTTTGACTATTACAAATAAAGCTGTATAAACATCCATGCCTAAGTCTTAGTGTGGACATATGCTTTCATTTCCTTTCATCATGTTGTCTCTTCATCACATCACCTAGGAGGTGAATGGCTGATCACATGGCAGATGTATGCTTAATCTTTAAAAAAAAATGCCAAGTGAGTTCCAAAAGGGCATTTTAAATTCTCACCATCAGTGTATGAGAGTTCCAGTTACTCTACATCCTCCTAATTTCACTTTTAGCCATTGTAGTGGGAGTGCAATGGTCTATTACTGTGATTTTATATTAAACACTGACCTAACAGAGATCACTGCTTGTAATTATTTCAGATATCTTCTATCGCTTCCATGTAGCTTATATTGACACAACTAACAGGAAGCTGCATACATACATAGACTACCACTCTGTCAGTAGCAAATGGCAATTTTTGAGTAAAAATGAATGGAACCACTTTTGGCTTTTAGAAGCCCAGCACTGCAGACATGAAGGAAAAAGTCTGTTTGACAGCATCTGTTCTTCCTCTACTGTAGAATTCTGTTAGCAACTATTAAATAATGTGAGATACAGGCAGTAGCTTATTTTGCTTTCATTAGATCTAATGAGCCCAAGTAGACTGGAGACTTGGGGATATGATTCAGAAACCACCCTCTCTAAAAGGTCTATCCTAAGGGAATATACAAAATATACTATTTGACCTTTTATTAAAATATACTGACAATCTTATAGTGTCACATTAGTTTTTTATTCAAGGTGACTTTTATTATACTATATTCAGAATCCAAGAGAACAGAGATGACATTTTCAACATGAAAAAAAAAAGATACACTGAAGTTAGTTATTTAAGAAGACCTATCATTTCAAACTTGTAACAAAAGCAGAGTATAACATTATAAATGCACAGCTTCCTAAAGAGACAACACGCTGCACAGACGTCTGTAAGCTGGGATATTATCTATGCAAGCTCTATTGTCACAGAAGCTGCAGGCATTCAAAGACATCTACTATTACAAGATCCTCACTAGCTGGATACATGAGCCAATCAGGATACAAGAAGATAGTAGGCTCTTGTTTAAGATTGTTTTTAAGGAAGAAGCTGACAGAGCCATGTGAACTCTATGCAAAACCCTGACCAATATTTTCACCAACTACAAAGTACCTGGCACATACTAAAGGAAGCTCCGCAAATATTTACTGAATTAATGAATACAAAAATAAACCAATTTCCTTTTCTTTCCTTTTTTAAAAAAAGATTTATTTATTTGTACAAGAACTGGGGTACAGGCCAGATGCGCGGGAGGGTGAGAGGATTCACCAGAGACAGAGCGGGGAACAGAACAGGCAGACTGAAGAAATACACTGCTGAGGGGAACAGTGGGTGAGACAGGAAAGGTCTGCTGCGCCATGTGGGATCCTCGCCGGCCAGCCAGGATTGAACCGGTGCTGCAGAGGCTGCGGACAGCTTCACAGCGCAGCGCTCAACAGCCTGTGACACCAGGGGAGGCCCAAACCAATATCCTTTTCTAACGAGACTGCCAGAGTTGCTTCTGGACTAAAGGGCATAGATGCCTACCCTTTACCCACTTGGCCCTTTGGGAATAAAGGTATGAAGAATGTGCCTTCATCAAAGCTGTACCACATTTTTTTTTTAAGTTGTAAACACATGACCATATTGGACAAATAGCAAACTGGAGACTGACCATACACAGGTGATATGACTACAAAACAGCAAAATTTGGTTTTGCTTATTGGTTTAGGAATTTCTCACCATTTTTGGAGACAACAAGTTTATACAGCCTACTTCTATAAGTCAGATATCCCATACTTAATAGACACTATCTGGTATTCCTTAGCTCTAAACCCTTCTTTTATTTCCTGCTTGAGGTACTGATGATGTTTATGTTACAATTAAGCAACTCTCCCTTCCTCCACCATCCACTCATCTCACCCAGCTCTAAAGACCCTCCGAGTATTATTCATCTGGTTGGTTACTACCTCTTGTTCTGGACCTGAATCTTAGGGATCGAGTAAACAGAAATTCTGAATTAATGCTTGCCTCAAATCTAGAGTTTAGGGTATATACACAGGAGTGAATTCTAGAAGGTATGCACCTTACCTTTATAAAATAACACTGTTTTCCAAAGTGCTTTTTACCAATTTATACTCCCCTGAAGAGTATATGAAAGTTTCCTTCATTCCACATTCTTGACAACACTTATTATTTCCTAAATTTTTAATTTTTGCATTTCTTTAAATGACCTTTTTATTTTTATTTTCTCAATCATGGAAACTAACAGCAATTAAGAATAATTCCTATGTCTAATTGGCTGGCTGTCATAAAGGCACTATAGATGATAAACTGCAAAGTCATGTGATAAAAAGCAAACACACATACATTAACATAAGGGTCTTGGCAGAACAATACTGGGACTTGGAGAGCCAGAAGCTGTGAACTCATGCAAACTATAACTAAAGAGACCTGTTGCAAATTAAAGGCCTAATCAGACCAAAAAAGAGACAATCTGAAGTATCTAGAATATAGTGAGACACTATCACTGCTCTCTTAGAGCAGCTGATTTCAAATGCCAGATTTTCAAGGAAAACTTGTAAGCAGCTAGAATTACAGTGGTAGGTTAATCTCAGTGCCCACGTATAGCACTTACCTTCTGAAGTCCCTCTACAGTGGCAGGCAGGCTAATTAGGTCTGCAGCTGACTTAACATTGGCTTTAAGGTGGTTTACTGCAGAAGTCAACTGAGTAATCTGAAAAGAAAAAGAGTATGGAACAATGAAAACAGAATTTGTTGAGTGAGGACTTCCTTCACAAACTCTAGAGCTGATGATGCTATCAAGATGCCTTTGGATTTTGTTTCTGTGATCCAGACTATAATTATACTCTGTTCAGCTCACAGGTATAGAGGAACTATAGTACCTTGGATAGACTTGAGATCTGGGAAGCAGCAATAATACCCCTTCTTTCCATGTCCAATTTAAACACTAGTGCCAAAGAGGGAAAGGCAAGTGTTATTCTTTACCCTATTCCTGGCAGTTATAAGATCCAAAAATCTTAAATTATCCAAAAGATGCAGTGATTACAGCACAATCCTTCAACAACTGGACAAGAAAGCTAATGATCAAGGACTCCTGAAAGATTTCATTTTGGTAAAAAATAACACCTCAGCTATTTACTGAACTTTTGTTCCTGCCCAACTGGGAACATATATTACAAAATAAAAACCCATCATCACAAAATACAGTCTATAGGAACTGTACCCCGGCAACTTGAATAGCACTTTCAACTACTTGGGGATTTAGTTTTGGTTTAACAATGTGATTAATATTTCAAACTCAATAGCTCAACCAAAGCACTACTTTGTACCCTGAAGGGGTTCAATAAAAACCCACTGACTTGCTAACTGATGCAATGAATGTATTAAAATAGGAATTGAATCAAAATACAATGTGTCTCCTGTTTTGCTACTGAGGAGTAGAATTCTAATAGCTGGACTGTCTTGAATGGTGACTAGGGGATCCCATATAATACTCAATTTTGAGCAATAGAGATCACATCTAAAAACTTTGCAGTGTGGCTCAAAATATTCTTGAAGGATTCTTAGTTCCAAAATGCTGCTTTCCTCTCCTTAAGTCTAGGATGAAAACACAGATTTACCAATAGCAATTATATTCAGAGCAGCCTCGTAGAGTAACCAAACAAGCTTCTGGGCCCAAACACTGTGGTAGGCACCAGATGGATAAACAACAGAGTAAGCCTGATTCCCTGCTCACAAATGTTTGGCATCTTCTCTGTACTAGACAGTGCTGGAGACAATGGCCAGCAAGACCATGAAGTTTTATTCACATGGAGTTTACATTCTAGTAGAAAGTATCAGATAATAGTGACATGCAAAGAATTTAAACAGAGCTCCTGGAGCCAGGAACTGAGGTTCTCTTCCTACATTAGTTTTTATTCATTCATCACTGCAAAAAATACTTATGAATTTCTATTATATACCAGTGGTAAACAGCACAAATGTCAGTGACCTGGTAGTATTCACATTTTAGTGCAAGGAGACAATTTTATATAGGAAAAATATTAGATAGTGGGATATGCTAGAAGAAAATTAAACAGGTAACTTGTTGAGTGACTGGGTAATGACTAGAGTGGATGGTCACCGGAGGCCTCTATAAGGAGAAGACATGTAAACTGAGATCTAATAAGAAGGAATTGGTCATACAAAGACTGAATGGAGTTCATTTCACAGCGAAGGGAATTGCTAGGGCAAAGGCACCAGTGCAGGAAATAGCTTGGCATATTTGAAGATCAGAAGGCCTGGTGGCAGCAGTACTAATGTTAGGGAAGGAGGAGTTAAAGGGAAAGAAAGAGAGGTGGGGAGAAAAGTAGATATAGGTAGTAACATCAAAGAAACAATTAAGTGCTGAATGTGATAAGGAATAAAGTTCTGAGAAAAGAATATCAGTGCCTGCTAAAAGGGACAGGCTCCACTGAAGCAGGACTCATTAGGCGAATAAGTGTTATATATAAAAACAAAGCAGGTTAGAAGGGGGAGTGTGGCATTGTGGAACAGGCAGGGAGAAACAGCATAAAAGGCTCAAGAATACTTTTTCTTTATAGCATTTCTCAAAGTGACAATGATTTATTTATTTGTCCAATTATTTGATTAAGGTCTCTTTCCTCGAAGCTCCATGTTATCCAGGGCTGTGTCTATTTTACTTTCAACAATGCTGTTTGGCATAAAAGACGCATTCACGAAGTACTTACTGAATGAATGAATGAATGTCTGACAATGAACCCCAATGTCCGGGATGGACATGAGAAGGCTAGTCTATGTTGAATAGAGGATAGCGCTAGGAGGCAGGGAATAAGATTAGATAAGTAGTTAACACACCAGTAAAACAGCTAAAACAATAACATCTGCTTAACAACTATCTTATAGGAATGTGTGATGGCTTAAAAATGTATACAAATTCTTTGATAGTCCTTCCTTCAAAAGGTGGAACTTAATTTGTTTTCTCTTGAGCACAGCCTGGACTTAATAACTCACTTCTAGTCAAAAGAATTAAAGTGAAAACAACAACGACAACTCTGGAAACTGGGATACAGAAAGGCTCTATGCCTTTCTCTTTGCTCTCTCTTAAGAGAGACAGGTGGGACCTCCCTGGTAGCGCAAGGGGTTGGGCACCACACTACAATGCCTCTGCAGCATGAGTTCGATCGCCGGCCTGCCAGGGAGATACCCACATGGCGTGGCAGACCTCTCCTGTCTCACCCACTGGTCCCCTCAGCAGTGTATTTTAGTCAGTCTGCCTGTTCTGTTCCTCACTCTGTCTCTGGTGAATCTTCTCACTGCCTGCATCTCTGCCTGTGCCCCAGCTCTCGTATGCATAAATAAATAAATCTTTAAAAAAAAAAAGAGAGAGAGAGAAGTGGCTGCGGAAGCCAGCTGCCATGTTGTGAAAATACTCAAGCAGCCCCAAGGAGGGGGACATATTGAGAGAACTGAGATCTCTTGCCAATAGCCAGTTGAATGAGATCCTCTAGTTCCAGTCAATGATGCAGGCTTGGCTGACCTCTTAGCTACAACCTTAAAGATATCCTAGTCAGAACTGACCCCAAATTTGACCCACAGAAACTGTGAGATAAATGTTTGCTGTTTTAAGTCATTAAATTTTGAGAAAAACGTAACACAGCAACAGACGACTAATACAGGCTGTAAGGACTAAGATAGATAATTAAAGCTCTTAGCACAGTACCTGGTAAAAACAAAATGCCAAAGAAGTGCTAGCTTTTTATTTTTTTAAAGATTTATTTATTTACTTACACAAGTACTGGGTACAGTCAGAAGTGTGGGAGGGTGAGAGAATCCACCAGAGCCAGAGTGGGGAGCAGAACAGGCAGACTGACAAAATACACTGGTGAGGGGAGTAGCGGGCACGGCAGGAGAGGTCTGCGCGCCATGTGGGACCCTCGCTGGCAGCCAGGGATCGAACTGGTGCTTCAGAGGCTGCAGGCAGCTTCACAGCCCAGTGTTTAACCGCTGCGCCACTGGGGAGGCCCAGAAGTGCTAGCTTTTTTTTTTTTTTTAAATTTATTTTTTATTTATTATTATTATTATTATTTTTTTTTATAGAGGCATGCTTTTATTTGTTTGCTGGTTTGTTTGTTTGTTTTGTTTATACATGCACTGGGTACAGTCAGAAGCGCGGGAGGGTGACAGAATTCACCAGAGCCAGAGCAGGGAGCAGAGCAGGCAGAAGGACCGAAGTACACTGCTGAGGGGAGCAGCGGGCGGCAGGAGAGGTCTGCGCGCCATGTGGGACCTTCCTCCGGTGGCCGGGGAGCAGCCGGGGATCGAACCGGCGCCGCAGAGGCCGCAGGCAGCTTCGCAACCCAGCGCTCAACCGCTGCGCCATCGGGGAGGCCCAGAAGTGCTAGCTTTTTAATAGTGAAATTTAATAAACATGTAAACAAATTTCCAAAAGATCTCCAAAATATTAAGACTAATCATCAACTTTCAATGCTGTTCATTTAAGTGCAAAATGGGTGAGAAACCTCAGGCCACAGAGATGCTCTCAACAAATGACAAACCTCTTCAGAGAAGCATTTCTATCAAGGAGGTTTTAATCCATGCCTTCAGAGATGAAAAGGACATAAGGAAGCATGTCCTATTCATGGGACAGGAAACTGGAGAAGACTTACTAGATTATCTAGGAGTATCTGTCAAAATTTGAAATGTTTATATCCTTTAATTCAGATATTTCATATCCAGATATTCATCTTTAAAGATTAGTTGCTCATGTGCACAAAGATGTATGTATAATACTATTCACTGCTTCCTTATTTATAAGAGCAAAACACTAGAAATAATCCTAATATCTGTCACTATTGATGTATAGTCAGTGAACAAAGTGAACAGAATAAATCCTAGACATACACACACACGCACACACACGAAAAAGGGATTGGAAGAATGTGTCCAGACTATTGACAATGGGCACTTAGAGGATGGTGGGGAAGGGGGAGGGAGAGGGAGAGGGAGAGAGAGAGAGAGAGACACACAGACAGACATACAGAGATTGAATATATTAACATATTACTCATGAAAATTTAAAGACAAAAGATGGGAAAGAAATACATAAGAAAAACACATCAGAAAACTTTGGTGGGGAATGGACAAATTTCTGTGGCTGGCCCTTTTTTCCATGTCCTCCACTAGGCCTTCTTGTGATACCCTTAGCCATAAAGTGCTAGGAAGGCATCTCTCTTTCTGGTATGTTTACTCAGTGTCTCAAAGTACGTACACAGTTGGCTCAAGACCACCTTGATAGGCAAGAATATGGTTATTCCAAATGCCTTATCAATTTTGTTGTTACCTTCTGGCCACTGAAGGCAAATCAGAAGTATTTCAAGAACTGATAACGACCTCACAAATAGCCAATGTGGCAAGTTGGCAGCTACCATTTTACCCCCAAACAAGACTAGAGCTGAAAGCTAATGCGAGCAGGATAAGGTTTGGGACCTTTCCCCATGTCCCAAACACTCTAGGGTGTAGAGTATCAGCTGCCTCACTGAAACAGTATGCTCTGGAGAGCAACCAGTTAAAATTAACTCTCGAATTATCAAACATCACTTACAACTTCTTATAAGACCTGGGCCACCCACTGGTCACAAGTTGTATTTCCCTAAACTGCAAAGCTGTCTAGGAGTTCCTCCTTACTTGCCATGGGTATGCTGCATGACCCCCAGTGGAGGCCTGAAACATAGTACCAAACTCTATGTTTGTTCCTATACATAATACCTATAAAAAGTTCAATGTATAAATCAGGCATGGCAAAGAGTAAAAATGACTAATAATAAAGCAGAAAAATTACTACAATGTACTGTAACAAAAGATATGTGAATGGAGTCTTTCTTGCCCAAAATATCTTATTGTTTGTAATAAGATGGTTGATCATGGGTGGGTAACTGAAACCATGGAAAGTGAAACCCCAGCTAAGGGGGACCACTGTATCCACCTTTCGGTATTTCTCTCTTCTGTGGTACAATTCCAAACTTGGTAGAAAACTACAGCAAAGCCACATGTGTAGATGAAATGGAGAGACAAGGGGAGAACTCTACTGATATCTCTGGGAATGTTCTGGTTTTTGACAGAAACATTGTAGAATGCCAGGCTGGACTAGAACATTATAGAACCTATTTCTAAAAGCCACACACTGCAATTCAAAAGTATAAAACACTGAATTAAGTAGAAACTACTACGGAAAAAAAAATCCCACATTCTAGCCAAAAGTTGAGTCATGATTTTTATGCATATTACATGAATTTTCATTAGCAAAATTAAAAACAGCCAAGACTATTTGCTTATTAGACCATTTTGTACTATAAAGGCTCAGATTCTGCTTCTTCGCTTTGGGGTTAAGATTAAGTGTCCTTTAAATAGTAAATGAAAGAGTTACTAAAACAAGCAATCATTAATGATGAATGAATATGGCCCTAGTAGGGATGTGATGTCACGTCCTTTCAATTTTATCTACTGAGTTTTTCCAGAATCCCATCGAGGAAATAAAAATGGAAGGTGGAATGGAACACCAGAAAGAATACAGGCACCGAGATCTTGAGTATTTTTAGTGTCAGCACAGCTACACAGCTCTGTAAAGATTACTTAAACTCTTTGGGCCTCAGTTATCTTAGCTATAAAATGGAGGTACTGCCTCTTACTCCATGGGGCTATAGAAGCAAAAAAGAAGCTTGCGTGTGTAGTCCATCTAAGAGTGGCCAGCACAAAGAAGGCATCTGATGAATGACAGTTATCTTCATTGCCACCACCACAGCATCATTGTTGCCATCATAACCTTCATCATCATGATTAAAGGTTGGAGTACAGTGTACAGCTTTCTAGTGTAATTATGTGTATCCAAATATAACTGTATCACATAAGATAGCTGGACTGAGTGCCCCAAAACATAGAGTGTGCTATAGTAGAAGGGCGCTCAAGGTCCTATTGATATGGCTCTTGCTGACATATCCTTCCTTCTGGCCTCTTTCCACCAAGCTAGAGCTATAATGAATTACTACAAGTCCCCGACATACTGTGTTTTTCACTCACCTATGCTTTTGCACAGACCATTTTCATTATTTGCAGTTTGGATCTAGACAATTGCAGCAACACTACTTTAGTGAATACTGAATTATTGCTCCTGAGGGATACAAAGGGTTGTGTCCCTGAGAGCCCTCTGGTCACAGCATTTTCACCAAATGGTTATTACAAATCATGACCTCATTCTATGTGTGCTTCTGTTTAAAGACATCTTGTTTAATGCATATTGTTGAACTTGACCCTGAAAGATGTTTATCTCATACATGTATTTTTTTCTGTGAGGCACATCACAGCCTTCTTGAACTTAGTAATACTAGACATGACTTCAGCACTATGTTTAGAGGACATTTTAAGCAGTAGAAATGAACAACAAAAATGCCTTTTGATTTACTGAGCAAAAACTGCTCTTGCTCTAGGCATGCCTGCCTGGCCAACAAAAAGGACAAAAATGTGAAGTCATGACACTGAATATATTGAGAAAAGGACACTTGTTTACGGTATGAGAGCTGAAACAAGGTGGGGTGTCATCTTGTTTGACCTGATCCGGAACATTTTTGTCAGATGACTCAAATTTTTTGCCACCATATGCCTATCAATGCATGACTCTGGAAGTATCACAAGTTTAGAGTTTGGGGTTACAAGCAAATTTTAGTAAGTAGGTGAATTTACAAAAATGGAACCTGCAAATGATGAGGATTAATTATACTAATGTTTTTCTCTTTCTGCAGAATTCTCTGGCCAGTCCCTATTTGCCTGTCAGGATTCAGCTCAAGATAACTCTTTGAATCCATGTCCTATAAAAGCAGCTCATTAAACATTTGTAAGAATAAATGGTCTTCAAAGAGCCAGGGGAGATTCCCTAATAACAGTTGAGTGGGTATGGGTATAAAATCAGAGGCTTCATGAAACAGAAAAGTAAATGAGATTTTTAACTACTGGTTTAAAGATTTCAAGGTGAAACTTGATTTTAACTTATTTAAAACTGATGGCTTTTTTTTTTCCCCCAGGCTGCATTAACTTCAAATCACATTGTGAAAAGGATTGTTCTTGTTAAGCAGTAATACAGTTTGTTGTTGCTTAAGCCACTTTGAATGCTTCAAAAAAAAATTGCCACTAAAAGCATCTTAATTGAGAGTTATCTTTAGATATAGAAACATGGTTAAATATTATTTTTGTCTGTAGACCTATTTTGGTTTAGGAAAAATACATCTTATTTCAACAAATCATCAGAGATGTGTAACATTAATTTTAGAAAATTGCTCACAGTGATGAGCTCCCTTTGGAGACATTCCCATCACACCCCATGCACCATGCCAGCAGAGAATGCCCTGTATCAGGCTGGTGTCATCAGTTAGTATCATTATTTTTGAAGATCTACTGAAGCTAAAATGGAAAGCGTTTCAGTTCAAATATGAATGCAATTTAATTATGAAGTCTTTGGATTGAAGTAAACTTTCCATATACTGCCTTTCTAGGCACTTCTTGCATTAGAAATAACAGCCAGGTCAAGAATAAAATGATTCTTTTGTTTCCAGATTTCTGGTTAAAGAGCATTTAGAAACCAAAATGTGTGCCAAAGATTTGAAAACCTATGTGTCCTCTCATACCAAGTACTAATCTCCCCTTTGACTCTTCCTATGGTGATTTACAAAGAGATGGGAATAAAGGACACTGCCTCTTCATCCTGAACGATCCCCTCACACTGGAAGGGTAAACTCCATGACTATTTATGTGGCATCCATGGTTTGTCTCAGTGGGTGTTGCTAGTTACCTCTCAGCGCTTTACTGTGGTCTACTTTCATTTGCTGTAATTTCTGGCCAAACTAATCATTTGCTCTGTGAAGACAGGCAAGGTCATAGTTTATCCTATTATTTTTTTTGGGGGGGGAGGGGGAAGAGTAAATACCTGTTCTTTTCTAATTACTAAGAGGATAAATGAAAACAACACTTGGTGCCACAACCCACCCATTATTTCATGAATAAGTTAAAAAAATAAAATAGAACTGAATAAAAAATAAAATACCATAAAGCATCATAATATTAAAGGTAAGCTACTGTTTTCAGAAATTTTTATTTCATTTACATATGTGTATGTATGAGTTCATTGGATAATGGTATACTGTGGGTTCCAGACAAAAGTATGAAATCTACTGGCCCAGGTCACTGATCTATATAAAAGATTTATTTTTATTTATTTATACAAGCACTGGGTACAGTCAGAAGAATGGGAGGGTGAGAGAATTCACCAGAGCCAGAGCGGGGAGTAGAACAGGCAGAAGGACCGAAGTACACTGCTGAGGGGAGCAGCGGGCGGCAGGGGAGGTCTGCGCGCCATGTGGGACCCTCCTCCGGTGGCCGGGGAGCAGCCGGGGATTGAACCGGTGCTGCGGAGGCTGCGGGCAGCTTCAACCGCTGCGCCACTGGGGAGGCCCCTGATCTATAGTCTTAAGTGCTGACATGGCCTGCCCATGTACTACAGCTTCAGAAATATTTACAATAACTTTATTTTAGCACAGTGTTCTCTGCCAGTGGCTCATTCTGAATAATATGACTCCACTCTGAAGAAGAGACTATGCTCTTATTCTCAGAGAGGGTGGCTTATCTATTCTTAACATTTGGTTGGAGGTCTATCATTCACTTGGTAGTTTTTTCTTTTCAATGAGCATGTCTTTCCTACTAAACTAAAAAAACTGGGATGTGTCTACAATTATCCAGTGGCAACTATGACATCTTATACATATTAGACGCTTGATCAACACCCTTTGAATAAGTCCTTTTTCTCTGGCAAAGTCCCTCATTTGTAATGCCTGCCTAGTGAGATCTGGCCAGTTTAGGGACTGGAAAGTTTTTGCTTGCCTGGCCAAAATATTTAACTAACTCTGTCATCTCCTGTGCTATTCTAGAATGACTATCATTAGTTGTGGATGGTGTCCAGAGTTGTTTCAGGGCAGTGTACAGAACCATACTCCAAAGCTGTGTCTGTAAGTTTATAAACTCTATTAAACAAAATAAGCTCCCATTAGCTAATAAAAATAGGCTATCCATTTTTTGCCAGCCTATTTATTTGGTATCTACACACTGCTTTTATTTGGTATCTACACACTGCTCTTTTATTTGGTACCTACACAATGCTCTTCAGGAAAAGCCGAGCCAAGCATTTCCAACTCCCTCTAAACTATTCTACTCAATAAGGCTGTTCTTTTGCAGAAAAGGTTAACATTTTAAATATTTGATAAATGTGTAACTATTACTTGACTTTAATGTGTTGGAATCACAGTATATAAAACACAACTTCTAAAAGATAAACAATCTGGAGCTCCATATACCTACAAATTCATTCTAAACAAACACAAGTAAATATTCATTGCTTACACAGATGTAAAAGTAATACTTTTGCTACCTGCTTATTCATTTCAGTGATGTTTATCCAGACTTTGTTCAATCCCAGTTCTCCAGATTCAATATTTTCAAGTTGTTTTTGTTTGCTGAGAAGTTCTTCATTAAGCTTGGGAATTTCTTGGAATGAGCTTTTCTGATTAGATTCCACTAAAAGTAAAAATAAGAACAATCATAAGTAGTCATAAAATTCCCTCATGGCTTCAAGATGAAAAATGGTCATAGAGTAGGAAATAAGTTAGATTCATAAAAGTTTAGTTCTAGGAGGATAATATCTGAATTCATGGCTATCAACCACACCATTCTTTATATAAATGTATGTTTTTAACATTAAAGTTTCATTTAAACCTGGGCTATTTTATTACTGGCAATATAGCTTTTATAAGTCAGGTGGCTAAAAATGCTAACAAAGAACATTAGCGGAGAGCTGGATTTGGATCTCAACGCTGTAATTTACTAAGTGTGATCTTAAATTACTGAAATTCTTTGAGCTTGGTTTCCTCATCTGAAAGGAACAGATAAAATTTACTTGACAGAATTGTTAGAATTAAGAGAAAGAATGGCTGTAAAGTAGTAAATACAGCTGGCTAGGTATACAATAAATGATAAATGTTAAGTACTGACCAATTCAATTGAGGAGTTTTTGATTAGTTAGTGAATCTTACTCCTTTAATACTGAAGCTAGCATAGTAAATGCTTATGTTTACTCTTTTCTCCTTCAAATTGGTCAAATGCAAGGTGGGCTTTTACCAACTCTCAAGAATTGTTACAAGGAACAATATTTTAAATCTTTTTCAAAAACAGCAGTGTTTTCTTAGATCAACTTAAAGCTCAAATGAAATAGGAGATAAAAGAACTTGTTAGGTGATGTATAAGGTGACATTTGACCTTTCTTTTGGAAAGCATTTCTCCTAAGTGGTTTAGAAATTTGCCAACCTAATGGCAGAGGTCTGAAAGAGTATTTTCTTTCTTTAAAAGTTATTTTCCTTTTCATGGAAAATATCGGTAATGGTGGTCCTCATGCAGTAAAACCTACATCATTTTTTTAAAAAAAAACCAGACTACTTAATTAGCACTCTTTAAAATAAAAAAACTGGCATAAAGAACAGATATAAAACTATTTACTAAAATGTAAGCTCCAAGACTTTCGTTTTGTTCATTTCTGTAGGCTCAGCACTTGGAATATGCCTGGCACTTTCAGGCACTCAGTATTACTGACTGACTTAGGCGGGCCTTTGCTTGCGTCCCAATTATGCTTCTCATCACTTATCTCTCCAATCTCCTTTCTAGCCAAGTTGATTTTCCTGACACACCAGCCTCTTTAAGCCTTGGTGACTCTGCACAAGCTATTTCTGAACAGATGCCCTTTGCTTGCCCCTTCTTCATGCCTATCACCTTTTAGCCAAATTAATGCCTTTCAAGATTTAGCACAAATAGCTAGGCCCCCATCTTGCACCACTCTTTACCACTCCAGACTCCCAAGCACTTAACACACTGTGCTGTAAATATCTGTGTCTCTTCCATCAGATTGACAGAGAGCTGCTTGAGAACAGGTCTTCTTTATGTATTCCCAGGGCCTACCACAGTGCCAGCTATACTGAAGCACTCAAATGCTTGTCCATGAAATAATTTAGGTTATGAAATGGAGTGAGTATTATCCTTTTAAGCTAAATAAACAAACTTCAATAGTCCCACAAAAGTAGGGAGTGGTGGCATACAGATGGCAAGTAAGCTCAGTATCTGAAAATTCAGAAATACAAGAAATCAGATAACTAAATTTTCAAAAGTATGTGACAAAGAATTTTTTAATAAATAAGACTTCCTTAAGTGCTTTTAATGTAACATTTGATTTACACATGGTATGCAGAGTATGTTCATTTTATACGGTAACAACATTTACTAGTGCTAGCATTTAGAATTTTGCTGCATTTGTTTTACATTTTTCAGTTAAGTTGTGAAGAAAAACTCATCCCACACATGTCTGCTATTCTTGGATGGTCAAATGTTCAAAGGGAGTGTGAGGGGTGGGGTGGTGAAGTGTGGGTGTGAGGTTCTTTCTTTCCTGCAGTCTCTAAGAATTAAGTAGAAGACATAAGTGGGAGAGGAAATAAGACAAACACATAACTTGGGTTACAATTATTAATAAACATATAAAGCTGACAAGCCCTTTGAACACTTTGGATCCTGAGGATTGTATAAGCCAAGAGAGGATCATATTCCTTATCTGATTTGGGGCTTTTTAGGAGAGACAAGCCCAATCAGGGCAACTTTATTACATAAGTAGGAGGAAAAACAACAAAAAAACAACACATGATTGCTAACTCAATATTCTTTCATCACGGAAAGCAACGATTTCATACTTAATATATAAATACTGAAGAAAGCTTAACCAGCTCTTTTCCTGATGGAGTGTTCTGCATAAACCCTTCAGATAGAACATACATAGTGCAAATAGCAACACTTTATATTTATATGCCTTTTTAGTTTCAATAAATTATTATGCAATTATTCAACTTGCTATTGAGCCCAGATCTGCATTCAGCCTTAATGCACACAAAAGACCCCGAAGCTCTCAGTCTATGGATAGCAAGGTGGCCTCAGGGAATTACTATACAGTTACGACAGATGTTGTAACAGAGGACTGCCCATAGTGCTTTGGTAGCATTAATACTTCTTTATGTTTTACAGGTGGGAAAATGAAGGCTCAAAAAGAATAAGTGATTTGACACAAGTATGAGCTGCTAGGATTCAACAAACCTTCTGCTCCAAAGACCAGCATTCTTGCTGGTATACTTTGGCTGTCAGAGGCATGCACATCCTAATGTCTTTGTTAACACAAGGCCATTTTTAAGTTTTGCATTAAATGACCAAATTGTTACTCTGCCTATTTGAATAGAAAAGGAGATGCCTGATTTATTAGTACTGTCCTTCTCTTCTAAATTCTTTTCCTTCACTCTGTACCATAGTTTCCCTTCACTTTGTATCACAGTTGAGTGACAAAGATGGATGATTGGGAACAGAATCTTCCTCAAAATAACTGTAGCCATCTTCTGAAGTACCTGGTTCTGGAAAAAGAATATTGGACTAAGAGTTTCAAGGCCAGCCAGTACTTTTAGCTTAAGAATCAAGTTACATCTTGACCACAAGGAGAAATAATAAGCCTCTCTGCTTTGTTTTCTATTTCAGACATCTCAGCAATCCTGCCTCCTATTCTTACAATGTCTTGGAAAATTTATTGAAATAAAGAACAAGGGGCTCTGAATTTCCCAAAAAGGCATTAATGCTAGGAGGTCTTATCTCAGTCAGTGACTTTCACTATCCTCTTAAAAAACAAGAAAAAATGAACTTACTGAAAAATATGTTAAGCAGACACAGCAAGACTGACTTCATTTAGCCAAGACAGTGGTTTTCACAAAAACTCTTGGGCAAGTAGTCCACAGCAGGCCAGCCTATGAACTGACTAGGCTATAGGCTCCATCCCCTAACCTCTCTTGGGAAGTCCTGCTTTAGACACTGTAAGTACTGGCAAACAAAAGCCAAAAAACAGCTCGACTGACAAATCTAAATCTGCTTCATTCAGCTGGCTGACAAATGTAGGTCCCAAGGGAATGTTGCGTAGTGGTAGAAAGCAGGTCTTATAGATCAGGGTATAATTTCTGGCATCCTCTGAATATATTATTTCCAGGGGTTGGTGTTAATGAGTGATTAATATGTACGTGTTGACTGCCTGCCTGCCAGGTCTATAACATATACACACTTTAAATATGTATCTTGAAACAAAGACATTCTCTGAAAAGCTCAGCAAAGGTATAAATTACACAAGTGTCCTATAAACAAAGGCACAGAACAATCAAAGAAAAGAATCCCCAGAGGATAGAAGTGAGTAATGTCTTGAAGTATATAAATAAACAATTGCTATTTGCGATCAAAACAAGCTGTAGCATAAACCTAGGAGGCCCAACTAATTACTGAGAGATGATGGCACAGCTGTCTTCAGTGAGTAAACATTGTTTCTGAGAACCTTGTTTGCAAGTTTTGATTATTACTTACAAATAAAACACTGACCTTAAAAACACCTTGCAATATTGCTAAGAAGACAAATTCTTTTTCACATAGTATTCTGATTCCACCATTTGAGAAAAGATAGGTCAGGGTGATTCTGGTAGAAAATTGTGGCTTACCCAACCCCATTCCCTGAATCAGAAATTCAAGATAATCAAGGTTAATATTTCAATATATTTTTTAAGGAGTATCACTAGAAACATCATTAACACACTAAGGATTAACTGTTCTTACGTAGGTTCAGAAATGAAAGAACTGAAGTTAGCAAAAAGAAGTTGGGGTAAAGGAAAGCTAGGATGCTGTGATCTCCTAAGGCCTAAGGTGGAGGTAAGGAAATAACTCTAATTCCAGTTCTGGGGCCAGATTCATCATGGCCTTAAAAAAAAGCCTGGTGGTCAGTCCCCTGCCACTACTAAGGTTAGAGTAGTTGAGATTAACTGGAAACTAGGTCCTTAGCTTAGAAAATTAACTCTTGAAATCCAGAATCAAAGATAACAGTATTGTTAACAGAAGAGATTTAGATTTTATCTGGTTGAAGCTTATTATGCAAATACAATTCTGGGGGGAAAAAAGAAAGTACTCTAGATGTGTAAAATACAACTATAACCTAGAGTATATAAAACGTTTCAACTTAAAAAAAGTATCAAACTTTAAAGACTCATAAGACAAGTATTTGTGACTTGGTACACAGTAAGCACTTCATAAATGCTGGCTATTACTATTACTGTTGCTTCCTATGCTCCTCTATCGTTTCCTAGGAGGAAAATGTTTGACAAATAACCCCACATTCTTCCTCAAATGGCTTTGTGAAGAGAAAGGGAATTGTCCAGTGTGGTCTAGGTGGAGATTAACCAAGGTTCTAGACTCTTGGACCTGGCATTCCCTTCTGTAACATAAGCACTGACTATAGTCCCATTATTTCAGTTGCTATTTGTCCCAATGGGGCATAAAACAGGCACTTTTCTGTTTAAAAACAGGCTTCAAAACAAATAGCTGTTAACATATTCAAGCTGACACCTTAGAAAAAGTATAAAAAAGCTAAAAAATGTGTAACTGCTTTATCAGAGTGGACAATACTCTTAATTTTGCCTGGAAAAACCTGGAAAAGGATCCAAAGTATACTCTGAAAAGGCTGACCACTTACTTGTCCTAAATTTTTCCTTGAGAGCATCCAGATCCTCCTTCAGGGCAACTTGCATCCACACCAAACCAACACAGGCCACGACACAGGCGGCAAGGATGATGAAAGCACAGAGGGGATAACAGATCTTGCAGCATCGTAAATAGTCTCCCCTAATCAGAAGAACAAATTCAAGCAGGAGAAGTGAGCATGAGTACAGCTCTACTGGAAATAGCACACATGTGTCCTCACGCAACCCCATCTTCTCTAATGAGTAAACAGTTGATTTATCAGGGAACATACTTAAATCTGTATAGCAGGTTGAAATGATTAAATGTGACCTGTGAAGAGTTCATCTACAGGCTACAAAAGTTTCAAATGCCACATGACATAGAAGGTATTCCCAAAGACCACAGGAAGCACCTGTGAGCACTGTAGCTCATGGCGATCATTATCAATTCAAGTCTAGAGACCAGTTCCAGTGAGGAAAGTGTAAAGACCAGAGCTTCTCTATAAATCTACACTGCTCTGTTAATGACCTATCTATTTCTCTCTTCAACATATACTCCAGGGGACCTTGTTTCAGTTTACTGAAACTTCATGAAGTTTTGAGCACGTTTTACCAGAAATAGGAACTGCAGATTTAAGTGGACACCTGGCACACTCTAGTTTATCAGCTTAGAAGGAAGGAAAGGTAGAAAGGGGTTTCGATTTCACGCTGAATTTCAAACAGCATTCAGGCACTAAACTAATCCAACAGGATAACTATTCCAGTTGAACTGTTCTATTTTATCAGACTTTCACATTCTCTCCCCCTACCCCCAGAATTAACCTTAATTACCTAATCTGACAAAGCTCATTAAAAATAAAACTTTTCCTTTAAAAAATAAAAGGATGCTGACATTCTCAACAATCCTCTAAGGACATAATCGCTTAGACTCCAACCACGCATCTACATCCTCAGTAAAACTCTTTGTAGTGTGTGCCCTGAAAGGGTCTGAGGGCCCCTTTCAGCCATTTCCCACCATGAATCCCAATTCCCACTGTCCTCAAAGCTCACACTTTATCTAGGTGGCTGCACCATCTAAAAGTGGTTTGGAGAAAAGCTGCCTCTTTATCTTCCCCTCCCTCCATCTACTCTCAAGGCTCACGTTTTCTATAATTTGTCCCACACCATGTTCCCCTGTTACCAACAACTCAAACTCACTAAGAGTGCAAAAAATAATTAATCTGCAGTTTAAAGGTCCCTATTTCTTCTATACTCTTACAAAAGGTGCAGTCCCCAAAGCTTCTCTGATTTAATGTCTCTAATGTTAGTTTCTTTGCTCCTCCCAAGTTGGTTTCTTTGGGCTCTCGGAACATTCCCTAAGTTCATACTTTTACCTTAGACTCAGTGCTTCTCTCTACTCTAGAGACAGATCTCTAACTTGTCCTTCATTCAGATCCTGACTCTTTTCCCTAAGGTGATTGTTCCTTCTTTACCTTCCAAGGCCTACATCCTTTTCTTCCTAAGAACTCCTCCTTCCCTTCAACTTACTGCCCTGGTAGACCAAGGTGCTGCCTTTCCCCCCTCCTCCCACCCCTCACCACTGCATAACTCACTTTACAAAGCGAGAGCGATTTCCAGCTACACCGAATTCCTCTTCCTCCTCGGAGCTGGACTCAGAGTCTGAGTCAGGAGGCTCAGTGCGAAGCAGGCGGTGGCCTGAGCCTTTCTTGGGCTTCTTTCTCCTGCTGTCCCCAGCCAGGCCGATCAATGCATTGAGCTCTTTGCGCTTTTTCATTTTCTTGTGGGGGGTGAGTGGAGCACCCACTCCTGAGCTGCCAGGTTCGTACCCGACGCCCAATTCTCTTGCTGCCTTGGAGCTGCCTTCCAGGGTTGGGAATCCTGGGCTAGAGCCCCCTGGTCACTCCCACCCAGGGGTGGGACAGACCAGATCCGCTGGGGGGCTGAAGACTGGAGACCAGAGGAAACTGTGACTCAGATGGGTAGGGGAAGTCACATAGAGATGGCCAGGGAGCTGGTGATCCAAATGGATAAGGCTCTGGGCATGGAGTACGAGTTACTTAAGAGGGTGTTAAGGGAAGCAATCTTTGTCTCTCGAGGGGACAGGAAGTCAAGAATGAGAGATTCTCATTCCTGATTAAGTAGATAATCTTTCTAAGGGTGCTTCAGGAGCTAGGCAACGATACAGATGGGTGTTTGTGTAGGATTTCCAATGGAGAGGGAAAAGAAACTTGTTCTTGACTGGGAGAAGAGGAGGAAGTACAGAGCAAGACACAGGGGACGCGCTGGTCTCTCGCTAGCTGGAGGTGGCAGCAAAAGGAGGCTCCTAGCGGCTACAACCCCGACACAGCCTGGGCACGAAAAAAATGCCCGGGTCTGGGACGATTACCGTCTTCCGGCCTTCGTCCTGAGTTTGAAGGGAGCCCGAGAGCGAGGAAGACTGAGAGCCCAGCTGGGAGGGCTTGGCTTGGGAGGTGCCAGACCCGCACTTGGGGAGACCCCAGCCGTGCACCTTGGGCCGGGAGGAGGGGGGCGGTGCTGAGGGGCGACCGCAGCTCAGCCCACCTGAAGCGCTCCCGCGCAGAGTTTGAGGTGTTCCGGCACGGGCAATTCTCGGCAACTCACACGCGCCGCCTCCACTCCAGCCGCGACTCCGGCTCCCGCTCCGGTTGCGGCCACGGGTGCTCTCGATAAGCTGGTGGCGGCGGCGGCGGCCGCGGGCTCCAAACCCGGGCCATCGCTCCAGCCCCAGCTCACTTCCCCTTTGGCAGCGGCCGCCGGCGCCGCCTGCCAGTAAGACACATTCCCATTGGCTGCCGTTCTGGTGACGTCACACCTGGGCGCGAGGGAAGGCGGGGAGGCGGGGCCTTAAAGGGGCCCGGGGCCCGGGCTCCGGGGAGGGTTGGGCCCCGCCCTCCTTGCGGGAAGGCCACGCCCCCAGGAGAGCCACCTGGGACGCGCAGCTCACCTGAGTCCCTGACGAGTTTTATTTCCTGATGATCTGGGGCGGGGGTAGGTACAGAGCACAGCTGCTCGACCTGCTTTGAAAATTTACCAGGTGTCCCGGCCCTCGCTCGTGAGCTGCACTTGCCCCACCTGGAGGCTCCGCCCCGCTGCCTCGCCCCCTGTTTATTAAAAGTTTAGACGTGTTACAGAGTAATCACCCGTTCGAACACATGAATTCATTCAAAATATATTTATTTAGAGCTTGCTATGTGTCAGGAGCTTTCAAGCGCTGGAGATACGGCAGTGAATAAACCACCGTCCCTGCTTTCCTGTGCTAGATTTAGCAACATGAAAAAAACGGGACTGTCTGTAAAGTTTACATTTCCAATAAACAACAATTTTTTTTTTAAATTGTATAAGTACGTCCCATGCAGCATCTAGGGCATCTGCAAAGTTAATTGGTTGTTTATATGAAATTCAAATTTAACTGTGTTCTGTATTTCCTATGCCAACCTTATCCCTCCAGTGTAGGGGAGCAACAACAGGTAATTATATAAAATGTCAGGAAGTGATAAGTGTTATTAGAAAAATTATAATATGATAAAATTATAATATAAAATTATAATATGATAAGGGATGGGGAATGCCTGTGTGATAAGGGGACATTTGGTTACAGGCTGGCAAGAAGGGAGGGAGTTGTGCAATGGCCACAAGGAAGGACTGACCTGGAGGACCTGGTGTGACTGGACCTGAGAGAGAAGAGGAGAGCAGATGGGGAATGAGGTCAGATAAGCATCAGGGGCCAGATCTCAAGGACCTTATTGACCACTGTGAAGACTTGGGGAAATCTTTGGTGCTTTAAGCTGAGAGGAGGATCACTTTGGCAGCTTCTTTTCTCTTTTGCAGCAGTCATTCACACTTTTGGCTATTGTGTGGAAAAACGAATCTAGAGAGAGTAAGGAACAAAAGAAAGCAATTTGTTACAGTCCAAATAGAGAAGATGATTGTAGACCAAGGTAGCAGCTGTGGAGAGGCAGAGCATTCTGAGTGCTTCTTAAAGAGACAATGCTAACATATCCGCTGATGGCTAAGCTGAAAAGTGTGAAAGAAAGAGGGTGAAAAAGTGTGAATGACTGCTGCAAAAGAGAAAAGAAGCTGAGATGGGGAAGAGCAAGTTTGGGGCAAATTTGAGAAGCCAATTCAATAATTGAATGGACCACTTGGTATAACCATTTGGAGTTCTGGGCAGAGTTTGGGACCTGAAACATACATTAGAGTCACCAGAAGTTGATGATATATAAAGCAAAGTGCTTTGAACTGCTTGAAAGAAAGTCACTTAAAGTATTTTCACACTTACGTTCTTATTGGGGCAATTTTCTATCTTTGTCTAGAGATAGCCACCCAAAGCCTGGCCTGTGTCTTATTTGTCTTTGTTTCTAGCCCTGTGACAGGCACCTAATACCAATGATCCAATAAATATGTGATGATTACATGAGTGGGCAGAAGCATATGAAAGTATGAATGGAGTTTCAGAAGCAAGAGAGCTGTGATTAAATCATGTGTCACATGCTTACTTGCTCTGTCAGCATGGACGTCACTTAAATTCTCTGAGCTTCAGATTGACCCTCTGCAAAATGGGATCAAACCTCTATTTCAGGGGCCTCCCTGGTGGCCTGGGGTTAAGTCTCAGCACACCACTGTGAAAACCCACCACTATGGCCTGGGTTCGGTCCTGAGTTCGATCCCCCACCAGGGAGCTAAACCACAGGGCATAGCAGACCTCTTCTGTCATGCCCGCTGCTCCTTTGAGTAGTGTGGTTCAGTAGATCTGCCTGTTCTGCTCCCTACTCTGTCTCTGGTGAATCCTCTCACCCCCTGCACCTTTGACCTGCACCCCAGTTCTTCTACACAAAAATAAATAAGATCTTAAAAAAATAGCTAGTGGCTATTAGCACATAACAGAACCTTTCTATTATTATAGTGGACAACTCTGCCCTTGTGCCTATGTGAAGGTCTGGGGATGGACAGGAATGGTCTTGACTTCAAGAACCATTTCACAAACACATCCTGTGGTCATGGGAAGCCGTAGGCAAAAGGTGACTGACCTAGGACCAACCTTCCCATGGCCCTCCTGTGTTGCAGATACCGTGTTCTCTCCAAGGGAAATGGCTGAGGAACCCAGGGGAGAGAGGCAAGGCCAAGGATACATCACCCAGCTGCAGCAACTTCTTCCAGCCAGAGCCTGTCCTCTCTGAGGAAGAGACCTCCTCTGGCACTGGCCGGTGGGATGGGTATGGGTGAGGGGGCAGGGAGGAGTGAAGCTGAGAAGTAAGGAAATTAATTCTAGATCTGTCTTAGAGTCTCTCTGTCTGCCTGTTTGTTTATTAATCTATAGATAACACCCTCCTCCATTGAGTAAACATCCTATGTTGAGTCACCCTCTAAATGAGGCTGGTCAGGTGTTTCTCTTCTTTTAGGAGCTCTTAGAGGCTCTTAGAGCTCTTAGAGGGTGGGAGAACACGCAAGTGTGAACTCATTCTGGAGGGGTGGAGGTGAGAAGAGGCAGGACTACTATGAACTGAAACTCCAAGTCCCCGGTGCAGCCTCCATTGTTCCTTCGGACATGACTTACAAAACACAGATTCAAAGATAACATTATTAAGATTTTCAAGTTGAAGGCCACGGAACATAAATTCCCAGTTGTGGGACACCTCTTCGAGGGGACCCTCTGCACCTGCCCTGGTCACCCATCCATTCAGCTCTTCCTGATAGCACCTAACTCACTGAATAACTCTAAATAAGTTTTTTTGCCTGACCCATAATATGCCAGCTGTTCCATTATTGTCATTAATTATTAAATATGATATATTAAACATCTTCATTTACTAATAGAAAATGCTGCTTCCGTTTGCTACAAAAATATTTTTGCCACCATCTTTCTTGGAATTTGACTATAGTTAAAGTTGTGTGTGTGTGTGTGGGGGGGGAATGGAACAGAAATGAACACTTAAAAATATTTAGGTATCACGCATTTTTGTGTTAATCTTCACTGAGATAAACTAACTCTCACGAGACAAGCATCTTATTCTCACTCTAACCAAGAAGGAAATTGATGTTCAGAGACTGAAAGAGGCTTGTCCAGGGACACAAAGCTCATCAATGATAGATGCTGGGGCTCTAGATCTATCTGCTGCTGAAGCCTGAGTTCTGCACTTGGTGCCCAGCACCATGGTGGGAGAGCCCACTGCCCCGGGCCTCTGCTCACAGAACATCTGGGAAGGGAACACCAGATGACGCCTCTTCTCCCAAGATGGCCACATATGCTTCCCCTGGCCCCTTCCCCATTATTCTTGCTACTGTGCAGGCAGCTGCATCCTGTACCCTGATGAGAGGCCTAAGGACAATGGGAAAGGGAAGGATTGGGTGGTAGGAAAGGGGCCTAGCTCCAAACTAAATAATTGTTTCTCTCCCGGTGGGTCCCCAGCAGCCGGAAGCAGCAACTGGTTCCCAGCATTATTGTTGGCAAAAGTGAGGGCTGCCTCTGCTGGGATTCCCCTTCTATTCTATCTGTAGCTTCTTTGGAGTTGCTGTAACCTTTTGTGTCCTGGCTGTAGTATAACCAGTTTCCCCATCTAACTTGTGTCTTAGGCACCTAGGGCTTAGGACTGGTGGGGCCTCAAGGACTGTTTGCTGAATTAAATGATTGGAGGAGTAGTTAGGACCTTAAAGAGTTTTCAGACATTGTCCTTCATCTTGGTGGATCTATCATCCATCCATCTATCTGTCTGTCCATCCATCCAACAAACCTACCTCGAGGGAGCCCCTGAAGTGTGTGAGGTCCTGTGTGGGGCCCTGGAACACACTTGTAATATTCAGGCTGTATCCTGCAAGATTTCCCAGGGAGCAAGCAATGGCCTCTGGGACAAGTGCCACAGAACAGGTTTATAATGGAGGAAAAGAAGCAAATCTGGAGTGACTATTTTTCTTAGGATGAGAATGGTAATCCTAGGAGAGAATCATGCCTCCAGTGCCCAGTGCCCCTGCCCAAGTTCCTGTCCTCTTCCAGCTGGAGAGTGGAGAGTTGAGAGTGTTGCAACTGGCATGGGACGAACCCTGGACCACCCGCCAACTGTGTGATCTGAGGCAGTTCCTTTTCTTCTCTCAGCCTGGCTCCTCTTCTGAAAATGGGAACTAGTAACAGTCACTTCCTGACAGTGCTGTAGGAATGATTAAATTTAAATGGTGACATTAGAGGCTTCAAGGGAGTGGATAGGTAGACCAGGAAACAGCCCTCTAGGAAATCCCATTTGAACCAGGAAACTTAAATAGTACAAGCTGGAAGAGAAGGTGACAGAATCTTAAAGGTAGGGCTCTTCTGACTGAAAGAGGACGCTCTGTGTGTGTGTGTGTGTGTGTGTGTGTGTGTGTGTGTGTGTGTGCTACTTCCATCAAGGCTGGGCTTTTGTGGACGAAGGAGTAAATGATGGCAGACTGAGCCATTTGGGGCTAAAGCAGAGCTAGGCAAGGCTGTTGGGGCCCCCTGAATCCTACTGACTTTCTTTATCTGAGTCTGTGTAACACTCCAGCTCCATCATACCTAACCTCCTTACCTG